ATTGTGAGGAAAATCATTAAACACTTAAAAAATTGTTATAGCAGTGTTATAATTGTCAAGAACGACGCAGTAAATTTAATATGTATCTATGTTATTGGGACATACAAAAATATTTTCTCTAATATTTTTTATTACCTGGGATTACAGTCACAAAATGCGTAGTGGAATTTTTTTGTTTAATTTTATATATTAATCCGATTTAATATATACTTGCAGATTAAAGATAATTTTTATTATATATAATAAAAATTACTAAGTAAATGGGTGAATTGAGATTGGTTGTTTCACTGTTAGTCTAGAATGGGTTTTTGGGAAGCCACCAGGTCTAGTAACAACATAACATAAGTGGTTCTGCATTAGCTAATGCAAGAATTTTAAGAAATCATACATTTTGAAAATTAGAGCTTCACGGAGGTTAGGATTCCGTATGTTTTTTTTTAAACATTCCTTTGTATATTTGAAATAATGTATTGTATCTTTTGACACCTTAATATTTAAAAAAAATACAATTGTACATACATAAAATATTTATAAAAAAAATCTACTTACTGAGATATTACACTTCACGTAGGATAGGTTTTTAAATAGCAAATTAATGAACTTAAACTTTTGAATTATAAAACAGCAACACTCTCATCTAAATATAAATTCTAACTGACCTTCAGGAATCACATGCATCTATTATGTCGTAAACAGAGGTTTTTGCTTATTTAAAATGATTAAAGCGCCATCCGTTGCATAAAATTTAAAGCAAAAAAAGATTCACGGAGGATGGAATCAATTTTTGTAACACCTACAAAAATTGTTATAAAAATTATTTCTTTTAAATTTTAATAATATTTTATATTTGATTCGATTGCTTTGGATGTGTTTAATTTACTTAGTGAACTGATATTTTTAGTATGCTTTAACTACCTCATATAGGTTAACCTAGAAAGAGTAACATTCACGGAGTATAGGTTTTAGACTTCTAAAACATTGTAAAAAATAATTAATTGCGGTTAAAAATCTGGAACCTGAGCTGTAATATCTACTTAATTATGGAAGATCAAAACACAATAAAAGTGTAGTTTAGTTTTATTAAATATCAAGGGGTAACACCATCGGGGGATATTTCGTGAGATTTACCCAAATACGTTGTATTATGTTTAATAAATTTTATTTGAAAAAAAATTAAATACTCTGTATAAATTCTAACTAAAAAAATATTAAAACAAATTTTATATCGAACAAATAACAATAAATGTGAATTTATCTGGGAATAAACTTTACGGTAAATTAAAATTTAAGTTCTCTAGAAAATTTATTTTAATATTTTTTTTATTTTTGTAATAAAATTGGTTGAGATAAAGGGCTTTTTATTTTCACACCCTGTTTAATCCCGGCGCATTCGCCATTTTTAAAAGTAGATTTTTCTAATTTATTTATTATCCTAATTTGATTATGATTATTTTATAAAATAAAAATAATTTACAACCAGATTTTTTTTATAATTTAGTTGACCATGCATAATTAAAAAAGCGTTACGTTGGACAATATTGTAATGCGTTTAATACGGTACTTAACAAACATATTTGGGACAAGGTTTCAACTTATTCAAAATTAAATTAATCCCAATTATGTGCTATCATCAATATTGACAATTTTTAATCCACAGACAAGTTCATTGTTGAATCATTAATAAAAATTAATTTTAAGATAGGCATTGTTGTTTTATCACCAAATAATATTCAAATTAAAAATATGATAATGTTTCGTTTGTAGAAAATTTGTTTACACGTTTTACCTATAAGTTATATCCCAATATTCTAATAATCAGGCAATTTTGGATGATAAAGTTTTTGTGACGCATGTGCCTATCTTTTATCTTAAATGTACCTAATTAAAATTATACAATTCATGTAGCACGTATTTAGTACTGGTAGGTTAGGAATTGTGCATTATAGGTTGTTAAAGAGTTTTTTTTTATTTAACTAGTTGGTAATATTACTTATAAGTTAAAAAGTATGTGTTTTAGAAGTTACAAAACGTTATATCAACTTCTATTTTTACCCTTTTTCAAAAATTGTTTATGAAAAAAAAGTTGTATTTATTGTCCAGTTTAACAAACTAAAATTTCCGTTAAAAGTATTTATTACTTACTTTTATTAAACCTTTTGGGTTTTGGGCAGTGTAGGAAAACGAATCTTAACCTTAAATCAATTTGATAATTAATTCATATCTACTCTCAGAAAAATGTACATGCACTGTAATAAAACTAATTTTGTAAGCGATTAATAAAATAATATTATTTAACTTAAATTTAAAATTGTAATGGCTCTAAAAAAATTTACCTTTTTTATTAAATTTTCAGTGTCTTATTGAGACAAAAACCTACGATTTGTCAAAGTAATGAGATTATTTTTATTTACAGAATAAACTTTTTTTACTGTTAATAAAATTCTCATTTACTATAATGAAGCAGCAATGTTGAGCTTTTATAAAAAAAAATGTTCATCCAACAAAGTTATAGTTGTTATCATATTGTCATGGCAATAAGAAATACTTTATGTTTATATTAAATCATTGTCGAACTTAAAATGTTTTTGTTAAATCTATAGTTGTGTGTAAATTGCGCTAACATAAAGTAATGCGCAGTTGTTATATAAAATTTGTTCATTTTACTATGGCATATTTGTCTTTTTTAAATTACTTGTTGTAATTCAAATTAATTTTATTTCAGTTAGAAAATCTTTGTTAACAAAAATATTTTATTGCTATAAGAAGACTTTCTTTTAATATTTACTATTGTTTTACAATGGTAACAAATTTTTTTTTAAATTCCTTATAAAGAGGGGGAAAGGGCCAGCGCTTTCCTTGGTGAACATAACTTTATAATCCAAAGTCTGTGTTATAATCTTATTGATTTCACTTGTGCAAGTGAAGTATGGTAAAATTTAGCATGATAAAAATATGAAAAAGATCACTAAGAAAATTAAAATTTCGACGTTTTCTAAAAAAAACATTTAAGGTATGTATATTCTATAAACGAAGTAGACTTGTTTAAAAAGTGAGTTCATAGTTTTTTTATTTTGTACATCATAATATGAGTTATTTTTTTGTTTTAGTAATTAATTTGTTTTAATGCCTTGCAATTATTTAAAAAACTACCCAATATATATATATATATATATATATAATAATAAATATATACAATATATATATATATATATATATATATATATATAATAAATTATTAATTTTTTGTTAAATTTACATAATTTTTATTAATATTATAAAAATGTTTTATTTTAAACGAAAATTTCTAGGAATTATACCATTAGGCTTTCATTAATACTACAAAACGTTTTTGTAAACTGTTTTTTGGACAAATAATAATAACTATACTTATCAATGCCTTTCTGCATCTGGAATTTTTATAAACATAACGTAAATGTACTTTAAAATGAATGCAAAGGCTATTACTGAAAGCAGCGTGTGTAGATAAATAATTTTTTTTAAATGATCTCTTTGCCGTAACAAAAGCAATTGTTGGACGAATAGGGAATCCCTATTAGGGATCTTTACTTTATTAAGACAAACTACTTTTTTGTTATATTTATTAAAAACATTTCTGAGTGTAGTCTTTATTCTTGTTGTTATTTTTATCCGTCATACTTTTCTAGTATTTTTATGGTAATTTTAAGTTTGCATGTTGGCACTCTTGGCACTTAAGGAATGGTTGCTTAACCTCTCACGTATACTAAATATTAGGGTGGGTTGAAAAGAAAATGTTTGTTTTTTTTTCTTAGCATAGGGGTAGAATTTGTATCTTATAAAAAAAGAAAATTTTTCAAAATAAAACAATAGTATATTATGTATCAAGTTTTATAAACGCCATTTTAGGCACGAGTGTTTAATAAAAACGAGTGTCAGGAGAAGTTTATAAAACGAGTTGCATACTATACTTTATCTGCGACGAACACAAAGAAGAATTTGAAGCCAATTTTATTTGTTAAAAATTTGACATCTGTCAACTATGAACGGATTTAACCTCGCTTTTTCCCAATTTATAATAAGGCTAACTTCAGCCCGTGACTAAAATGCCCAAAAGTCAGTATTGCTAACTTCAGCCCGTGACTAAAACGCCATAAGGTCATAGCTCGTCAATGAAGGAGTAGATAAAATTCTATTTTTGGTCCAAAATCGTGGAAAACATGTAAAAATTTAAGATTGTGATTTTTTTTCACTCAACTTTCATTCTAATACAAAAAAAGTGCATTTAATTTTTTAATTTTTTACTTAAATTACAAAAACAATGGGAAAAAACTTTCAACTTTTGACTTTTAAGGGGACACCCTACAGATTCTAGAACAAAAAAAAGAATTTCCCGTGTAAAAATTAAGATAAAAAAATTTTCTTTTTTTATAAGGTAGAAAATATACCCTCATGCTAAAAAAAACATTTTGTTTTCAACCCACCCTACTAAATATATGAGTGTATGTTTTTATTACAATGTTATTGTTTTATCGTTTTAAGTAATAATTGTTTTCAAGTAGAATTTTTATATTATCTTTTGTTAATATTAAGCGCCTCTGTAATAACACTTAAATTTATTTTCAAAACAATGTAAATAGTTTATTTCTAAAGCCACGCAATCTATTTTAATTTATTAATGAGTGGGTGTTTATTATTACATGCGATTTCTTACATAATAAAAAACTAATTAATTAAAATCTAATGGGTCAATATACTTTCTTTGATAATATTGCAGGAAATAAAATATATGTTTGTGTGTTTCCAAAAATAATTTCAATGGTATTAATGTTTAAAAATAAATAAACAATTATTAAAAAATAAAATATTTAACTTACCTTCGCTCATATTTCAAACAATTTCTGCCCAACAATACCAACAAAACTACCGAGTGGAACTGAAAAGTTCACATGAATTAAAAGTAAAGTACAAATTTTAATACACAATCTAATCTTAAAATTAATTATTGAGATGACATTTATGATATTTTATTGAATAAATTAATTAAGAAACAATACTTCAGCGTTCCCCGTAATCTTTGCGATAATCACAATCTGAGTCGTGGTCTATCAGCAGGACCTTTTCGTCTGCAATCAGAGTTGAGCTGTCAATTTCCAACTGGGCGAATTTGTAGTTCGAAGCCATCTCCATGAAGAGCATCATGTCTGCCACGATGAGAACGGCAAAGAGAAAAAACTCGTAAGCCTGAAACATAAATTTTACTTGTGAATCTAGGTACTTACATATTAATAGAAAACAATCAGGGAAATTATATACCTATGTAATAAAACGCATTTTAATAATGATATCCCAAGTTTGGGCCATCATAAATTCTTTATTTTTATTATATATATATATATATATATATATATATATATTTACTCACATTTTTATTTTCTAAGCCGACAGAATTGTTAATGTACTTGCACATGGTTGATATGATGTAAGAAAATAAATCGTGGTAGGTAGTTTATACCCATATAATTTTATGCTTTTATTCAAATAATTCCTTATAGAATAAAATGTCCGAATTTGTTTCAATTTGGATATGTTATACCTCTATCACTGATAGCAAAATTTGATTTTAAGAATAATCTAAGAAGATATGACCCGGAATAATGGAATATTCTTAGAACCTTCCCTTGGAATATTCTTAGAACCTTCCCTTATTGCTAATAATGTTCTTAGGGACATTCAATAGATACCCTTTTAATGATGCAATTAGATTCTTAAAAGCTTCTTGAAACCTTCATAAAAAGCATCCTAAGAACATTTTAAGAATACGTTTTTGGAATGTTTTTAGAAGGTTTCTTATGGAAGCTTTTGAGAATATTTCCAAATATGTCAGATACTCACGTTCTAATATGTTATATTCTACATTCGTAAAATTTTCCAGGAGACAAATACGCCTCACTGTCATAATATGACAGTGAAATGAATTTATCGTCTCCTTAAATTTTGCAACATATTAATATATATGTATTTAAACCTATTAAATAAACAATTTGACCTTTAACCATAAGTTTTATGACATTATTTCATAAAAAGTAAAATTTTGTGGGATAAGTCAGATTAGATTGAAGTTGAAGATAGTTAGGATTATTATACATAAAAATGTTAATTCAGAAATAAAAAATCGGTATACAAATTAATAAATATTTATTTTTAACATAAAATAAAATACCAATAGCAAAAGTATTTTTGTTATAGAATATTGTTTTAATTTGACAAATAACTATAAAAAATATTTTGGATTGTGTTTTTTACTTGGTAGTATTTACCTTTATACCTACGTAGTTTATGGTATATTTTACTATTATATAGGTAACTGAACTTAATATGCTTAACAGGAATATTCCTAAATAAACTTTCTATATCAATTACTTTTTTAACATTCTAAGCATATGTTTAGAGTAGACTAATTTTTACCACTAAAACTTTGCACCTTCTAAGAACCTGCCTATAGGCCAGTTAGAATATTCTTGGGATCGTGCTATATATCTTTTAAGCATGTTCTTTAGAAGAAATACAGCATGATTCTAAGAATATTCTCACTGGAAGGTTTAAAAATCATTCTTAGAATAATGAATATAGGCGTTCGAAAGAGGGGCTACTCAGGAATTTTTTTTATGTCGAGACATTTTTAATACATATATTTGATTTTCTTATCTGTAAAACTAATAACTAAGGTACTTGTATTTTGCCAAGAATTGTTTATAAACTGTACTTATCAATAAGTAAACTATTGTTAAGGATGTATAGGAAATGGAACATAATCAACAGAAGGTAAATGTGTTTTTTTATAAAAAAAAAACTGAGCTCTCATTACTTGAAATTCAATTGTATATTTGTTATTTACAAATTGGTTTATAACAAATATAGGTGCATAGGAGCATGTATTGAAACTTAAATCTTACCTGACTCCTGAACAAGTTCAATTGCGTGATTATGATGACCAAGAAGTTGCCCACAGCAACAGACAAATACCATCCAGCTATGGCTACCGTTTTCATGCACTTGGGGGCCTTAAACACTTTCATTAAAACTTATAAACAATCATTAAAAGTGTTGGGTTTTTACCTGCGTGAAAGAAAATTCCAAACCGGCTATCCCGAACATGATTTCTGCGACTGAGATTAAAAAATACTGCGGAATCAGCCACAGGATGTTCACTGAGTTTGGTGAGGACAGTGTGAACAGTTTAACGAACTACAATTTTTTTAAATTATAATAGTATAAGCCCCCAAATACTCTCCTGTTTAAGAAATGCCTCAATATTACACTTTTCAAGTATAGAGATAAAATTCAGTTCTCATCTTGAATTCTACTTTGAATGATGAAGAATTTCGATTAGGTATAAGATTTGAGGGATTTGTTTGACAGGAGAATGTTTTGACACCCTGTATATTTTCTGGTGGAATATTATTTACTTCAATCCCGGTATCGCTTTCCCTAATTATCAAGGAATAAACTCCTCCTAAACCCAAATGAAAACTTTTTTCGTACAGATGACGATTTTCTTTGCTACTAATTATGCATTCGTATCTAAAAAGAATCAAATCAATTAATGAATGTTAAATTATAATATAAATACAAAATTATTGTTTTATCGTTTTACAGTATGATATCAGTATGATATCAGTATGATATCAGTATAACAGTTTGATATCTATCGTTTTACAGAATGATAGACTTTTCCTGAGATATATTGAAAAATATAAAAATATGGTGGAATTTCTTTTCCAAAAAACTAAAACTCGTTTTTATTGTAAAATCAATTAATTTCCATTATTACTAACTACTAATATTGAATATAATCAATATGATCAAATAAACAAGAATAACAACAATTTAATCAAATAATTGTAAACAAAAAAAAACAAAAACTTATTCAATCCATTCGCATCCCCTTTCTACAAATAATTCTGCTCGTTTGCGCAGTTTATAACATAAATTTTTCGAAACTCCTCAATAGAGGTTGATTCTACTGCTTCTGGGCCATTCCACGCTTAACGGATAGGACAGCCGCCGTGTTTTTATTTACAAAATAATATTGTTCCACCATATTACCAATGTCAAATTTTTATAAATAGCTCTAAACAAAAGCTGTTTAACAAGGTTTTTATTTGGCAAAATTAGGTATCGTGATTGACTGTCCAATTCCTTAAAAATTAATAATTTAAAGCGTAACGGTCGGGACTATTGCAAAGTCCCGACCGTTACGCTTTAAATTATTAGTTTTTAAGGAATTGGACAGTCAATCACGATACCCAATTTTGCCAAATAAAAACCTTGTTAAGCAGCTCCAGTTTAGAACCATTTATAAAAATTTGACATTGGCAATACAATAGAACAACATTATTTTGTAAATAAAAACACGGCAACTATCCCATTCGTCACGCGTGGAATGGCTCTTCTGTTATTTTTTGTATTAAATTTTCAACGTTTGGAGTAAAATTCTTTGCGTTTACAATTTGTTTTGATTGTCCCCCTAAATAAAAATCGCAGATGGTTAGATCAGGGCTTCTGGCAGGCCACAAAACTGGACCAATCCATTTATTACCAAATTTATCAGTTAGTCCTTTTCCGTAAAATTGACATTTGACAGTCATGATTGAACAAGTTTATTTTTCACAAAAGAAGATTAAATTGGTTGCCCTTAGCACTTTAAGGCCTCTTTTTAGCATTACATTTTTTAATCTGTATAAACAGCACAAACCCAAAGCACAATAATTGTAAACATAAAAATGGCCACCGGCAGTGGTTTTTGGTATAAGCGAAACGAGATTGTATGGATTGTGCAATAATCCTAAATCAAAGAATGGAAATTGATTTTACCATAGAAACGCTTTTTAAGTTTTTGTACTTGACTTGACACCTAGTGTACCATTACATACATTCCTTGCGGTAGTTCCATGTAAGCCGAGGTTGCCAAATGTGTTTTAGGCTTACTATCAACATAATACACATCCTGCATTCCTGAGGTGCCTCTAAGAGACACTGTGACATTGTGTAAGTTATCGGCTCCTTTAATGTAAGCAATTCTACGATAAAAAACTTTTTTTTAATTTTTTTTAATAATAATGTTGTGTTAATATGAGTACCTTACCCTGGGGGCTCCACTGATCGACTTTTGAAAATCTATGGGGTCTGTTAGGTAACCAACAACTTTGTTTTGCGAGTTGATACCTATGACAACTGTATCAACCTGAAAAGGGCCTTGTAAAACCTAACTTTCCATTTTTAATTTAAATCAATCACCTGCAACTCCAAACAGACCACCTGAAGACTGAATTTGTGCTGTTGAAATTTAATATGTCTGCATTGAAGCGGCGCCTCCACCACCAAGGTGTACGCAGTCGAGTTGTGCGCCAAAATATCGTTGAATTTGTAAATTTTCGTCGATCCCAACTTTTGCTCGCCGTTAAATGGATTGGTGATCCTCAGATCGCACGGTAACGTGTTGATCACGTTTATGGCAGCGTAATTTTTATTGGGCAAATGCGTGTAGGTTGTTTCCAAAACCAACTCCAAAATTCCTGCGGAGAAAAAAGCCAATCCTGCTATTATACCGCCTATCGCCATCCTGTGCAGCGAGTTCTGCATCAGGTGGAACTTCGCGAAGCAGGGGTAAAACACTCGGTCGAAGATCGGGATCAAAATCAAAACCAAGCCCGGGTTTATCACTTGCATTTGGTCCGGCACTATCTGGGTGCCCAAGACGTTGCCGTTCATGTGGGAAGCCTGGAAGGTCCACCTGGACCCCTGCTGATCGAACAAGGACCAGAAAATCGGCAACGGCGTGTACAGCAGCAACATCGAACACACAACTTTCATGTCTTTTATCAACTTTTGGCTGAAGTCCCCTTCCGCATGGTCCAGCCAATGGCTCAGCTTCTGCGACGATTTTCTTTTTTTAGCTAAGGCATGCTGATTATTGGTTTCGAATATTGTTTGGTTGTGTTTAAACTTACAGTCGCGCACGACATAAATTCCACCAGAACGTTTTGTTTCGGTATCTTCAGTTTGTAGTATCTTTTGCCCATGACGAAAAGTACTGCAATAAAAGGTTTTAAAAGCAAATCTTGGTCTTGGTACGTATACTTACATATCGACAAAAGCATGAGCATTGCCGGAAAGCCAAAGCCCAGCGCGTAGCAAGTGTCATCTCCAAAGCACGAAACCCACTTCCTCATTATGGGAGTTAGAATCATGCCCACGAACCCTCCAAGGTTTATGGTGAAGTAGAATATCGAGAAGAAGTGGATGAGTAGGTCTTTTTGATCGGGCAAATGAAACTGCTCTCCTCCGAAAGCAGCTACGCAAGGCTTGATACCACCTGTGCCAATTGCTATAAGAAGCAAACCTGTTGCTGAAATGGCACTAAAATGATTTGGTTTATTTAGGTTTTAATTGTATTAAAATCAACTTGCATAGGTGATATGTCTATGGATGGTACGGCGGCTACACACATAAGGATGTTCCCTATCAAGTATATCAAAGAAAAGTTTCGTATCGTCCTGTATCTTCCTATGAAGCTGTCAGCACAAACTGCCCCAGCCAAGGGTACCATATAACATCCCATGTTGAACACGTGGTATATGACTGTGGATGCATTTTCAGAGAATAATAAATTGTTTCTTAAATACAATGATAATATAGCTGGAACATAAAAAACAGTGTATAAGTGTATAACATACTGGTATAAAGTTATACTACCTACTCACTTCTTAAGCCGCAAAAGGAGAATCTCTCGCAAAATTCGGTTGCTATTATACAGAATACTGCTGTCGGGTACGAGATGTCTTGGAGAAAAACTATTCCCATGTATGATTTCTACTTTAAAATTTCTATGTTAAAGGTTTGTTTTGCATTTTTTGACGGTTTGTCAAAATTGATTTGTTCCAATCAAAGTTTTGTCATTGTTATTTCTATTGAGATCAAATTGGTTAGAAGATTTAAGGCTTCAATTGTAGAGCAAAATCTTAAGTTTATGTTTATATTTATATATATATATATATATATATATATATATATATATATATTCAAGGGCAAAATTTTCCTACGGCCAAAAAGAATAGAGATGGCCTGCAAGATCTCCCGATTTGACCCCTAGTTTATGCGACACCAGTAAACACCATTAAGATTTACGTAAACGTATTGAGCAATTATTCGGGACAAGCCAGGGATCTTCGAAAGAGTTTGAGAGTTATTACATTTATCTATTTTAAAATGACTTCATTATATCACCGCTTTCTGGCAATAAATTTTATTTAACACCGAAGAAAATCCTTTTTTTTTTCTTTAACATTAACAGCCGTTTATTGTAAATAAGTAAATTAAGGACGGCATGGCGAATCGATTTTGACATTAACTGTCAAACCAATGACTGTGATACCAACTATATAAAGTAAAATTCGACCAAATTAAACTTAAGGTATAAAATTATTTTTTTTTTAGAATTTTTGCTAAATAGATAAAATAGCATAAAGAACTCATGTCATAAGACCTTTTGTCGCACTCGTCCATTACAAATATAAATTGTCTTATGACATTAGTTGTTTAATATACTATTTTAACACCATATTTGAAAAGAAGTTAAAAAAACGTTTGTAATAATCAATTTGTAGATTGTTGAATACTTAAATTAAAAATTAAATAGATATTAGCTATGAACTATCTTAGTGTGAATTGACCTTAATTGTGTAATTAGTCACTGTCAGTGTTTATGTTTTTAGGTTAAGTTTTCTGACATTCTTTTTTTTTAGTGAGTCGCATCTCTACTCATTCTGATAAAGCACGCCCGTGATTGGCTACTTTTCGTCCTAGAAATACAGGGTGTTCCGGTATTTATAATTCAAGGACTACATCGTAAAGAAAGGCTAGACTCTCCTTGAGGCATCTCTTTTTCTTAAGGTTAATAAAACAGGTTTTGCTTTTTCACGGTTTTATTAAAACTTATAAAATCTACATTTAGGTTATATTGACACCGAAAGCAAATGTTAGGTTACATATTTATTTTCTGTGTATTTTACACCGATTAATATAATATATAATATAAAATGTTTTAACTTAATGGAAACTGTAATAAAATATGTTAATTAATTTTTAAAATATTATAAATAGCACATTTAAATTTTAAAAATTATTTAATTTTACTAATAATATGTAACAACTTTAGAATATCGCTTGAATCAAGTAATAAATTTATACTTCGAACTTGTAATGAAATATACTTTTATAATATAAATATATTTTGGGTAATATAATATAATAGGAATTTTTAAAAAATCACATCAAACACTGACAACAATTATTTGTTTCATAAATCATTTTATAAATATTATGAACTGATAAAATTAAAACGCATTGTGTTTTGGCGCCCAACGCGTGGAAGTCAGGGCCGGATTCAGGCTTCTAACCCCGGAATGTATTTTTATCTGAAAATCAATTATTAATTTAAACAATAATTTTATTTGCTCCTTTAAAAAACATAAACGCAACAATGTTAAGTCCGGCCCTGTTATCATTTACAATGAATACTATCTTTAATTTTAACCAATCTCGCCTACTGCTCCATCCGCCAAAAAATGGTCCCGTATCACATAAACTATAAATTTTAATTTATTCTAATTCTTCGATTTTATAGAGATCACAGCTAGGAAGAAGGCAACATTTACCATTACTTGTTTGTTAGAACAAGTCTACAGATTTTACTTTTGCCATTTGCATGTAAACATCTTTTAAAGACGCTTTTAATTCACTCTTCCGTGTTTTTAAGTCTTGCACCACTTTTTTGCAACAAATGGTAAATATTGTTACAACAGTAGAGGAAAAACTTTCTTATTTTACTAGGATGACAACTTATTTGGTGACACCCTGTATTGTACGTCTTGTGGGAGAAAGAGGAGATTCCTCGAGCGTAGCCAATGGAATCTCCTCTTTTGACCAATAGTGGCACACAATATTTTATCTAACATCCGCAAGGAATTTTGTTTCATATTCTATTTGAAAACTGTCAAACAGTTTTAACCTCAATTAAAATATGTCGCCTCCTTTCGGGTGTTTAAATTTTCATTCAAACTACCGCTACATTTATATTGTCCAGAAATTAAAGTTATTCATTTAGATAGGCACTCCAAGGTTCTAGGTCCTTAATTTCTGTATTTTAATGCCCTTTTGTTCAAATCTCGTGAAAATGCATTTTTGATGGAAGTTTTTGGTTGCCTGTAGACTTGGTTAATGTATTTTGGATGGTAAAAAAATGTGTGCATGTTAACAATTAAGCTCGAAAATTGGACAAAGGCAAACTAAATCTCCTTTTTAAATTTCGGACGGAGTACAAGCATTTTTTTTTAAAGTTAGCTCTTGGACAAAAACTATTTGTCTTATTTTTATTTGCTTTTTAAATGTTTTAAATTTTTTATGAACATACATACAGGGGTCTCCAAAATTTCACTAGAGATCTTTCACATCATACACCATATGTAAATAAGTTCTTTGTGCAGAAATTGACAACTTTCATACATAGCTGGGACAATAATTGTGCGTGCATGTGCATTTTGACTTAAACTATTAAAAATACTTCTTAAACGATAAAATTATTACTCAAAATAGGACGAATTAATTACATATTTGCAATAAAATCACATAGCAATAACAGTCAGTCTTATGTACTGAGTTTGCCTTAAAAATTTAGGTACTTAAAACGATTAAAGCTTAGGAAAGGCTGTAGGAACTGTTTAATACAGTCCAAACGTATCCAAAATACATTAACTATTTTTTTATGTTTTTTTTTTAAATAGTTTAAAATGTGGGTCCACATAGATTTTGATTACAAAAGATTTTGTAGTTTTTAAATCAAGACTTGTTTAAATCTATAAAAAATATCAGGTTTCACTTTATTGTACTAATATTGTATAATTTTGATGTTAAAGATTAATTAATAATACTTATGTTGTGAATTAAAAACTACAAAATTTGTATAATACAATTGATATAGAAATATATATGCAAAATGTTAAATATATAGTGTGCATCCTATTTTAACATTTTTATTACATTTATAAATAACATATTTTGTAAAAAATACAACACTTTTACAAAAAACGCCTTCTACATTACATTAAATTTTATAAACATACATTTAATACTGACATTAACTATAAGTTTTAAAGCTAAAATGGGTAGGTATTTGTAATATTTATATTTTAATTAGCCATACTTATACTTTTATACAGAGTGATCCAAATTTTAGGAAATTTTAGATATAGTAAATTTCCTAGGTTGTGAAACACCCATGGACGCCCATACATACATATGGACAAGACTAATTTTATCTTTATGTTTGAATATAATAAAGTACATACGTGTTTTAAATTTCATTAAAATTATTCCTTTAACTTTGAATTTTGAAAATTTAGAATTTCTTTAAAAACATCTTTTTAAAGGAAATATATTTATGGTGTTTGTCCCCCCCTGGAAAATTGTATATGGGCACCCATGAGAACACCCTGTATTTTAAAAATAAAATTAAAAAATATAAAAATCCATATCCATATCGATATAAATAATTTTATTGTTTATCGATAATTATAACAATAAAATTATTAATATCATCATAAACCTTAATCTTTTAATTAAAATCTATTTAGGTTTAGATGATAAACCTATAATAAAAAAAAAGAATATTTTAAGCATACAGGTTGTTCCAAAAATGGCGCATTGATTATGAAACTCAACTCTTATATGCTTATATAGTTAAGTTAGTGTGTGTATTAAGTGATCATGGTGAATTATTGTGTTTTTAATTGTAAATAAAATTCAAGAACTAAATCGTTGCATTTTAATGTTTTGCCAAAGATCCAATACGGTAGGTATATTTGTTGGTGCAGAATTAACTAATGATAACTTTACCTAATATAATTTATATTTAAGTTTGGATATTTTAAGAAATCTAACAAAAAATAATTGTTGTACAAACATAACCTTAAAATCTTTCATTATAGAATTTCAAAAATATTAACCTTGAAAGAGTACAAAATGCATAGTGAATGAGTCAAAAATGAAGAGTAAAAATGAATGAATGAGAAAGTGAAAAAATGACAAAAGCACATTTCAGAAGGTCAAAAATAAGTTTTAAAATATTAAAAACCCACTAAAAATATGAAGAGTGAGAGACTCATACAATGAAGAGTAAAAAACAAAAGCACATTACAGAATTTCAAAAATGCGTTTTAAAATATTAAAACATAATCAAACAATGAAATATTAACCTTGAAAGAGTACAAAATTCATTGTTAAAGAGTCAAAAATGAAAAGTAAAAATTAATGACTGAGAAAGTGAAGAAATGACAAAAGCAAATTTTAAAAAGTCAAAAATACGTTCTAAAATATTAAAAACACACTAAAAAATATGAAGAGTGAAAGACTCATACAATGAAGAGTAAAAAACAAAAGCACATTACAGAATTTCAAAAATGCGTTATAAAATATTAAAACATAATCAAACAATGAAATATTAACCTTGAAAGAGTACAAAATGCATAGTGAATGAGTCAAAAATGAAGAGTAAAAATGAATGACTGCGAAAGTGAAAAAATGACAAAAAGCACATTTTAAAAAGTCAAATACGTTCTAAAATATTAAAAACACATTAAAAAATATGAAGAGTGAAAGAGTCATACAATGAAGAGTAAAAATAACAAAAGTTCATTAGAATGTCAAATATAGAAAACATAATGAAGGGAAGTTAAATATACCTACGAATTCTTGGCAACATAATATTATAATACATAATATAATACTGTTTCACTGTTAAGTGGAGACTTTCTTAATCAATACGTTTAATAATGCTAAATGCTGTTTAAATTTAGACGACTTATTTCTTTTATGATTTTTACTGAATTTAAATGTTAACAATTTTCACGTAAATCATTACTAAAATGTGTATTTATTGTTTTTTATATGTTCAATTTAGATTTTGTTTATTGGGAACCGGTAAAAACTTAACCAAGTTTTTGGGTCATGACATTTAAAAAAAAATTATTGTTAGGTGCCTTGGTGTGCCGCATTCGGAACACCCTGTATAGCAATTAATTTATACGCCATCAAAAAATGAAATGCTTTACATTTCTATATCGTCACCCTCAGATCCACCTCATCATAACTCATACACATCCCTACCGTTTGGTCTTGAGGCGCACCTCTTGTTCTGCCCTTCCCTGCACCTCTGAGGGCTGCAGTACATGTTGTAACCGGGTATTATGTGGACCCTGACGTCCCCCGAAGGTCTAACACACTCCGGCCTCTGTCTCCTGGAGAAGGAGACCGTTGTCTTGCAGCAGCAGTAATGGAAGAGATTGACGTAAGCAGCTCTGAAGTGACGGTTCGTGAGGCAGTAGAGTATACTGTTTATGCAGGACTTCGTTATGGCCAACCAGGCCAGGTTGTAGAAAGTCTTGTCGTTTATCTTGCGGGTCGTGCCTACGGCCAGGCAGACTCCAAAGGGAAGCCAGTAGAGGACGAACAGGATGAAGCTGTACATGTTGCTCTGCATCAAGGAGCAATCCCAGTTGAAGGTTATGGGGGCTTTGAAGCTGGCCCTGGACTTGAACCTGCGTACTTGTATGAGGGCCCTTATGTAGCAGTAGAACGTTATCAGGATTGGTACTACAACAAGAACCGCGCCGACGGTAGCTTGGTACGGCACCAAACCTGGATACTTTCTGGTGCAATAGTCAAAAGACAAATCAGGGACGAACTGCAACGCAGAAACAAACACCCCTACTATCCAGAAAACCAGCAGTATAACAGTGATCTTCGTTCTTGTGAGTTTGTCGTAGAATGTCGGGGAACAACATAACCGGATGTAGTTTTCTGCCGCTACAGCTGTTATGGATAACATCGTTACTAGGAAGCATAGCGCGGCCAGAAACCATTGAAAGCGACACACTGTCAAGTTGTCCTTTAATCCTGCGAGGATCACCACTGCTGAAGCAGGAACTACCAGGCCTGAGACTAGCAGATCGGCGAAGGCCACGTTTACCACGAATGTATTCCCTACAAAAATAATATTAGTTAGAAGGTAGACAACCCAGTTTACCCGATTTTCAACATCTGTAACAGTTGCTATATATAGTGTATACACTGTTCAAAATTTCATGACCATTTTAACACCAAATTAACACTATACATGGTCTATATCGATACAAACCAAAGTGGTGTTAAATATGGTTCGTTGGTCCAGTGTAAATTCAAATACTAAAATAGTGTAAATTTAACTTTCACACAGTATTAAAATAAATTTTACCTGGTGTAAATTGAACTCCTTTTCAGTGTTAAATATTATGTGTTTTTGGTCAAATTAAATCATACTACACAGAAAAAAAGGAAAAAAAGACGCATTACTAGTATATTACCAGTGGTATTATTCTCCCTAGAGATAATGTTTTTAGTGCGTTCCACCAACTTAAAATACTTGAAGTGTTTGTTTCCAACTATTTAAGGTTTCTTTAGTATCGAACAACTTGTAGTGTCACACCAAAGCAAAGGACTACCTGAGCTTATATACTCTTCATGTAAGCCAACAGAGGCGAGATTTAAGAACATCACGTGATCCACACCGCCTTTAGCGCGATCGGTACACACTATGCAACCGGGAATGCACGGCAAATTGTTTTAATCGTTTTAACAGAGTGCTTTAGGTTGAAGTAACTCTTATTTTCCAAACAACTAAAGTTTTATGGGTTAATTTAACCAAAAAAATAAAATAACTATCTGGTTTAGTACCGTCAAACTAATCTTTGTTTATATTAACCTTCCCACAGTTGATTTAAATAAATACTTATGGGTCAACTAAATTAATATACTTAAATGAACTATTTCTTTTTTTCTGTGTAGGTGCACTTCTCAAATATTTTTAGATAAACACCGTTTTGGTGTTTGCTGTGTATAACATTTTCAAGCATAATTCAAGGTGTTTATATTAACTCCACTTGGTGTTGGATTTTGACACCATTTTAAGATTACTCTTTACACCACAGATATTTTAAACAGTGTAGATTTTACCTACAAATCGTTTTGCGTACTTTTTAGCCTAATTTAGGTTTTATACAATCAGAGCTTGCAGTATACTATAGCTAGCTACCAACTTAGCTATTTCTTTGGTAGCTTATAAGCTACTCTTCCAATATGGCTCTAAAACTCGATTCTTCAAACTTCACTTCAATAGTTGGCTTGTAAGGGTGAGGCACAAACATTTTTTTAATATAAATGTCTTACGTAGCATAAAATATCGATCTATCGTGAATTATTTGACTAATCGACTTCTCTGCTGTCGCTAAAAATATCGAGGCATAAAGATTGATTACTTTCCTATAAATTTAGCTAATAGTTGGGGCGAAATCTCCATTATAAGAGAGCTGCTCGTCCTGGAACTCGCCGAAGCTCCAATAGGAATAATATGGTAATTGCTCGTGACGTCACGCTTTGGAAGAATGCCTTTTAATGTCAAGGCCAGCGTGATATATTAAAAGGCTGCTGCCAAAGAACGAGCGATTTTTTTCAATTAAGTGTTTTTTAGGGAATGTCAAAGAAATTTTTAATTTTAATTAACCCAACACTGTAAAATGTAGCGTGATTTCTGAAATTTCAATAAAACGCAGAACAAATTTCATTGTTCTTCTAAAGTAAGTACCCATTAAAATCTATTTTTGTATGAGTTTATGCAATTTAAAAGAAAAATAAATTATTTTATTTTAATTTTAAATATTTCTTATTTTGTATTTGTATCGTTTATTAAAAAAAACATTTTAAAAATAAAAAAAAAGTTAATAAAAAAATAACCCAGCTTTGAAGGAAACCAATAGTTTTATTTTAATATTCCATGCATAAAATTCAAAAGTATGGAACAAATTTATTAAAAAATGTGCCTTTTTCCATTTTGTATACATAATAGTATATTAAAGAACTAATGTCATAAGACGTCATTTTGTCACAATAGTTCTTATGACATGAGTTCTTTATGCTATTTTATCTATTTATCAAAAATTCTATAAAAAAATGATTTTAAATTTAATTTGGTGGAATTTTACTTTAGATAGTTGGTATCACAGTCATTGGTTTGACAGTTATGTCAAAATCGATTCGCCATGCCGTCCTTAATTTACTTATTTACAATAAGTGACTGTTAATGTTAAAGAAGAAAAAAATGATTTTCTTTGGCGTTAAACAAAATTTATTGCCAGAAAAGTCTCGTAAGTCCTAGAAAAATCATAAAAATATTATAACCAATATGCAAAATATTATGCTGTTTAAAGTACCTATAGCCAACCTATAAAATCAAAATTTTGGGTGGGATAAAGTATCTCATTACAACACCGAAAGCGGTGTTGTAATGAAGTCATTATGAACTCAAAATAAATATTATATTATAATATTAATAAAATTGATCCATTACTATGAAATGATAAAAAAGACGATTTATTTAATGAATTTGTACCATACTTTTGTTGATCACTGTACATGAAAAGTATTTGTTTGCGAAGTTGCCAAATTTCTAAAAAATTTCAGAATCTGGGTTTTTTCTTTTAGTCTTTTATGGTGTTGCCAAATTTACAAGAAATCCCAGAAAAAATATTTTCGGCATATTTGTCAACTCTCTAAAAATGAATTAGTCAAAAATGACTAATTTAATAGTTATTAGTGGCTGCTTTTTCACTTGTACCATGGTTAACCATGGAATCCCAAAATTTAACAGTCAATTATTATGTAAAATTGTTCCCTGAATCCGAAAATACCGTCAAAAATTATAAAAGTGGAGCAGTTTTTGAGATATAGTCAATTCCATATTAAATGGAAAATTGACTATATCTCAATAACTGTTCCACTTTTAACTTTTGACATTTTCGGATTCAGGGCACAATTTTACATAAGAATTGGCTGTTAAATTTTGGGATACCATGGTATTTCATGGTTAACCATGGTACAAGTGAAAAAGCAGCCACTAATAACTATTAAATTAGTCATTTTTGACAAATTCATTTTTAGAGAGAACAACTTATAACATTTCAAAAGCATAACAAGTTTTCCCCATCTATAGAAAATTTTCGTAAGTAATATCATAAGGGCATTTAATTTTTCCGAAAAGAATCGAAAAAACACGTTGCTAAGTGATATTTTAACAAAAGGCATGAGTGCTGGTGGCAACAAAAATCCGAGTCGAGGAGGAGGATTTTTGCACCTGCACGAATGCATTTTGTTAAAAAATATTATTTTTTTCACAGGAAAAATTAGATGCCCGAATGGTATTTGACAAGACTATTTCATGAGTAACAGTTAACAATTAAAATATAAATTGCAATTTTTGGTGACAACAGCTGTCAAGTTTTGCCGCGGGTAAACTCGAATAAACTGCTGACAGGTGCTGTCACACAGTTTTTTCACCTAGAAACCATTTGCAATTCAAAATTGCGCGTTTGTGATTGGTGGAAATTAAGACGAGGGAAATAGTCATATGAAGAAAATTTCAATCAAAAAGCTTGATGTAGAGGGCTAAAATTTTTAGGGTTTTATTTTTGTCGATTTTAAATCGTGTTTAAGCTCCTGGAACAAGACAATTCGAAAGTACCCCAAATAAGGAGCACCCTAATACAATCAGGAAGTGGTAAAGTGGACTCACCTCGTTTCCTTAAATAGTCCTCTATCATGACCGCGCTTATCATGAAGACGTTGCCTACGCTGCCAATTGCTGCCAGTGATGCCAGAAGGATCAGTCTTGCCAGTCTGGACCAGTCGGGGTTTAGAGTCACGGGAGACACTGAGTTCGCTCCGTGCCCTGAGGCGTCGGTTATGTTGGAAATAACCATACCCTAAAAATTGATATTTTTTTGGTTATAAATAATATAAAGTTCCTTTTTTTATTATGTTGGTATTGTACATAAAGTTCTTTTTTATCTGGACTGCGGCAACGTTGCAAATTTAGGGTTTTGGTTGGTAAATACAGTTGTAAAGTTGGTCGCATTGATTAAAACAAACTAAGCTAGTTATAAATCTAATTGTGGTTATGTATAAATTATTGTAGGTTACACTGTGCAGTTGAGTTGTCGAAATTCGTAGTTAAAATGCAATTAATTTGGCTTTGGTGGTGCTTGGATGAGTAAAATCATATAAAAAAGTAGTTAAATATAGGTTGCTTTACGGCCCAGAAGAGAAAGTATTCCTAGCGGATAATAATCTTCGCTTTGAAAAGAATTTATATAAAAGAAATTAAAATTTTTTGTGAACGTAAATGTTGTCCAATGGTAAATAATGTGAAAATAATGTGTGATGTAATATTTAAAAAACCAAATTTGTTCCTTTTTAACTCCAAAAATGTCCATAAGGCGATGTACTTTTTCTTCCATTGTGGAATCTGGCATAATTTCATCAAAATGAAGTTTTGCCCTCAAAAGGGCTTCTACATTCGAATTCGTTGCTATTATTTAAATAAAATTTTGGCATAATTATCTTTTTACTAAGTAAATTATCAATAATAAATATTATTGTCAATTTGACAGTGTCAAAGTATTTAATTAAATTCTTTAGCAGAAGTACCATTTTTAAATACTAAAAATACTAGTCAAACTGGCATAAGCCACCAACCTAACAAAAAAACACGAGTCCTGATAAAAAAAATTAACTGTATGTTAATATACTTTGCTATTTTTAGTATTTAAAATTGGTACTCCTGTTTAATTTTAAATACATTGACATTCTTATTTGGTAAATTATTTAAACATTTTCAGTCATTGAAACTTTATCACGAAACATCAGTTTTTCATTGTTTTCAATATTCGGATGACTTGGTATTTATAAAACATTTAAAACAATACGAAATCTAAATATCGATAATAATCGCATTCGAATTCATTTGTTTTTCACCCGAAAGAAATAAAACTAGAAATGGGATAGTCATTTGTGCAAAAGGGGTTGTACGTTCATTAAAAAAAACGGAAAAACAAAAACACACTACATGTGACCTCAATTTCATCCGGTTTCGATCGCGGTGCAGACCGCTGGGAAAAATTAATTCAGTCTTTGTTAGGGGACAGGACAGGATTCATAGAAAAATATGAGTGCATTTTTACAATTGAAATATTTCGATATAATATTTATATATATATATATATATACAAGGTGTCCGTTTGTCGAGGCTAAGCATGGGTATCTCGCTTATCATTAGAATCTTCTTTGAATTCAGTACTTGAAACGAGCAGTCGAATCTTCCTTCAATAAAATACAATGCCAACAGAATAACCCAGATAAAGTTAATTTTCTTTATCTGGACTGCAGCAACGTTGAAAATTTAGGGTTTTGGTTGGTAAATACAGTTGTCAAGTTGGTCGCATTGATTAAAACAAACTAAGCTAGTTCTAAATCTACTTGTGGTTATGTATAAATTATTGTAGGTTACATCGTGCAGTTGTCAAGTTGAGTTCTGGAAATTCGTAGTTAAAAATGCGATTAATTTGGCTTTGGTTGTGCTTGGATGAGTAAAATCATATAAAAAAGTAGTTATAAATATAGGTTGCTTTACGGCCCAGAAGAGAAAGTATTCCTAGCGGATAATAATCTTCGCTTTGAAAAGAACTTATATAAAAGAAATTAAAATTTTTTATGAACGTAAATGTTGTCCAATGGTGAATAACGTGAAAATAATGTGTGATGTAATATTTATAAACCCAAATTCGTTACTTTTTTACTCCAAAAATGTCCATAAGGCGATTTACTTTTTCTTCCATTGTGGCAATTGGCATAATTTCATCAAAATGAAGTTTTGCCCTCAAAAGGGCTTTTACATTCGAATTCGTTGCTATTATTTTTGGCATAATTATCTTTTTATTAAGTAAATTATCAATAATAAATATTATTGTCAATTTGACAGTGTCAAGCAGAAGTACCATTTTAAAATACTAAAAATACCAAGTCAAACTGACATAAGCCACCAACCTAACAAAAAAACACGAGCCCAGATAAAAAAAAATGAACTGTAGCACAGAGACATCTTAAAGATGTTGGACTCGAACGTTTATGACATCTCTAAGACGTCCAGTTTACGATGTAGATAAGTCACCTTTAAGACGTCTTTAAGATATCTAATGTTACAAAACACACCGTCTTTAAGATGTCCTTTTAACGGCATTATTAAGTCGTTGCTAAACGTCGTTAAGACGTATTTAAGATGTTAAAGACTTATGCATTGCTACATCGCCAAAACGTTTTTAAGGTATTAAGTAATTAAAATGTAGCTACTCTGTGGTAGCTATAGCTGATAGGTTATAACCTAATATTTATAAAAAGTATCCTTCAAATAATCCCACAAAAACTTTCTGTAAGTTAAACAAATAAAGACAAGAGCTTAAAATGTTTTTGCGCCTCTGATGAACATTTTTTCGGTTTCGGCTCTGCCTTAGAATGGGTCTGTCAGTCTGTTGAGGGTTGTTCACCCTTAAAACTGAACTGGCGCGCTGAAACGCATCCGAGCGTCGATTTTCAGCGTTTACACTTTCAGGCGTTTACTTAAATGTCGCGATTTTCAATTGTCCTTCGAATAACACAGATCTGAGACAAGCGTTTGGAAAACAATAAAAACACTTAGTTAATTTAACTACGTAGCTGTTTTTGTATATATTTTATAGTCAAGATAGCTGAATTTAGCCTTTGTTAAGTTAACATTGTTTTATTATTATAATTGACCCCGGAGCATTCGCCATTTTTGGAAGTTTTTAATTATGGTTTCGCGTAAAAATCGAACAAATTTTGGACATTCGTTTGCAAGTGATGCCAGAATTAAATATATTTTTTTACCTTGTTTCTACATCTAAATGGTGTATTTTTTTCAGTAGACCTTATTATTGGCAATGAATCCACATATTTTTTTTTTAGATTTTAACATATAGGGGGCGCTGGGGACAATTTAATTTAAAATTTTACCATTTTTTAAGGGTTAAAAACCGAAGAAGCAACGTTGTTTTATAATTTTGAATATATCACGTTAAAGTACTGATAATTAATTATTATTTGATATATAAACTTCTACATGCAAATTATGTTTCTACGAGTGACATCATTTTTAAGTTGGGCCTTCAAAGGGCATAATACTAACGTGTTTTACAAAGTATATAATCTTTTATCTAGTTTTTTATAAGATAATTCTTACATATTTATTTTAAAAAATCGCCATAGATGGAGCTAAAACTACTTTTATTTATAAATTTAAAAAATTTCAAGTTTACTAATTTTGATCATAGTAGGCATCATAGACTTTTCTCTATGGTAACCTACCATTGGAAGCATGAAAGATAATTTGACAGTTCAGATTATAAGTAGCAAATGACTGATTGTGTTTCAATTTATAAGTGTACTTTAAACTCAAAACATTAATTTATTAAAATGAATAAACTAAATAATAATTATAGACAGTGTCAGCAAGTTAGAAATTATAACCTACTTTAATTTTATTTTTTGCTCCACAACAAGGCTTCACTTTATTTTTTAGTCGATAAGCAAGCTTCAATTTTAATTCAAGAACAAAATCGTTGCATTTTCATGTTTTGCCTAAGGATCCAATTCTGTACGTATATTTGTTGGTGCAGAATTAACTAATATTAGTTAATTCTGCACCAATTATATTAGGTAAAGTTATCATATGATAACTTTACCTAATATAATTTATATTTAAGTTTGGACATTTTTAAGAAATAATAAAATAATAGTTATACAAACATAACCTTAAAATCAAACATTTGTACATTTGAGTCCTCTAAAAAAACGCTGACAGCTGCATTTTAAAATAGTTAACAAAATCACAAATTCATTAAAAAAAAATAGTGACATCGAAAGTACCTACAAACCAGTGTACCTAATAATTATCATTATTTTTTACTGCAAACAATATACTTAATTGGTTTTTCTATTTTATTATGCTTCATGTCAAAATTGGGTTTGTTATTTTATTTTATTACGAGTAGGTATATCCATTAAAATTTTGCAGTATAATACGGACCAACTCTAATTAATTTCGGTATTTATTAGCAATATTATTTTATGTTGCCATTATTTTGGAAGGAAAATAAATAAACATATACATATGTATATAATCAAATATAAAAATATTCTTTTTTTCTTGGTTGCCTAGATCAAGTTTTTTTTTGAAAATTTGTACCATGTTTCACAATAACCGAATTTATTTTCTAAAGCTGTTTTCCATAATTAAAAAAATAATAATTTTAGAAGGATTTTTTTTTAAATTTTTTTTAATTTAAAATATATTTTGATAAACTTTCTAAAAAATTGTATTTTATGTATCAACTTGGGAATCTGTATTACCGTTAAATGTCAAATTTGTATGTGTTAAATGTGATAAATCGAAATTTATCCCTTGAAAATGGATTAACAACAGTTTATCATAGTGAAAGTGAAGAAAATGTTTTATGAGCTCTTCACATGCAGTCCGAGCCCGAATTTAAGTTTACTGCCGCCGAAATGAGGTCATTACAATTCGTTTATTTATTTAACAATTTATTCAATTAAATTAAAACAATTAAATCATAGAAATTATTTTAATACCGAAATTTAATTCAGTTTTAGGTATAAAAAAACGATTATAAAATAAAAAAGTTTTGGCAGCGGTGGGATTCGAACCCACGCCTCCGAGGAGACTGGTGCCTTAAACCAGCGCCTTAGACCGCTCGGCCACGCTACCTTATACAAAAACAGCACATTCAAATAAAATAAAACCCCAAAGGCTTTGTACACATGAAATTTCTAAAATCAAATGTTTATTTTCGTACCTACCTAATCTATTTTAATTGGAAACATATCGGGTATTCCATGCCAAATTGACCAACTCCAAAAAAGTTTTAAATTTTTCAAAAAAATAGTTTTTTTATTTTCAAATAGCCATTACTTTTTATAATTGACCTTTTGGTAGGTATTTTTTTTTAAATTTTTGTATTTAAATGCATTTTTCGAAAAAACTGACAAAAAAATGTAACATGATCAACTATGAAATTATCGCTTTTTTTAATAAAATTGTTATTTTCGCCATTTTTTATTTTTTTTCTCAAAAAAACTTCAATGTTACAATAATTATTATTTCCGCCAATTCCAAAGGGGGCAGATTTTTTTTTCTATTTTTTTTATTTAATTGAAAAAAAATTGTCTAATTTTCAAAAATTCGATTAAATTAAAAAAAATAGAAAAAAATGCCCACTCTGGGATTGGCGGGAATAATTGTAATATTAATTGTTTTTATAATAAAAAATGGCGAACTTCACAAAAATAACGATTTTATTAAAAAAGCGATAATTTCATAGAGTTGATCATGTAAAATTTTTTTTGTCTATTTTTTCGAAAAATTAATTTAAAAACAAAAATTAAAAAAAAGAGATACCAAAATGTCCATTTTTGAAAAAGTTATGGCTATTTGAAAATAAAAAACCTATTTTTTTTAATTTAAAATTTTCTGGGGTTGGATAAAAAAATTTGAAAAAATTTTTAAAAATGTTTTTCAAAGGGTAGAAAAACTTTTGGCCAGATCGGATTCAAAAGTGGTCGATTGGGTATGGGGTAACCTACATCTGACTTGAAAAACAAACTTCTCCTTCAGTCGATTATTTTAATGGAATTTCCTGATTATAAAATATTTGTTTAGGTAAAGAGTCTTATTTTAGCTTTATACCTACTTAAAATAAATATCCAATTACTAAACTATAATTAGACAAATTAACTTCCGAAATAGTTTCCCGAAGGCAGCGTTATAATTATTTAATCAATTTACTTATTTATTTATAATTATAATAAGACTTACATAGGTACCCAGACCGCAAAATCACATTCCCTGCACATGTCAGGAATATTCCCAGGAATATTCCAATCGTCCCAGAATATTCCCAGGAATATTCCTGGCATAATCAAATGTCCGCTTTTTGGTTAACCCAGGCATCATAAAAAGAATATTCCATATATCTGCCTGCAGAAGACTCAAGGATTGTTAGGGGAATATTCCTTGATATAATTTGGGGATTATTCCCAGCCCTTATTGCCTCTTATACCCAGGAACTTAACTTAAGTATAGCCATTATTGAGTAGATCAGTCCCACTCTAATCATTGTTTAGCTGTGCCATCACAGACGCACATCTCCAACTAATATTATTAACCTATCGGTATATATAGTTATCAAGCGTGCGTAAGCAACGGTGAGAGGTATTGCAACTAAACTAATGAATATTCACTGGGAATATTCTTAGATGATGCTTGGAAGTTTTAGAGGATCATTCTAGGACTATTCCCAATGAATATTCCTAGAATGAAGCGGATTATTCCTAGGCGATAGGGAATATTCCTGGAATATTTTCGAACCTTCATTGCAGTCTGGGTAGGTACTGTAACTATCTGTAAAACGTGTATTTAGCTACTGTATACAGTAGTAGGTATACTTGTATACATATGTATATATACATATATGTACTTACCTGCTTTTAAAAGCATTATTATTACGTAAATATTAGAAAAACAATTAATAATATACCTAGGTAGGTCTTCTGTATCAAGTTTGATAAACGCCATTTTTATATTTTTGTATTGAGATAATAAAATAATTTTCACATTCACTATTATTTCACAAAAACGGCAGCTTAATTTGACACTTTTTTGACATTTGATCTGTCAACTAACTTAAAGCTAACTTCAGCCCGTGACTAAAAACCTGTTGCTAACTTCAGCCCGTGACTAAAGCGCCATAAAGCCACAACTTGTCAATGTGTATTTTAAAGGTCACTTAGTGTCATGGAAACATGTACCTACGATAAAGGTCGTTTTAAAGGTGGGAGTAGAAAAAGTAATTTAAATAAAATTAGCTCTAATGAAAAAAGCTTATGCATACTAAAACTCACGCAGAAAACTTTTTCCGGGGCGTAAAATCACGCTATATTAAAAGTAGGTAGGAAGTTTAAACTTTTATGTGGGTCTAAGATAAAGAAGTTTGATGCATTTTATTTAAATTACAACTTCCTGATTTTTAATGAAAAAAAAGGTAAACTTTATTAAATAAAAAATTATAGGTAATCTGACCTTGAGGTTAATTTACGAAAAAAAGTTTTATTTAAAAAAACCTATTTTTAGCATAAATTGGTCAATTATTTACGTATTTTCTTGCGAAGTTTTCTCCATTTACCAAACACGCTATTTTTGAATTATTTTCTACGATGACCCTTTGGATAAAGAACACTAGTGTTCAAGCTTGATCTATGCCATAGAAAAACCTCTATGGTCTATGCTCTTGTTTCAACTAGTAAACACCAAGATACATACACCTGAACATAGAAAACGATCTAAATACTAAAAATAGTGCAATATTGCACCATTTTCAGTATTATAATACATATTATAAATCTTATGACCAATCAAGAACAACAAACAGAAAAATATCGTGTTTTATGAATAACCTGATAATATTTAACATTTGAATCATATACCCAAGTATTTTGATAATAAAACACATAATTTTGTTTACCTACCTATTTAAAATTCAAAACAAGGAATAAATATTATGGTTTAGCTATAAGAATTCAATAAAATCAACAGACAATTACAAACTTAATAGATAAGAGGAATAAAAATTTCTTGCATTTTTTGGAATCCTTGATTTCCCACATTGTTGCAATATATCGTATTTATTACTTTAAAAGAAGAACAACCACATTAAACCATAATAACAAAATAACGTTTAAGTTCTTAAGCCCGATCAAAATCAATATTTTAACCGGGCTTTCCAGGAACAACACCCTTTGAAAGCGCATGGAACGCCTAGAACATCACATCGGCAACGTCGCCGTATGTGCGCTGACAAAATATCATGACAAATTCGTACAATGTTTTATGATCTGTGGTTTTCTACAGTAAAGAAGATGTTTCAGCTGTTACAGTATTAATTTTCCAAAACAATAATAGGATTTATTGGTGTTTAGTTTCATTTATACGCCTCTCTAGTCAACAATTAGATATCAAGCAACGAAAACGTTCGAGTCAATTTATTTTACTGTACACATTAGAAAGATTAGTTCTGCAATTACTACCAAACAGGCGGTTTTTTCAACAATCAACATAAATGTTTGTAAATGATTTTTAACGTTGTTTACTACATTGCCACAAATGTAAGTATTTATTTTGGTTTTAAGGTTTTATCGCGTGTATTGTGTAAAAAGTGAGGTTAGAAAAAATTAAATAGGTTACTATACTAGATTATCATGCATTGTTATTAAATGTTTTTGAAGTAATACCTACATAGGGAAACAAAAGCAAGTTATTTGGTTGTCTTTGAAGTAGGTAATAGATATTCAACTATTTATGTTCTGCAACTAATTAGTATATTTTGTTTCCATAGTAGTTTTATTATCTATTTAAATTAGTTACCTTAAGCTATCTGAAATTTATGTAATGATAAATAGGGTACCATTTATAAATTTAAAAAAGAAAATTTACTAGAAACAACATATTTTTTTATCATTGACATAATTAAAATGCGTTTTGATTAGGTATGATTTTTTTTTCGGTATAGTTTATACTATAGCTATACAGTTTTTAACGGAGTTTCAATTAAAAGGGCTAGTGTATGAAGGTCAGGAGCGGATCCAGAGAAAGATATTTTTTGTTTTCTTTGGAATTAAAAATAAAATTTCTAAAGAAATTTTTAAACATTAAGTTTTTACCGGTTTTCCAATAAACAGTGTCAATCTGAATAAGGAAATAAATTGCATACAGTCTCTGTAAATATAAATTGTACCTATTAGATACAATAAATACACATTTTAGTAGTGATTAACGTGAAAGTGTAAACATTTCAATTCAGTAAAAATTGTCAAACAAACAAGTCGTCTAAATTTAAACAGCATTTAGCATTATTAAAAGTGTTGATTAAGAAAGTCTCCACTCAAGGGTAAAATACCATTATATTATGTAATATATACAGGGTGTCCCAGAATTAGTGCGACAAAATGAAGGTGTATTATCTAAAGACCCCCAGGAATTCCAGAAAATTGTTTAAAAAATTCTTTCTTCATTATTACAGATACAGGGGAGTCATATTTTCTTTATATGGCAACATTGCCTCATAACAAAGTAATAGTTAAATTCTTAATCATCATGACAACAAACAACAATGTTAGAAAATGCCAAATTTGTTTATATATATATTTTATACACAGACTGTGATTTTATAGTTATAGGTTATTTATTTTACGTCAGACAGGGACTCCCTGTATTTTTTTCTATCCAGTCTGACGTAAAATAAATAACCTATAACTTAAAGTAACAAATTTTGACATTTAAATTTGTCATTTTCTAACATTGTTGTTTGTTGTTATGATGATTAAGAATTAAACTATTACTTTGTTATGAGGCAATGGTGCCTTATAAAGAAAATATGACTCCCCTGTATCTTTAATAATATTAAATAATGAAGAAAGAATTTTTTAAACAATTTTCTGGAATTCCTGGGGGTCTTTAGATAATACACCTTCATTTTATCGCACTAATTGTGGGACACCCTGTATAATATTATATTGCCATGAATTCCTAGGTATATTTTATTGTTTAAAAGGCAGTTGTCGGCGTTTTTTAGAGAACTCAAATAGAAAAACGGTTGATTTTAAGGTTATGTTTGTGCAAAAATTATTTTTTTACTAATTTCTTAAAAATGTCCAAACTTAAATATAAATAAATATATTGGGTAAAGTTATCATTAGTTAATTCTGCACCAACAAATGTACTCACCGAATTGGATCCTTTGGCAAAACATGAAAATGCAACGATTTAGTTCTTGAATTTTATTTACATCTAAAAACACAATAATTCACCATGATCCCTTAGATAAAATGCACACAATAACGTAACTATATAAGCATTTAAGCGTTGAGTTTCTTAATCAATGATATAAGGAATAATTATTATAATCGATTATAATCAATCGAAATCGAGTACTAAAAACGTTTTTTAATTTTTTCTTGCAACGTAAAACACAAATAACGTGCGCGATTTAGCTGTGCAATTGAATGAAATTTGTCGAGTAAGACTTCTGCCTTTCTCTCTTTTGTGAAAAAACTACCTATTTATTTAAAAATGATGTATAATCTGTGCTTTAAATGCTGTTTAAGAAGATAACAATGTTGTTTAAGTTGTTTTTGACACCCTAATATACTTATAATAAGGTTTTTTAAAAATCATTTGGACGAATTTAACCAACCCTGTCTTAAGTCCACGTCTGACGGTGCAACTTCTCGCGGCGACTTTGTTGCGGCGACTAGGTCACCGCGATTTTTTGGTGGTCACACGATGCAATTAATCAGCTGATCTAACCTGTCTCAAAATAGAACATGTTCTATTTTCATGCAATAAAATCGCCACGACTTAGTAACTTTTTTAGGGATTTACGAATTTTCACTAAATTTTTTGGTTGGTACTCAATATTTATCAGCTGTGGAATGACAGATGTGATTTGCGTGTGCTTTAATCTGAGTGTTTTTATTTTTACACCACAAAATACTTATAACTTTAAAAGAAAAACAAAACCGATTAAAATAAACATTAAATTTGTTTAGGGATTTTTATTTTTCAACTAAGTAATTTTCGGTTATGTTGGCAATCCTAGTAGAAAATAACGTCAGTTTGGTTGCACCGTGTGAACACCCTAGAGGCGAGAAAGTCGCTGCAACTAGTCGCCGCGAAAAATTGCACCGTCAGACATGGACTTTAGATATTTTTTATTGTTGCAGCCAAGGTAAAAACATCCTCTGACACATTATGCTTAAAACTGCCCAGATCAACCAAGCAACAAATTCGCCACCTACGCTCGATTCCCATTGATGTCCCTCCGTTACTACCGCATCAAACTAACAAAATTCCGCGAACGTTTCCAAAGGTATCGCGATAAAATGATGGACTCGAGCAGCAGCCACCTGATCAGCGACGAATACACCGAAGTCTACCGACGACTGCCGTTCGCGCTGCAGCTCAGCTACGGCGTGGGCCACGTGCTGAACGACGTGTGCGCGTCCATGTGGTTCACCTACTTGATAGTGTTCTTCAGGTACGTGCTGAACTTTTCCAACTGGCAAACGGGGTTCCTTCTGTTGGTCGGGCAGGTGGCGGACGCCTTGGCCACCCCGTTCGTGGGCTTCCACTCCGACCAATCGGACACCTTCTGGTTGTGCCGCTACGGCAGGCGAAAAATTTGGCACTTACTCGGCACTTTCTGCGTCCTCGGCGCTTTCCCCTTCATTTTCTCGCCTTGCCTCGGATGCACGGAGCTTAGAGGTTGGCCGGAGATGTTCTACTACTCGATTTTCATAGTGGTGTTTCAATTTGGATGGGCCTCGGTGCAAATCTCCCACCTGTCATTAATTCCAGAGTTAACCCCCAACGAACACGACCGCACGAAACTAACTGCTATAAGATACTGCTTTACTGTGGTATCAAACGTCTTGGTGTACGTAATAACCTGGTTGGTTCTGCATTTGGATGATGGAGAGAGTTCCAAAATCGGCCCCAAAGATGGCCCCAAGTTCCAACAAATTATCTGGTCTGTGTTGTCAATAGGCTCTGTTTGCTCAATTATTTTCCACCTAATGGTAAAAGAAGGTGATAGTACTAGTAGTAACAACGTCAGAGGCGGTCAGCTACGTACAAGCGTTTGGGAGCTACTAACCACCTTGGAAGTATACCAAGTCGCGTTAATTTACATGTCGTCGCGACTATTTGTAAATTTAACCCAAATCTTCATACCTCTATACCTACACGAGACCCTGGACATGGTGGCAAGTTCCCTCGCTGTGATACCCTTAACTATGTTCTTGGGTAGCTTCTTGACGTCATTGGCGATCGAACGAGTCAATAGATCCCTCGGAAGAAAAATCACGTACGTGATTGGCATGGTGTTAGGCGTGTCGGCCTGCATTTGGATTAAATTCGGGCAAGATTCCCTCTATACAAACGTCTTCATCTACATCGTCGCCATTTTGGTAGGTGCTGGTGGTTCTATAGTACTCGTAACCAGTTTGGGCATCACCACCGACCTCATTGGCGATAGAACGGACAATGGTGCTTTCGTCTATGGTATTATGAGTTTCACCGATAAAATGGCGAATGGAATTGCCGTCGTGATCATTCAGGATCTGCACCCGACTGCTACGACTTACTACAGAGATATTTTGGCGTACGTCTGTGGAGGTGCTATTATAGTTGGGGCTTTGGCTGTGATTTTCTCTTGTCGCGGATCGAGCACAAGGGATGAATATGAGAGGATTCCCGAACATCAATCGATAAACTAGATTTTATTTAAAGTCAGTTTTTTACTTAATTACAGGGTTAAACATTTTATCGTTTTTTGATATTTTATTATTGTTAACGTAAATTAAATAATACTCCAAAGTTGGACAATTATTAATCCCATATTTTATTTTTTGACACTCATCATTAACGATGACAATTGTTATTATTTAATTAGGCAATTATACAATAACTTAATAATAATATTTATTTTTATATACACTTCAAATAAAAAGTAAAAAATAACAGGCATTTTAACTTTATCTAGCATTTGATTCCAACAAGCTATCTGTGTTATAGGCTCTAATTAATAGTGGTATTTTAATTTAAATGGGCGTTAGTGCAAATCTATCACTTGTCCTTAATTTCAGAGGAACACGTTTGCACAAAATTAACCGCTATAAGATATTGCTTTACTGTAATATCAAACGTTTTGATACAACTACGTTATAACCTGATTGGTTCTGCATTTGGATAATGGTGAGAGTTCCAAAATTGGCTCTAAGATCCACAATATTATCTGGTTGCGTTATTATTTTCCACCTACTGGCAAAAGAAGGTGATAGTACTTGTAGTAACAACGTCAGAGGCAGTCAGCTACGTAAAAGCGTTTGGGAGCTACTAATCACCTCAGAAATATACCAAGTCGCGTTAATTTACATGCCGTCACGACTATTTGTAAATTTAACCCAAATCTTCATACCTCTATACCTACACGAGACCCTGGAAATGGTGGCAAGTTCCCTCGCTGTGATACCATTAACAATGTTCTTGGGTAGCTTCTTGACGTCATTGGCGATCGAACGAGTTGGCGCATTGGCTGTGATTTCCCCTTGTCTTGCCTTACAGGGTTAAACATGTTATTGTTTTTTGATATTTTATTATTGTTAACGTAATTTAATTAATACTCTAAAGTTGGATAATTATTAAGCACATAGGTATATTTTGACAATTTTTATTATTTACAATAATAAATATTTTTATATATTTTTGTATACATATATATGTATATATACTTCAAATAAAAATTCCTAAAAACAAGTATTTTATTTGCGTGGCATTTCAAAAACGTCCGATTGGCCGAACATTGAAAACGAATTAACATCGAAATTACATCAAACAATAGGTTAGCGCAAAAAATGGTATTCGAAATTGATTTTCCCGTGGATATGTAGTGCCTCGAGGCACTACATATCCGGATCCGGTAATAGGTGCTCTATGAAATTACACGGAATAAAGCATTTTGCTGCTATGGCAACCCGTTATGGAGAGGTGTCTATTATGACGCATTTACAGATTCATAAAATGCACACTCAATCAAATTATAAATTGACTTTTTGTTAAAAGGGGAGCCCAACAAGAGTTAACTGGTTCGTTCCAGCGCCTGTCATAAAATTAATCATCTTGCTCGAATTTGTCAAATTTGGCGAATGCTCCGGGATTAAAATTCAAATTAAAACTTTCAATGAAGTTCGTATTTTCTCCCACGCGTGTGTTTAGGTGTAAAATTTTATTTTATTGCTGTTCGTGCCTCCAAGTGAGCTTTTATTTATTTGCGTGGGCGATATTTTTAAATCAGTTGTTTGTACTATTTTTTTGACGTTTGTGTGAGGTTATGTGCATAAATTTATTTTACAGTGACCTGTAATTGTACAGTTACCTACACTGATTTCAAACTAAATGCGATAGATGTACTTTTCCTAATATTATTTTTATTATTGTACGGCGGTGCATAATAATTTGACTTTTGAACTGCGTACAAAAATGGAGTCTTTCTATAGAGGCTTATGAGTGTTATAATATGAAAATTGTTATACGCTTGTTTTCTTGTTTGATGTAAAATGGGTAATAATTATTTACGGTTTTTTTTATTAACCAAGTTAAACGAACAATATAAGTTTAATCAGACGTGTAGAAGTGGTTGTAAAAATTATAATTGAACGTTCTAGACCACGGAAAATTTATTGGATTGGATTCTGCCACATAAAGTTTAGTGCTGTAAGATTTCATTAACTAACGTTGAAACATTTGCTCTTTTTTTGTGAAAAAGTACAATTTCAGGTTAAGTTAATTACTATATTCTACGAACTGTTTCTATGAACTTTCAATTGCATTTGATATTTTTGCAAGATCCAATAGTAAATTGATGGCCACTTAAATTTAATATCATTTTGGCAATATGTTTTAATAGGTTCTGTTTTCAAGATTCACATTCTGTTTTACATTTATTGTGGTTTATTTGGACCTATAATTATATAAATTGTATTTTCATTAAGTTTTACCAAAAATTGACCATAATTTTATGCCAATCATTTCCCAACGCGATAGCATAAAAACTGCATGAAAATAAAGACATAATTAAAATTACTTTTGGCCAACAAATTGGCAAAGCGATTGTCATGCAGATTGATCGAAACGCAAATAATTGATCAGCATGGAAAAAGACTCAGTTTACTATGCGCAATAGCGAGTTATAGGTAAGTCGTAAAAAGTTAATTAATATTTCAAAAAGGCTTAAAAAGTGCGTGTGTGAAAGTTATTACAAAAAATATAATCATCCGTGCACTAATTAAACGTGTGTTAAGTTTTAAACGGTTTTAAATTTTGAGTAAGTAATTAAGGTGATGTTTTCAGTTTTTTAATAAATAATTACTACAATTTCTTACTTTTCCCTCCTTAATTTTAAAGTAATATAAATTTACATTAGTAGTTATATTTTTGTTCATTGTTTCAGATCATAGGAATATTAAGTCCTATATTCTACATTCTACATTCTCTGGGTATGTCTACGGATTGAGTTACAAAGAGGAAATTCCTCCTTGTAACTCAATCCCCAATACCCTGATACTGTATTTTAAATAAATGGGAAATTTAACGACAGCTTGGCATTAAACATCTCGCACAAGTTGTTTTGGTTAAACAAGCCTTATTTTAATATGCTTTCCATCTAGTGTGCTAAAAATATTTTAAAATTTATTTGATAACAATTCTTAAAAACGATTTTTCATACTTTCATTATTTTTTTTGTACATGTTTCATATCTTGACAAATTTTGATTAATTGCAAGGGCGTGAGTTAAAAGAGAGCGTGAATGGGAAACCCCACTTTCCGGCAATAAAAAAAGAAAAGAAGAGAGCCGCAAAGACACGTGTTTATTTATCGAACCGAGTGAGTGGTTAGACCACCTTCGACACCATCAAACATTCAACTCACCGGTGCTTCGAGAGATCAACGACTGCCTCAAACTATTCGATCATAGCTGCGTTTGATTGGATCACTAATTAGTTGGCCCCTTCGGCAACTGTGTCGAGCAGCCGGCGCCTTCAAACCGTCGAGTTCGATCGGAGTGTGCGAGAGAGACTGCGACGCTCATCGACGCCCGGTTCGAGTGATTGTGAGCGACGCTGTCGACGCCAGGAGGGTGTCTGGGCGTCCGAAGAGTGGGCACATGCGCTCAACAAGTATCTCGTCGTAAACCGCCACAGATGAACCGCGAGATATCGATGGAAATGTTGACGCGGATTTTTACTATTTTCCTTACTACGTGGGCTGTTTTGCTAGGGGAATTGCGGCGTAATTGTTTTTCTGTCTTTATTTACAGAAGTTAATTAATTTTACAATCAAAGCACAAACCGCAACATTAATTACATAAGAAAATAATAGTCTCACAGATCATAAAACTTATAATAGTCTGACATTTAGAAAAAAACGAAGGACTACCATTGTTAGTCTGATTATTTCATCTGCCGGGTATACATAGTTACTCAAAAGTATCTTAGTCACTTAATACTTGGATACTTTCATATAGTATCTTAGATACTTTCTTAAGTATCTTGTAACTAAAGATACTTTCAAATCAAAGTAACTAAATTATTTTTTTTAAGTACGCAACTGGCAAGTCATTCTTAAATGTTTTGGTCGAAAAAGGATAAAAGGTAATTAGAAGTCAAACAGTTGAGTTTATCCTCAAAAATCATTTTATTAACGAATGTACAGGTTACATTAAAAAATTATTAAAATAAATTAATTAAAATTAAAGCATAGTACATTTACAAGAACGTAATGAATAAAACTACAAAGCTAAAAACTATGTACAAACTTATTGAATATTTTACAATTAACTAATAATATAATTTAGCAGAAAACATCAGTCATCATCTAAAAAAGAAACAACATATAACTTGATGATATCAAGTGTAATGGCAAAAATATTAATTTATGTACTTGTAATTATGTAATTACTTACTTCTAACATATGGCGGCGTATCGAATAGATTTTGTTGACCCAGCAAGTTCGGATTGATCTTCTGATTCATTTCCTGTATCCAGTTAAAATCGGGCACTCTGTTGGCAGTCGGCGCTCTCCTTAAATTAGACATAAATTTTTGCATGTTGTCTTGCCTATGGCGAGTCCAAGTAAAACTAATTTGTACAAGCCGAAAATTATTTTGACTAACAAAACAAACAACGTTTTTACGCTAATTGTTGCCGAAAAACTTAAAAGTTTTAACTTTGATCTTAAAAAATGTCGATTACAAGTTAACCTAATAAATATGCGTAGAGGGACTCTGAAAGTTTTTTGTATGGGTGCCTATTAAAAGTTTTGTAAAGAAGTTAAAAAGGTCAAAGTTATTGTTTGAACAGTTTATTAACTTTACTGTAAAAATCAATAACCACATTCGGGTAATTTCACAAACTTTTCTTGTACAAAAGACTTACCCATCATGCTCCGGTTTCTCTGGATATGAATGCCTTTGCCCGGGAGCCGGGTGATACGAAGACCTGTAACCGGTATCCGTTTTCGAATGAGACGTTCTGTAAAAATCAATAACCACATTCGGGTAATTTCACAAACTCTTCTTGTACAAAAGACTTACCCATCATGCTCCGGTTTCTCTGGATATGAATGCCTTTGCCCGGGAGCCGGGTGATACGAAGACCTGTAACCGGTATCGGTTTTCGAATGAGACGTTATGTTTTTCGACGGCGGTTCCGGAGTTGGATAACCGAAGGCACGACTGCGGCTGCCTCCAACCGGTTCTCGGTATTTATTCTTGTCTGTTCTCGCGTCCTTTGGTGGAAAATTTCTTCCTCCTTCAAATCTGCGACCGTCCCTTGTCTCACTTCTTTGGTTTCTAGATGAATGCTCATCTCTTGGATGTTTGAACTCTGCAGAGCTTCGCGATTTGCTGTGGTGGGGGGGTTCCTTACCCCTTTCGTACTCCCTTTGCGGGTAACTATACCTCCCCTTCTTCTGGTTGAATCTATCTTCCTCCATGTCGGCTTTTCTCTTATTATTCCTTTCGTACTTCTCCAATTCAATCTTTTTCCTCTTCATATAATTTTTGTAATCTTCCGACTCGCTAAATCGTCTTTTATCGGGTTTCTCTTGCCTTGGCTTAGGACTGCCCTCCGATTTTAAACGATCAAAAACTGCGTTTAAGTCTTCCTCCGATTGTCTACTCTTCTCTTGCTGCACATTCTTCTTAATCGAAGGGTTGTGGATCCTACTCGATTCCTTTGGTTTATCGTAAACCTTTTTCTCCTCCCTTTTACCATTCTCAGTCCCTTTAACATTGTTCGGCTTGACTCTGTAGTCTTTCTGCTTCAGCCTATCGAAAATGGCGTCCGTATCTTTGGGTTTGTTTTTCTGGCCCGCCGAGATTTTGGCAGCGGGAGCCTTCTTAGATTCCACAGCGGGTTTTTGTTTTTTCAAGTCTTCAACTTTTTTACCGGCGTCGACCTTAAGTATATTTTCGATCAAGTAGTTAGATGATGTTCTTTCTTTCTTTTCTTCAGTATTTTTAACGCTTGCTGTGTTCGGTGCCGGTTTTTTTTGTAACAAATCCGTTCTGGGCCGAATTAAACCGGTAGGGATGAGTTGAGGTTGAGGGGAGGGAGTTTTGTCTATTGAGGTGTTTTCTATTGTTTGCTTTTTGGCGTCAGCGGTTGCAGTAGGAATTGTATTTGCTTCGGGCTCCAAACTGAAAGGGCAGTTCGAATAAGTATTATCATCTTCGTGAGCTATTTCGATTTCATTTGTTTTTGCCATTTCGTCGACAATTTCTTGATCATTTTCATCTAGAGGTACGTCCAATAACAAAAACGATTGGTTAAGTTCAGGTTCTGCGGGTGTCACGTTTGCTTCTGGTGGTATAATTTCATAAGGATTTTCTATACTAGAAGTAAGACTGTTATCTTTAGAGGGTACTTCTTGTACCTCTTCTTCAATCACTGGCGAAGAGGTTTCAACGGGTTCACTCGACTCTTCCATAATTTTCTCTGGCACTACATTTTCCATGTTTTTGTCAGTTGAATTTATGGATACATCTTCACGTTCTATTCTATTTGTAGAACTTTGAGGTGAGGGATCTTTAGATTTGGGAGCCTTGTCTTGTTTTGGAGGAGCTTTAAGGTGCGTGCGGTTATGTTTTCTAGCCAAAAGCTCGACGAGGGATGGATGTGCATCCTGTTTTGCTTCTTTTAGTTTTCTTGGTTGTTGGGGTGTTTGTTCCTTGCAACTGTAATTTTTAAGGTCATTCAATATGTTATAAAGGTTGGGTTTGGCCTTTTCAGGGGAAGGTGAACGGGGTATCACCGAGTGTTCCCCGAACGCGAAGGACTTGATGAGTTCGTTCTGATTCATGTGGTAAGTTGGAGTGGTTAGAGGCTCTGCCGGCAGAACCAAAACCTTACTGCTTTGCTCTTGATTGTTCGCCATGAGTTCCGACCATTTGGCCGACTTCGGGTTGATATCGTTCGCAATGGTCAAAGAATCTTTACTGGAGTCATTGCTTTCCATAAAGTCTTCCATTTCGGGAATAAACTGCAAACTTTGGTAGGAATTTTGGGTGGATCTGTTGCCGATTTCGATGATTTTGTTAACGACATCGTCCATTTCCAAAGTAAGATCGAGGTCTTCCTCAAAGTTGTTATCCTGAAATTGTATTTCGCACAATGCAATTTTTTTTATTGCATATTTGGAATCTACGCTAAGGTGACCAGACGTCCCGATTTTGGCGGGACAGTACCGCTGCATTAGAAAAAAGTCTTGAGTGGGACAAATAATTTGTATGTACTAACTTTCCTTTACAGATAATTTCGCATAATTCGTTAAAAACTATCGGTAGTCCCATTGCCGACTACCAAAAACTATCTATCGATGGTCCTCGACTTTAGACTGAAGAAACGGTTTCGCACAGAGGGGCAAACAGGACTGCAGTGCCCGAACTTTCAGCACAGTAATTTTCAGAAGACACGGACGAAAACGAACAAATAGCACTTCAAGACCATCAAGGATAGGTCCAAGCAGCGAACTAACTAACTAAACCCCATTCATGAACCCCAATTGAAAGGGGGTATTACTGAATCCCTGGTTAAGGGGGATTCCGGATTGTACTTAGTTTTGGGTTAGTCCAATGTCCCCCAAAAATCAATGTTTTCCCTCCTTGTCTGTTGGTAAAAAAACAACTCTGGGATTTATCACTTATTCCAAAATTCCATACACTGAACCCTTGTTAGTTTAAAAAATTCAAGTGAATAATATTTATAATTGAAAAAAGTTTGTATTTAATTTTTCTTAACTACACGTCCCGCTTTGTGACTAGATAAAAGAGGATTTATTTATTTTTTTATCTATGCTTTGAGACAACATAAATCTGGTCACCTTAGCGATATCCACCGCTTTTTATAAACTATTTTTTTCAAGCGTTTAATTTGACTAATATATATAATAAAGACTGTCGCTTGAAAAAAAAATGTTTTTTTTCAACAGGATGGTTGTTTTTAGTGAAAAATATTTATAATAGAAGTATTTTTACACTGATTTTCGACATGTCCGAACCCCATTGGTTGTCGTCATTCTCCGGAGCGTCGCCGAGACTCAAGCGCTTCTTTTCGTAGGGCAAGGCCAGCAAAGGATCGCCAGCTAAATAAATCATGATTAAAAAACTGTTTATAAAATTTTTAAAAATTTACTCACTGGAAGTGTAGGTGTGATCTCCAGTTGGTTTTTCGCCTATGATTTCGTAACCCCTGGAAAAATCGTCCTCTTTATTCGTAGACGTAATTTCGAAATTGCTGGGCTCGGCAGTGCTCGTAGATGGTTGCGATTCAGTCGGCATGCATTGCAAGGACGGAATAATTTTACTTGGCGAAATCCCTAAGGTTTCCGTCAGAGCATTTCCATCGTTCGAATGTTGGTTGTATTCGTACATCAAGTTTTTATCCATTTCTTCGCCGGTCTTAATCTGAACCTCTCTGGGCGAGACGCAATGATCTTTAATGTTGGCTTGCGATGTTACAAGGGTATTCAACAACATCGATTTCGACGAACTAAAAAATGTCGGTATATTAACTGTTGAAGTCTGCTCTGGTTGCAATTTGAGAATGTTAAAATCGACGGTATTTTCCACTCCGTCGTTCGTGGTTTCTATGTATCCTGGGAAACTTTCCGAAAGATATTGCTCAATAGGTGTTTTGATTGGTGTGGTGTTATCTTCCCCACTATCATCTTCAATTACAACGGTGTCAGTGGTCGTCAATTCTTCAGTGGGCTTCAAAGGTTGCACATCGATGAGAGGAACTTCCTCGAATGCTTTGTCCAAGGACACGTTGCCAGTTTGTCCATTGAGATTTTCGTTCATTAATTCCAATATTTGCAAGCTACTCTCTACGTCTTCCTTTAGCATTGAGGTGTTTTCTATCATTTCCATTTTGATTGGAATAGGAATTTTATTTGTTTCAGGCTCCCAACTGAAAGAGCTGATCGAATTAGTATCATCATCAGTTTCATCTTCGTGAGCAATTTCGATGTCATTTGTTTTTGCTATTTCGGCGACAATTTTTTGATCATTTTCATCAAGAGTGACGTCCAACAACGAAAACGATTGGTTTAGTTCAGGTTCTGTGGGTGTTACGATTTCTTCAGAAGGTTCATCATGCAAAATCATTGTTTGTTCTTCTGCTATATTAGAAGCAAAACTGATATCTTCAGAAGGTAGTTCTTCTTTAATAACAATTTCTTGATCATTTTCATCCAGAGAGACGTCCAATAACAAAAACGATTGGTTAAGTTCAGGTTCTGCGGGTGTCACGTTTGCTTCTGCTGGTATATTTTCTATACTAGAAGTATCACTGTTATCTTTAGGGGGTACTTGAACCTCTTCTTCAATCACTGGCGTAGGGTTTTCAACGTGTTGATTCGACTTCATAATTTTCTCTGGCACTGTATTTTCTATGTTGTCATCAGTTAAATCGTTAGATACTGGTGGTTCAATTGACTCCTCCAATATTTCTTGTGGAACTACACTTTCTATGTTGGTACTATTAGTTAAATCAATTTCACTTGGTTGTTTCATTTCCTCAGAAATAGGTTCTTTAACATGATTGCACTCTATGCTTTTATCTTCAATTTCTTCAGTAGTTTTTAATACAACGTCTTCAGTTTGTGTCGGTTCAACTGTAACATTATTTTTTGAAGTATCTTCGCGATTATTTTTTTCCAGCTGCCTTTTGTTTACAACAGTTTCTTTGTTGGTTTCTTTAAAAAAGTCCAAAGTTGGGGGATTATTGCCCTCTTCATATTCCACACAAAGCATGTACGTTTCGCCGATGTCCTCCTTATTCACCAAAATTATGGTCGGACGTTTACATCCATTCGGTAACAATTCTGTTTTAAATTCTTTCTCTTTTGGTTCATCTGTAATTACATCTACATCTTCATCTTTAGCTTTTTCATTTTTATCAAAAGTTATGTTTCCATTAGGTTTAGTATCCAGTTCTTCTTTATCATTTAATTTTAATAATTCTGGTACTTCGATGGTTTCTTTTTCATGTATAGTTTCGTTTATATCGTCGTCAATTTCCATTTCCATTACATTAGTGTTATCTATGCAGGTCTCGTCCTCTATTGGATCTTCAAATAATTCCATTTTTTCCAATTCACGCGTTGCTTCAGAAATTTCCTTTGCAACTTTAGATTCTCTTTCTTCGTTTTTATCCAGTAGTTTAGTTTTAACATTTTTATTGTTTCCAATCATTACGTTATTGGGTTGGTTGTTGGAAGTAATATTTAATCCTTTTTTACCAAATATATTCTCTTTAATTTCACGAGGCAAATTTAATATCTTATTTAATACAAGAGGTTCAGATATTCTTTTTTCAACATTTATTGAATTTATATGATTTAATTGTTTCTTTTCTGTTATTTTTCTGTTATTTTCTTTGGGATGGGTCTTTAAATTTAAAATTTTAGCGTTAAGCTTCTTTTTTAACATCCTGAAATTGACATTTTTCTTCAGTAAAACTTTTGGTTTTCCTACATGCATCTTTTCACTATTCTTGCTAGCTAAAACAGAGTTTTCCACTGGAAGGTCCATTGGCTTTTTTGTCAAAATACTGTTTAAGACTGTTTCTTCTTTCGAAACCTCTACATCATCAATTTTGTGGGTCAAAACTGGCTCTATTGTGGGAAGTTCCTTGTTCAAAACCTCGGCGGTTTTAAAAGGAATTGTATTATTAGTTTTGTTGGTTAAAACTGGTTCTTCTCTTGAAAGTTCCGTTATTTTTTTCTCTTCAATGATTGTACTGATGAAGCCGGTTTTTTCTTTTGAAATTCTTTCTGTTTCTTTAGGAATTTCGTTGAGGATGATGGGTAAAACTGATAGATTCAATGGGAGTTCTGTTATTTCCAAAGGTGATGCCATATTTATTATGTTTGATTCTGGTTCTTCTTTTCTCCTTTCTATAAGCTTTGTGAAAACGTCTTCTTTTTTTAACTCTTTTATTTCCATTGGCTTTTCATCATCGACTTTGGTGGTCAAAATTGGCTCCTCTTTTGACAATTCTTCGTTATTAGAAACAACTATTTCTTCCTCATAGCTGGAAACATTCTCTTTGGGTAGTTCTTCCGTTACCAAAGTTTTTCCTATGTTAACTGTATTAGTTAAATCAAGTCCCTCTTTAGCAATTTTCACTGATTCAACATCAATTATTTTGTCAGTCAAAACTTGTTCTTCTACTTGTTGTATTGTTTCCATTTTATTTTCAGCTTCAACATTGCTAGTTATAACTGGTTGTTCTTCTTGAAGCTCTGCGGTTTCCATTGGTGTTTCATCGTTAATTTCGGAGGTCAAAATTTGTTCTTCTTTTGAGAATTCTTCATTATTGGTGACAACAGATTTTTCCTTCGATATCTTCATACAGCTTGTAACTTTTAATTCCTCTTTGAGTGTATTCTCAACAAACGATACAACAGGTTCTTTGGACAGTTCCTCAAAATTTTTAGTGCATTCCTTTTGCTCCAATTCTTTTAACAACTCTTGTTCCAAATTCCTCATTATTATGTGCTTTTTAGAATGGTAGACCACGTTCGGTTTAACTGAAATTACTTTGGGTTTGTCTACTGCATTTTCTGCGATTATCTCATCTTTTTTTTCTTCGGGTTTTGGGATTTTAAGTTTTGATGTTGGTATTTTGTTTCCTTTATTATAATCAGTTTGAAGTTTGATTCTTTCTTTGCCTTTGGCGGATCTTTTGCCAATTTTGTTATTGTTTTCGGATTTATTGACAGTTTTGGTTTTGTTGTTCGTTTTTTTGGAGATGATCAAGTCGTCATTTTGAATAAGAGCTTTGGAAAATTCATCGACTATTATAGGTTTGAAAACAACTTCTTTTTTTGCTTTAGATTTGGATGTTTTATTGTTGGTATTTTCAACAACTGGTTCCACTTCCGCTTTTATAACAACTTTTTCGTCATCGGTTGATTTACTCTCGCTATATCTTTTAGGTTTGAATCTATCCGAACTTTTGTTCTTTTTTCTTGATTGTGACCTGCGTCTTTTATTTTCATTAACAGTTTCTTCAGATTTATCAGTTTCTTCTTTGATTTCTTTTTCTTCAACTTTTCTGGACAATAAATCGAGTTGTTTACTGATTGTAATTCCCAAATTAGAGGATTCGCTTAAATTACTGTCGTAATCAGTTTCTTTATCATCGGCTGGTAACACGGAAATTGGTGCCGTCGTTTCCGGCACAACATCTTCGATGACATCGTGGTAGGCCACTTCCGGTAAATAAGTTTCTTCTTCCATAGTTTCATCTTCTTTCGGAAGAACTTCATTGACTTGTTTGGAAATTTTAGTTGGTTGTTCTGTATCAGTCTCGATGGGGTTTGTTACCACATGACACAAATCTGATTCCAGTTTTTTCTTCAGTTTATCCACTATGTGATTTAAAACACTTTTACACTGATTTTCGGCTATAGTTCTGCTTTTACTTCGAGTTCTTCTCGGAGAAGGTTGCTCGGACTTATCTCTATGTTTATTGATTTCTTCATGATTCTGAGCTTCTTCAATAGAAGGATTTTCCTGTATGGTTTCTAATTTTTGATTGACTTGTAATGTATTTTCTGTTGGTTCAGTAATTATTTCTTTTAAGTTCGCCTTGGGTTTTCTTTTTGGGATTCTTTTCCTTTCAGTAATATTATTATCTTTTAAATCATTTAAAGTAAGATTGTCAACTTTTTCTGAAACCTCATCAACTCCATTATATTTTTTTGTTTTAAGGGTAACTGGTCCCTTATTTTTCTTGTAACCTTTACTTTTTTTCGTTCCAGATCTGACAACGACGTTCATTCCCAATCTTTTCTTTTCAACCTTGATTTCAGATCCGTCTAAAACCTCTTCGACAACATTAACCGAATGCCGCCTATCTAAATTGGAGCTCGGTTTTGTTTCGATCTCGCAGCTCTTGGATCTCGCGGATTTTTTCTTGGTGCCCTGCATTTTCTCCAATCGTACGTAAAGAGACAACTTTTCGTATAACTTAAGGGCTGCTTTTGTCTTGAATTTCGGCGCTCTGGGCACATCCTCGAGATTTTCGATTCCTTGTGGTTTTTGTTTGTTCGTTATTATGTCTTTAACCGTCGACAGTGGTATGTCATCGGTGGACGAATGGGAATCCCCGTCGTCTTTGTTTTCTGCTTCTTTAACATGAGCTGTCAGGCTAAGGTTTAAAGGTTCTTCTTCAGGAATTATTTTAGCGGGACTCAAGACGTTAGCAAAGTTGATTTCCGATTGTTCCAGACTTTCCACTTGCTGCAGAATTTCAAGATGGTCTTTGTCCAAATGGCCTTCGGACTCTGGGATGCTAATTAAAACAGCGGGAACTTCTTTTTCATCATTGACAAAGTGGATTACATCATCCACGGTTTTTTCGTCGTAAACCGACACCTTTTCGATTTTGGCGTCAATGAGAAGGTTGTCTTCGCTATCGTTGCTATCTTCGCTAGAGTGCGTAGTTTCCAACATGGTTTGGGCGTAAATTTTGTTGGAAGGTGGCGGTTCCAAAGTGGAATAATTCGACTCTATTTTGTTGGGAACATTGATTACTTCCGTGTCGATTTTTTCCTTTGTATTGGCGGTTTCCGCCAGAAGATTCAAGTAGTTACTTTCCTGATTCTTTTTTATATGTTCCTCGAACTGTATTTGCAGGAAACTTTTCTCGTTTTCTATGTACGGCACCAAGGCCACATTTCTGTTTTCTTCCTGTGATTCATCCACATCATCAAAATCTTGTGGAACTGATTCAACCGGCGAATCTCTATCACTTTCAAGTATATCCTCATGAACGACATTTTCTATGATGGGCGCATCATGAACCACATCGTAAACAGGTTCTTCAATTACAAGATTGCTGTCATTTAGCTCTTCCTCTTGACCAATTTGTTCTTCAATGATGAGTTCTTCTTGATCACAAATTTCCTTTTGCAAGACTTCCCCTAGAATGTTTGAGGAGGAAGTATTAACTTCCATCTCACTTTCAAGTGTTTCTTCAAGAACCTCTTTATTACAAGGTTCTATTTCCATGCCCAGTTCTTCGTTTAACGTCTCGACAGTTTCACTTTCTTCACTGTTTTCATCGATACTGGAGTCGTCTTCTTGAACCTTAGGCTCAGATTCAACAAGTTGTTGTACCTGAGGCTCAGCTTCAACAAGTTGATCTACTGTCGTTATATCGTCTTGTTCAGTTTCAGCTGTAATATTAGATTCCTCTACTGGTGTGTTATACTCTATTACAGTAGGTTCTTTTTCTGTGATTCTGGCATTAGTTTCCTCAATAATTTTGTAACTTTCGTTACTGTTTTTATTGATACTGGAGTCATCTTCTTGTACCTGAGGCTCAGGTTCAACAAGTTGTTGTACCTGAGGCTCAGCTTCAACAAGTTGTTCTACTGTCGTTAAATCGTCTTGTTCTGTTTCAGCTGTAATATTAGATTCCTCTACTGGTGCGATATCCTTTATTTCGTTAGGTTCTTTTTCTGTGGTTCTGGCATTAGTTTCCTCAATAATTTTGTAACTTTCCTCGCTGTTTTCATTGACACTGGAGTCGTCTTTTTGAACCTGAGGCTCAGATTCAACAAGTTGTTGTACCCGAGGCTCAGCTTCAACAAGTTGTTCTACTGTCGTTAAATCGTCTTGTTCTGTTTCAGCTGTAATATTAGATTCCTCTACTGGTGTGATATCCTTTATTTCAGTAGGTTCTTCTTCTATGAGCCTGGCATTAGTTTCATCAATAATTTTGTAACTTTCGTTACTGTTTTCATTGATACTGGAGTCGTCTTCTTGAACATGAGGCTCAGATTCAACAAGTTGATCCTCTGTTGTTAAATCGTCTTGTTCTGTTTCAGCTGTAATATTAGACTCCTCTACTGGTGTGATATCCTTTATTTCAGTAGGTTCTTTTTCTGTGATTCTGGCATTAGTTTCCCCAATCTGATACTCAGATTCAACAAGTTGATCTACTGTTGTTAAATCGTCTTGCTTTGATTCATCTGCAATACTAGACTCATCTACTGATGTGATATCCTCTATTATAGTAGGTTCTTCTATGAGCCTAATTTTGTTACTTTCCTCGCTGTTTTCATTGATACTGAAGTCGTCTTCTTGTACCTGAAGTTCAGACTCAACAAGTTGTTGTACCTGAGGCTCAGATTCAACAAGTTGTTGTACCTGAGGCTCAGCTTCAACATGTTGATCCACTTTTGTTAAATCGCCTTGTTCTGTTTCATCTATAATATAGGACTCGTCTACTATGATATCCTCTATTACAGTAGGTACTTTTTTCTCAATAATTTCGATACTTTCTTCACTGTTTTCGTTGATACTAGAGTCATCTTCTTGTACCTGAGGCTCAGGTTCAACAAGCTGATCTACTGTTGTTAAATCGTCTTGTACTTGTTCGTCTACTGATGTGATATCTTCATTTCTACACTCATGATTTTGATGGACCTCCAAACTTGTTTCTTCAATTAAACTTTCAGCAGTATCGTTGGTTTCTGTTTCTACAGTTTCCTTTCGATTAATCCTGCTCTCCTCCAAATAGGTATTGAACAAAATTAAATCGTGTTCTGTCATTCTGCTGACTCTTGCTTCAGGCTTTTCGGCTTCTTTAACCGATTTTACCGGGCTTGAGGTGTCTACGTGAAAAACTCTTTGTATCTTGGCAATATTTTTGGAAGAATCGTCCGATACGTCGTCGTCGGAAGTGTCGCTCCATTCGTTGATGATTTCTTCCACTTTCTCGTTATATTTGCTGTCGGTTTTTTTTCTTCTGGTGGATATTATTTCCGAATCGTCACTATCAGACTCTTCCACTGGACTTGACGTTGTCTCTGTTTCGCTATTTTTTGCCAAACAAGTTGCACTTGCACTTGCTTGACACAGTTGTGTTTCCGCTAAGGAAGTATTTGTATTGCTTTCGGTTTCATCTTCAATGACACGAAAATCGTCAAAGTCTATAACAGCACTAACATCTTGAGAATGCGGCGATTCACTTTTAATATCGACGTTAAAGTTATCTTTATCTTCCGACGAAGAGTCTTCTATGGAAGGAAGTTTTAGGTCCTCTTCGTCGTCGGAATCCGACAAAATCGAAATGTAGTCGCAATTTAAGGCAGATGGTGATTGAGCATCGACACTATTAACTAATTCTTCGGTTTTTATCACTTGGTCACTTGCATCCTCCGGCACTAACACTTCATCTTCATCGTCGTCGCTTAAAACGATGACCTTTTCTTTCTTCACCTTCACCGAAGGCCTCGACCTGACCTTGGTGTTGGTCGGGACCTCGTAGTGCTTGTACACCATGTACGGGTTGTCTTCGTCGTCCAAGAGCTCGATGACCGGCACTTCCCGAGCTCTGCTCCCGTTTTTGAGCCTCGGGGGTTCGCTTTCCCCCCGACTGGGCAGAGGTTCCAACTTCAGAAGACACTCCTCTTCCTCCTCGTCTTCTGCGGGTGCTTCGTGTCGAGTAACATTTTGATTGTCGTTTGGAGCGAAAGGGGTCTCGCTTTCTTCGCTTTGGCTTTGATAATCGGCGTCGGAAGTGGAGGAACCGTCTTCTTTTTCCCGCTTCAAACAGGTCAGGTCGTCGTCGTCGCTGTCGGAATCCTCCGATTCGTAATCGCTCGTCTCCGTCAAGACCTTCAGGTGTTCGTACGGCTTGAGGATGTCGTCGCGGGAGAACGGCAAGTGCTTGCCGCGAATCTCGTCGATAAAGGACGCGTAACCCAACAGAGTCAGAAGATCCCTACAACAGACGCAGTTTAACGAATAAAATTTGCATTTTCGAAGATTTTCCTACGTCGCAATTCCATCGACGATCGAGTCTGACTTTCTCAGCTCGGGCCTGACCAGGGTGAGCAACTTGACGACGCTGGCCGCGCCGACTTTGCTCCTCCGGTCAGCTTCGATGTGCGGCAAATTGACGGCGATGATCTCGCAGAAAATTTGCCGCAACAATCGAACGACGCGGCGTTGCACGATCTCCTTGTACAGCACATTGTGCGCGCTTCTTTTCGACACCACTTCCTGTTCGAGTTCCACGTACCTCACCAGCAGCTGGATCAGGGCCAAGGTTTTCGGGTATTTACCCGACGGGATGTTCTGCAAGTGCATGGTTTTTTGTAATTGGAAACTCAATCAAGCAAAACATTTTAAACTAAAATAATTTACTAAAATTTTCAAAGAATTTAATAAAAAATACAAATAAAATTTTTTTGTATGTGTGAGAATTAGTATGTATATATACACACACAACCAAACTTGTATAGAATCACCCATTAACAGTGGCAGCTGGTGAATTTTACATATGCCATCTCTCAGTTATTAGACATGGGACCTACACCAACTTATTTAGTGTCATTATAAACTAATATAAAGTTCTGTGTAAGCCTGGCCCCCCTTAGAAGAAGATAATACAAATTTTAGTGGTGCGATTTATAAGTCATAGTTTTTTGACAAATTTTAAAATTTATTTAAAAAATCCAAATATTACAGATTTTATCCCATTTTATTTTTTTATTATTTTAGGAAAAGAAATAAAAAGTTGTTTAAAATGGTATAAAATTAGAATTATTAAATAAATTTTGAAAAGTTCTGCACAAGCCTGCCCCCCCCCAGTAAAGAAAATACAAATTTTAGGGGTCAATTTATAATTTATTTTTATTTTATTTTTTTTATTACTTTAGGAAAAGAAATAGAATTTTTTAATAAATTTTAAAAAGTTTTGCGCCCCCTAATAAAGATAATACAAATTTTGGTGGTGCAATTTATAATTTCCCATAGTTAATTGACAAATTTTAAAATTTATTTAAAAATTCCAAACATTACAGATTTTATCCAATATTTTTTTTATTATTTAAGGAAAATAATAAAAATTTGTTTAAAAGGGTATAAAAGGTGTTTAGGGGGGAGGGGGTCGAGCCAAACCTCACCCAATCTCACGTGGGGGAGAGGGTGGTCTCGGCAAATATCAAGTAATTTTTTCTTTTCGAATGAAACAGTGTAAAATTGCGAGAAAACTGGGTTAAATTAAGTAACAATTATAAGCAAATTGTATTTTTTTAAAAATATAATTTAATCAATCACAGATTAACTTATTTACATTAAAACCATGCATTTCAAAAAATCTCACGTGAGATTAAGGGAGGGGGGAGGGGGTCGAGCAAAATCTTACGACATCTCACCAAGGGGAGGAGGGGAGTCAAAAAATCGCCAAAATTGAATCACGTAATTAATGGATAACCCCCTAATAAAGATAATACAAATTTTAGTGGTGCAATTTATAATTTACCAACAAAGTTAATTGACAAATTTTAAAATTTATTTAAAAAATCCAAATATTACAGATTTTATTCCATTTTATTTATTTTTATTATTTAAGGAAAAGAAATTTTGTTTAAAATGGTATAAAATCTGTAATATTTAAAGTTATTAAATAAATTTTAAAAAGTTCTGTGCAAGTCTAATAAAGATAATACAAATTTTGGTGGTGCAATTTATAATTTACCATAGTTAATTGGCAAATTTTAAAATTTATTTAAAAATTCCAAATATTACAGATTTTATCCTGTTTTTTTATATTTAAGGAAAACAAATAAAAATTTGTTTAAAATGGTATAAAATCTGTAATATTCAGAATTATTAAATAAATTTTGAAAAGTTATGCGCAAGCCTGGCCCCCCTAATAAAGATAATACAAATTTTAGTGGTGCAATTTATTATTTACCAACAAAGTTAATTGACAAATTTTAAAATTTATTTAAAAAATCCAAATATTATAGATTTTATTCCATTTTATTTTTTTAATATTTTAGGAAAAGAAATAAAAATTTGTTTAAAATAGTATAAAATCTGTAATATTTAGAATTATTAAATAAATTTTAAAAAGTTCTGCGCAAGCCTAATAGAGATAATACAAATTTTAGTGGTGCAATTTATAATTTACCATAGTTTATTGACAAATTTTAAAATTTATTTAAAAAAATCCAAATATTACATATTTTCCCATTTTATTTTTTTTATTATTTAAGAAAAAAAAAATATTTGTTTTATATGGTATGAAATCTGTAATATTTAGAATTTTTAAATAAAATTTGAAATTTATCAATAAACTTTGGTAAATTATAAAATGCACCACTAAAATTGATATTATCTTTATTAGGGGGGTCAGGCTGCAGGTTAGGGGTATCTTTTTTTCGCAAACTTCTATTTAAATTCTGCCTGCGCAGAACTTGATAATTTAGTGTCATTATGAACATATAAATTTGGTGTGGGCCCCATGTCTAATAACTAAGATATCGCATATATACGCAAAATTAGTAATTACAAGAAACATTATTTGATTTAAAAAAAGTGATTTGTAAATAAAAAGCACTATATCTGAACCAATTTTGTTACAAAAATAAAGAAACATTTACTAAAACAAATTTTCTAGAGAACAGATTACAAAAAATGTGAATTTTTCTGAAAATAAACTTTACAATAAATTAGAATTTAGGAAGAAATAATAGGTTTTTTTAAATTTAATAATCAGTGTTTCCACTGACACATACCTAGAGATGCGACTTGAAAAAAAACGGCCCGTTTTTTTTGTTTTTTTTTCAGGTTTTTTTTCATTGTTTTTTTTCAAATGGTTTTTTTTCACATTTTAGGTTTTTTTTCAAGATTAGTCCCATTTGCCTAATTTTTTAGGTTTCATGGAATAAAATTAGCCACTAAATGACAATTAGTAAATGTAAATACAGTCTCGCGCTATGCACGCGCCACCACCACCGAAGGGCCGCGTTTGTTTTGATTTGGTCCTAAAAAAAGTAACTACATATATATTATATATATAATATTTTTGATTCAGCGCTTGATTTTTCAAAAATCTACCAAAAGCACTTTTACATGATTTTTCAAATTCATGGTATGGATTTTTTTTTCAAAAAAACAATAGCTAATTCTTGTAGAATTAGAATTAGAATTCATTGGTGGTTAAGTCAGAACATTCCGTGGACCAGAAAGCCGAAAAAAATCAATTTTTTTATTACGGTATTTGTTAGGATTGAGCGTTCAAATTGCTTTTTTTACGACTCCAATACGACCATTTTTAACAAAGATACAGCTATCCGAAGAATCGCAAAACAATTTTTTTTATCCTTTAATTTTTTGTATTAGTGTAGAAGTTTTACATTGCTAATGGTTTCTAATGTGGAAACCACGAAATAATAAGAAATCAGATTTTTTAGTCTCGGTCAAAAATTTTCAAAAATGAAAAATTTAATATATTCTACATTTCACTTTATTATTATTATTATTATTATATTTTACTCAAAATTTCATTTTGAAAAAAAACAAAAAAAACCGTTTTTTTTTCTAGGTTTTTTTTCATGTTTTTTTTCACATCTGAAAAAAAACCGTTTTTTACATCTCTACACATACCGGTTTTTGTTGTGGCAATACTGATTATTTAATTAAGAAAAACCTATTATTTCTTTTTAAATTCTAATTTCTTAAAGTTTCTCAGGGAAATTTAAATTTTTTGTTATTTTTTCAATGTAAAATTTGTTTTAATATTTTTTACAAGTCTATAAAAATGGCATTTAAAAATTAGTGGTTCTTAAGTAATTTAAAAAAACTGAGTCTGTCAAACCCAAAATCGTTATTTCTCGAAATTTAAAAAAAAAATGATTTACCTTACTTACTTTTTCTTTTTAAAATCACAGAAATATTGAAATTATTTTATATAAATTGTATTTTAAAAGGCTTGTAATTAGACAAATTTTTTTGAAATCGTATAAAAACGTTTTTTATACTCTATCTGTATGTTGAAAGTTTAGTTTAACAACATTAAAATTTAATAGCAAGATTGGAAATTTGTACTCAAATAATTCCTTTATTTTTGCGTATTTCTACAATAATTATTAAACTAAATTTAAAATCTTGTTTAAAAAAAATGTGTAGGTGTTCTAAAAGTATTTTTATGAACTTACCTGTGCTACTTGACAGTTGTATTCATGAACAAAAATAATTCTATTGCGAATGTCTTCGACAAACTTTCTTGTAACTTGATGTATCTTTGGAGTTTCTTTGATAAATCTGCAAAATTTAAATAATATTTGAAGACTGCTTCATTAATTTAATTCGGAATCTTCTTTCTTCTTTGTACTTCTTCCGTGCTTCTTTTTCTTATATTATATATTAAATATTTTAATATGTAACTTGACTACTTTATGAATGAAAATAATGATATCATTGATATTGAAATAAACAATAATGAATTATTCATGCAATTCTTCTTGATATGTCTTTAAATCAGCTTGGTTCTTCTTTCTTCTTTTTGTTGTCTTTTCTTGGTTTGTTCTTAGATCTTCATTGACATTCTCTCTTATAAATGTTAATAATATCTCTACATTTTTTAAAATGTTAATCTATATGCTTGGGTACAAAGTACTAGGTTATTATAGTTTTAAAACTATTTATAAAAAATAAACTCAAATTTCATGAATAAATGACTTGCTTATGTCTCAAAGGCTTGCTTAAATAATGGGGGCTTGCTAATACTTTTTGGGTATCTAGATGTTAAAAAGAAATATTTTAATAATAAATTTCAAACATATTATCAGTAAAATTTGTTTAAATTGTTTAGAAAACTCACCTTTGCACTGATATAGCGATGCCTCTGGAACCTGCCAAATTGTAGGCATCATAGTGGGTTTTAATAAGGTGCTGCCTTGAAATAGTCCTTTTTTGGTAATAAATGGCTAAAAAAAGAACAATGTAAAACTTAAAATAGAACACAACAGCAAGAAAATACCGTTTTTATAAGCAAAACTTGGCATGTTGAAATTATTAATATTTATACAATACAAGTTACAAAAATAAAGTGATGACACTTGGCTATGAAGGGGAATGAAGTAATTTTTAGTGTTACCTGTATTTTTAAGAGGTAAAGTGATATTTAAATCAGGTATATTTATCCTGGGAATTAAATAGTATTTTTTGTCATTAAATATTTAAATACCTTGGCAAAACAATAAAAGTTCCTGCAATAGATTTGGTTTTTGCTATATTATTGCGTTTGTTGTGGTAAACAAAATGAAAGTTCTACTTACTTTCTCACTACCATTTATTTGGTTAATTAATCTATTGAAAAGGCATACAATGGACTTACCTCTTTTAACATTTTGAACGAAAAAGCCCTTATTATCCAATGACTTCGGTGCATCTTCATTTTGGTTACAAAACATTGTTTACTAAAAATAAAAGAAAATTATAATTATCCAGGTCAGGAATGTAGAGCTGCGTAATAAATATAAACAGGGCCAATCTACGCAGTGTTTTGCAACATTACCAAAATTAAAATCCAGGGCCGTTGAGGTAATGAAAACAGACGACCCCTTAATTATTTAATCACGTTTTTGACCACATTAAACAACGTGTGGGAGCGAGCATTTCAAACTTACCACATTTATACCACATTTAGTTGCTTCAATTTCGTATAAAAATATGTCTATTATTAAAAACAATCCATTTATATTATTTTTCTACAACATTTTGGGCTCTCTCTGCTGTTTTGTTTCAGTAGCCTTCACAAAAACTTTACTAAAACACAACTACCAACATAGAACAAGCACAAATTTTTGGTTACTAAACCCTAAACTGTCAAAATTATTTTTTTACATAAAAGCTTTTTATTTGAAAAATAGGATTGGTTTTATATAAATATATTTAAATCAAACGTATAGTAATAATTTTTGTTACAAAATTGTTTGGAATTGAAGAGTCAAAAAATAAACATTTAAGCTCTGTTCGCAACTTCCACTAACTAAACTAAGGTACACTTGGGCACGTAGAGCGCTTAATACAATTTCTTTGTATAATATACAGGGTGTTATTGAAGACTTTTTGGTTATTTTGGGATATTAATTAGTAAGTTATTTGAAGCAAAACATGTTAAACTACGAAATGTTACATACAACATAGGTTGAAATAATTATTTTAAAATATAAAAACATAGAATTGAGGTTAGGTATCTGTCACTGACAGTAGAATTGAATGGGTGACATTAAGAACAAGTCAAATTAAATACAAGTTAAATTTTTGACAAAATATATTATAAAATCAGTTTTATAGTTCAAAATACATTTTTGTAAGACAATTTTAACTACTTTATAAAATATAACAATTAAATTTTATAAAATAATTTATATTTTCTCACAAAAATGCATTTTAAAATTTTAAATTGATTTTAAAAACTGATTTGTCAAAAAAAAATTATGGGCTTATGCTGCGTTGTCAAATAGCATTCAAATTATTATTTTAACATTTTTTTTAAATTGTTATAACAATATTTTTGAAATTTTTATTTTAACATTTTTTTGAAATTTTGATTTTAACATAATTTTTAAAATTGTAATTTTGAAAATATTTTTAAAATATTTATTTCAACAATTTTTTTGAAAATTTTAGACGGCAAATTTGCAATCAGTAAGTTATTTGAAACAACTTTAAAATGATTTGGAAGTCGTAAAGTTTTCAGTTTAGGGTTAGTTTTAGTTTAAACACTTTATGAATAATTTTAGTTCTAACTTCAAACTAATAGTTAGTTAGTTTTAATTTAGAACTATAGTTACAACTTGGAAAAATAACATTCTACAGTGTACATTTTCCTATTCTCGCGCGGGGTTTGAATAGACCTTCAGATCTAGGGGTATTTGATGTTTGTGGTTGGTATTAATGACGTTTTCTTACGTCAACCAATGAGACAACGGAAGAAATTAGGAGCATTTACCTTCAACTGCAAATTGTTCCCTTATGTGACATGGCGTCTGATAGGAAAGTCAGTTCTTAAACGGGTACAATCGTTATTATTGTTTTTATGTCATCATTTGATGAAGCGGCTTGCTGTAAAAGCCACAAACATTTTCTAGAGACTTGCATTGATGGTAATGCATGCAAGGAAAACGCAGCGGATGAACGATGGGTAGGCATTTCGGTTTTATTGACACAAACTGACGATAATCAAATCTTCTCTTGTGTGTATATTGACTTCTTTGTTAAGTTAATTTCGATATTTTTTATTAATGCTCGTTGTTTTATGTACAGGTACTTCGAGAAGCACCAAGCCCATCCCTATCAGGTAAACATTTTTTTTTAGTTGAAAATTGCGTATTTACGAAAATATTAAAACTTCATTAATCAAATTTTGCCACAATTACTTTTTTAATTGTGACGGTTTCCAGGTAAATTCGATATTCATCAAGTTTTTTGATAAAATTTGCATGAATATCAGCCTGAAATTAAGTCATTTTGGGGATGTTTATTCTTTCTTTTGTGCTTTGGGGGACATTCTTTCAATATTGAATTTGTATCTATACACGAAAGACCAAGTTTTAAGACCGTTTTGTTTAAAATAACTGTAAAAATATTGAATAGTTGTCAAAACATAATAATAAACATGGCTACCTTTTGCAGGAGTACATAACCTACATTGTAGAAAATTATGATTATTTACGAAACTATCGCCGTTTAACGCAAATACACATTGTTTTCATTGTGAAAACACATATTTCCGAAAGTACTAACCATAGGGGAGCATTAGTTAAACCCAAATCCATAACCAAAACTGAAATTTTGACAACCCTAAAATAACATAGGGTTGAGTGTGTTAGGCTTAAAATAGGGGTGTACTTATGGATTTAACCCCATATACAACCCCATATTTAGTTCTTTAAGATGTAAACAGGTTTGCTAATATTTTTGAATGTCTTAAACATTACAAAACTAACTTAACTTAAGAATGTTAATTTTATAGGATATAACTGTCTTAAGAATGTCAACTTGAATTTAACTGTCAAACTAAGTTATATTAGTAAAAAATACAGTTGGTTGTGACATTTTTTTGTTTTGGTGAAAGAAGTTATTTCTTTCTTTTAGAACTCGAAGTATAGTTCATCAAAGGGTTATGGATCGAGCAGTGATAGGTATGATAGGATTAGAGACTCCCCAAATGGAAATTATCGGTCAGACAGTCCCGACTCTCAATCCCCAAGGGATCGTGAAAGATCTTACCAATCGAAGAGCTCCTATCTACAGAAAATTCGTGAAAAGGAGAGAGAAAATAGAGACTACAAAATGTCAAGAGACAAGTATTCAGGTAAAAATGCACAAAACATGTAAAATTAGGTATGGTTGTTTATGTTTGGGTTTTGATGATTTTTAGATTGTGCCAGGTCACCAAAGGACAAACGTAGCAGAGATTCTGAGCACAGGATCAACAGCGACAGGAATGACGAGAAGAGTATTCTTCATCCAATAAAGGTTTCACAGAACTTGTCGTCTAGAGATAGAAAACCAATGCACAATAATTGTGTAGACAAGGTAAGATATTTTTATAATATATAAATGAACATCAAATTTTGACAGTTGACATGATGTTTGACTGTTTAATTAAACAGCTTTGAGCTGTTAATTTCTTTTTACTGCTGAAAATATTTGAAAAACTATTTAACTGAATGTGTATTTTAATTGTCTCATTTTTGTTCTATTGTTGGAAAAGTAATTACTTATTGATTCAATTACATTTAAAAACAGTTGAATGTCAAATTATTAAAACATCAAAATGTAATCAACAAATGTAAAAAAAAAATTGGGGTTGGTATGAATTAATTTATACTTTTACTTCTAATTTAAATCGCATAAGAAAACGGGTAAAATATGGTGCTTTGCCACCTTTAATTTATACAATAAATGTTAAAATTCAATATTAGTAAAATAAATTCAACAAGAATAATGAAAATGGCACGATCTGAATGGTTTACCAATAAGTGTTGAGTTTGAAAATTTAAAAAAATTATGAAGGGAAAATCTAAACTTGACACATAATATACTATTAAACACGACACATTTTTTATTTAACTTATTTTGTACTTTGTATTTTTGTACATTTTAATCAAATTAAAGAACTTTAAATTTTCGAGTTTCAAAATTAATTTATAAAAGTCTGGATTAATGTATAAGGTGAAAAACAACCTAATATACATTATGTCCATGGTTGGGGTTACAAAGAGGAAGAAAAAAATATTTTTAATTTCTCACACATGTCTATGGTTTGATTTATTTATTTATTTGCACTTATAATAATAAATATTAAAATAATTTTTGGCCAGTTTTCGTTCTTTTGTCATTTTCTTTTCAACAAATTAATGTTATTAATAATATAATAATAACTTTTATCACGGTAGGTAGAAATCTCTCGGGAAATTTTTCACCGATGAACATTAATTTTTACCTATGAAAAAGTATAAAAAATGCATAAAACGGCAATGAAAAATTTTTGGCGATAAATTTAATAGTAAAAGCTTTTATTAACATGTCAAAGAAATTATTACTTTTGAAAAATGACGAACTAACGAATACTAACGAAAAATTATTTTTATCAAAAAAAATTTAGCGCAAAAATTAAAATTGCAAAATAACCATAGACAATAAAAATGATGTTAAATGATATTTAGAGGGTTTGAAATGAAGCAAAAACTTTTATTAAGAATTAAATTTTCTGAGACTGTATACTAATTTAAGCCTACAAATAAATTGTGATTTACATGAATATAAATAACACAAGGACTAACCAACATTAGCAAATTCTGCAGTTGTATTTAAAAAGCTGTTAAAAAATCCTTGTAATTTTTTTGGGTTGATAAATTAGTATATTATGTATCAAGTTTGATAAACGCCATTTTAGTCACGAATTTAATTAAAGGCATGAGCTTAATCAAATGAAGTTTATAAACAAATTGCATACTATACTTTTTCTATGACAAATACTTAATATTATCTAAAAAATGATTTAAATTAAATAGTTGTATAAAGCGACATCTATACGAAAATAAAGTAACCATCCCAATAAACATTTCAGCAACTAAATAATATTTATAAAAAAAGATTGGACCCTTTCATAAAATGTTGTTTAATAAAAATAATAAGTTAATTTTATTAATTAGATTAGAAAAATATATAATAACCGTCGCAACAAACAGTATACGTAGACACTTCCTACATTCAAATGACATTTGAATTGATCATCAAATGATATTTGATTTGATCATCAATATTAATTATTAGTATTATTAAATATGATTTCGGATAAAATTTATTATTAGTTATTAGTATTAAAGTCAACAATCGGCAGTAAAGTAAAAGAAATCAGCAGTAAAGTAGAACTTTACTGCCGATTTAATACGAGTATTGTATGCAACCCATTATACATTTTAAGATGTGTCTACTGCTCCTCAGCAGCAACTAAATAATTTATAAAAAAAGCACCGTCGCGGATGTCTATTGGACCCTTTCATAAAATTTTGTTTAATAAAAATAATATAAAGTAAATTTTATTAATTTGATTAAAAAATCGCCGCGGCGGGCAAATATAATAACCGTCGCATCAAACAGTATACGTAGACACTTCCTACATTCAAATGACATTTGATTTGATCATCAAATGATATTTGATTTAATCATCAATATTAATTATACGAGTATATTAATATTATTAAATGAGGCCTGTTAGAGCAAAGTCAACAATCTCCCGTCAGACTAAAACTGAGTAAATTGAGATAATTGATTTTGGTATTTTAAATTCTAGATTTGTAATTTTTTTTTATATATTATATTGAAATATTGTTGTTGTTAGTCTAGTAGCCAACTACAAGGTCTCCAGGATGCATAGTATAGGTGAAATCTATAATTATAAATTGGAGATTGCTGACTTTGATATGAATTGCTGGAGATTGCTCATTTTGTTGTAAACGTTTAAGGAGATTTAGAAAAATAAACAAAAAAATAATTGTATTTTTCTCCCTTTAATGGTTATAAAATTTAACTATACAATCAATGTGGGAAAATTCTGAACTGGACCACATAAATCTGGAGTTTCTTCTAAATCTGGGACCTGGGGTTTTTTTTATAGTACAACAACTCATCATCTCCTTCCCACTTTGCCCCGTAATGGTTTACTTGCAATGTTTTGACATTATCAGCCTTTTCTTGCTTTACCTTTTCGTCTTATTATGGTATAATAGCACAAAATAAACAAGATAACTTTTTTTATAATTCTTAATTTTCTATTATTTATACAGTGCTTGCAAACACAAGTCCGACCGGTTTGGGAAGGACGCGTGAAAATAACAAGGATAGAACGCCAAACAGAAGGCGCTTACAATACGCACGCCTGACGCTCTAACCAATCAAATTCTGTTTGGCATTCTATCCTTATTCTTTTCACGCGGGTATTGAACAACCGTCCTTCCCAAGGCGGTCGGACTTGGATTTGCAAGCACTGTATATAATTTACTGCAATAGAACAGTATGTACCAGTAAAAAAACACAAAATTAAATCTCTAAAATACGTTTTAACATCAAATGTTGGGATATCAGGTGACACAAATTACTAATTTCTAATGGTGGAATTGGAGATTGTATACTTTGCTGCAAATCTATCAGTGGAGATTGTCGACTTTGCACTAAATGTCATTTTTAAAATAGGCAGGATTTAGCTCCTTTTGCAGCACATAAACTTTATCATCTTATAGATAATTAGTTGAAGTATAGTCTCCGCCAAAAATCCAATTTTTGACCAAAAGTGGAGATTGTCGGTTTTGCTGACAGGCCTCAAATGTGATTTCGGATAAACTTTAATATGCACCTCGGCATTAAAGTCATTTTTATTATTATTATTATTTATTATTTGCCTCGGCTTTCGCCTCTGCAAATAACTACGACATTCGTGATAAAAAATGCGACTTTACTTGACACATAAATAATTGTTGTTTCAGAGGGGCGACGACAGAGAGCGGGTGGCGCGCGTCGGCGACTGGACCGAGCACGTGAGCTCCTCCGGCAAAAAGTATTACTACAACTGCAAGACGGAGGTGTCGCAGTGGGAGAAGCCGCGCGAATGGGTCGAGCGCGAACGCGAGCGAGGCTCGTCGTTTCGAAGCCGCGATCGCGACCGAGACCGCGACAACCGCGACAGGGACTCGGATCGGTGCTACGGCGGCTCGAGCCGCTCGGGTATGCGTAAGTTTCAACTCCCTTTTATTTTTATAATAGTTGTAGTTTTTGCAGGTTCGTTCCTACCGAACATTTTGGACGTCGGTGCTTGCGCAATAGTAAAATATCGAACATATTTCAGTATTGCACATGTACCTAACGTCTATTTGACTGTCAAAATGCTCGGTAGGAACAAGCGATGTAAACATTTTTTTCAGTTAGAAAAAATTAAATAAACTTCGACTTTCAAAACTGCCACAATAATTCACAATATACTAATGTTTATTATTGACGAAATATACATTATTGTGAATTATAGTTTTAAAAGTTGAAGTTGTTTTTTGTACTAAATTATTTGTTGAGTCCAAAACAAAAAAATAGTATTTTTTATGTCGTTTTAATGATAAAAAAACATAAAAGCGTAAAATTTCCTACAAAAATATGTCTTCTACTGAAGCCTTTTGACATAAGGTGTACAAAGATAAAGAAAAAATATGCATTAGAAGTTTTTTTATATTTTCTTGATGCCACTGGTGCCACTGGTTACACACTTGTGTAGATACATACCAACCAACAAAGTAGCTGCGCGTTAAATCCAAATGCACTAGATTCTTTTATAAAAAATTGCCAGATTTTGTTTGAATTTACCTTCATTACAAAAATGACATTATCAACAATTAATAAAAACGCAAAATTAAAAATTTGCATTGTTGATTTTGTCATTTTTGTAATTAAGCAAAATTTAAACAAAATCTAGCAACTTTTCGACAGAATCTGGAAACGCTGGTTGTTACCAACCATACCATAATAAATTAAATTAGGCAACCAGATTAGCCTAAAGTTCCTGGTTGATCAGTGGCGTACATTCTGGTGGGATATAGGTTATTATAAATTATTTTTGGTCTTTAGAATTTAGAAGAAAAAAAAAGGCTCAGGTGCTTCTTTATGGACCCTAAGGAACTACCCATTTTATCATATTACATTAATTACATAACACCCTGTAGTTTTCTTTGCGAAAAATAGGCCAAAATTGCTTGATTAGATTAAGGGGTTACATACATATGAGGCTCATATCATTTGCTCGTAAAAATTAACGGATTTTGGTGATTTTTTTTGCTATACAATAATAAGTATATTGAAACGAACTATAAAGCATCAAATAGGATATGTTTCGAAGTATTCGTAAAAAATTTGTATGCGAAAATTGTGGAAAATACGGCTCTTGCTCCGAAACGCCGTGAGCATGAAATATCGAAAACCGCTCAACAGATCTTGATGAAAAAAAAACGATATTAGTACATACAAATGTTTACGCAAATGGTGTTTTTCCCAAAAAAAATTTCGAGGGTACAAAAAATTAGTTTTCCGGCCGAAAAAAAATAGGCATTTAAAAAAAAATACGATTCCGAGATAAACGCGTTTAAAGTTTTAAGTTAATTTAAATTTGCCTTTGCTGTGAGGTAGCGCGTTATAAATTGCATAGTATACGTTGTAAGAATATTTAATAAAAAAAACCAACTCCAAAACGCCATTACCAATCTTTATGAAATTTTGTATAAAAATACTTCAACTTATATCTCAGTTTACGTGTTCGAGGGTTTTTCGAGAAAATATTTTTAAAGCCCTTTTATTTAATAATAAAAAAAACGTTCAAAAAATAACTTTTAGGGTATTTTTTATATTTAAAGTCAAGGCTGGAATTCTTGCATAATTAAACAACAAATTAGTTTTAGTACAGTGTCCATAATTACATTACTAGGAGTATTAATGATTTTTATGTGGGGAATTATGATAGGGTGCAAACAACAAAAAAATGTTTTTGTTAATGGTTTTGGTATTATTTAATAGCCTCCCAAATGAATTAAAAAGCTGTGATAGGGTTGAAATATTTAGAAAACTTGTGATGAATTATCTTAAACAAAACTTTGTATTGTGATATTTTGACTATGGTATTTGTTTATATATAATTATTTGTATTTTTTGTAAAAATAGCTTATGCTAATAAATGACTTTTTATTTATTTTATTTTAAGATTGGTAAAGACGTTTTAGAGTTGGGTTTTTTTACTTGTTATGCGTTAATTTTGACGCGCAGTGTATGTAACCCCTTAATAAATTAATGTTTGGATATGTGAAAAGAAATTCGAAAAAAAAAAATATGTCGTTTTGGCAGGACATGATAAACATTCCAACTCGAGGGGGCCGAACAGCAGCAGTAGCGGCGGCGGCAACAAGGACGGTGGGAGGGAGTCGGCCACCGCGAGCCGCCACTGGAGCAGCAGCAGCAGCCGCGACGACAGCGACGTGCCGTCGAAAGACGGCAGGAGAGACGGCGGCGGCGGCGGTTCGGGCTCGTCCCGCCACAAGCACGCCGGCGACGAGCACGGGGGCGGGGGCGGGGGCGGGGGCGGTCAGCAGCAGGACATGGACATATCGCCGGGCGACAGCACCCCCACCTCGGAGGTGTCGCAGCCGGCGGGCGAGCAGCCGCCCCCGAGCGCCGTCGGGCCCGTGCTCCTCGCGAACGCGCTGCCCCGCCTCGCGTCGCACCCCCTCTCCGCCGATCAGGACGGCGGCGGCGGCGGCTCGGCGAACGCGCCCGGACCGCCGTCGTCGCTCGGCGGCAGGCTGCACGACGCCTCCGGCTCGTCGGCGGCGGCGGCGGCGGACAAAAACTCGATTCTCAGATCCGGGGACAGTGCAGTGCATACTTCTCTCAGTGTGGACACTAACCATAGCGGGACGGTCAACGAAGGCCCTCCCACCCCTACGCATTCAGAGACTCCAGACTGTGCAAAAGGTAAATACTCAACCATTATTTTTAACCCTTTTTTATTATTTCACGAAACTATTTCAAATACTTGCTATATTTCAAGGGGCTAATATCAAACCCAGTAAACTCCAATATTAAACAATTAAAATGCCTGTACAAAATTTCTGAGTAGGGATTAAGGCTGGAAATTTTTTAGTTTTAGAAATTCTAACTCGTATATATAAAAATCTCCAGAACTAGTTAAACTTCACTGGACCTGGTAAATATTTTAATATTCGAATATTTAAAAATTTGATAATTTGAATATTCCAATATGTACTCAATATTTGAATACCAGGTCCAGTGAAGTTTAACTAGTTTTAGAGATTTTTGAGCCAATATAGAGATTTAATAAAAACTTCTTATAATATTTAATATTGTATCTGTTTTTTACTTATCAAACAGATAAAAATAATAATTATAAAAAGTTATTATTAAATGTCTGGGCCAAAAATTTTTCTCCGAAAAAAAAAAGATTTTTTTGAGTCTCCTATGAAATAATATTAGATTATCAAAAATTATCTTGATTGATAAAAAAAAAATTGGTCAAAATTCGAACATTTATTTGCTTGCCACGGTAAGTTTTTGTAATAGGTTTCTTAAAATTTTAGCTCTGAACCAATATCTAATATCTAGTAGATATAGGCAAGTTGCCTATACCTTCCGATATCGGGCTTTTTTGAAATTCTAAACTAAAATTGCACGTGGAAGCAGCGGGCTGCCGCAAATTTTGCCTACGAATACATATTAATTAGTATTTACTAATTACTCTTCGCTAGTGTCCAAAACGAAGCGACTATATCGATTTTTTTTGAAATTTTTTAAAAGTTGTGAGCGACCTATTCGTTTTTTAAGCTACAACTTTATTTGTACAAAAATTTACTGTGGCGAAAAAATTATTATTTTAAATTCAAATTTGATTATTTTTGTAATTTTTAAAATTCGAAAGCCACCTAATTTTTTATGAGAAAAAATGTTTTTTTGCACCACCCTTACATATACTGATTTAAAGAGTTCACATTTTCAACTTTATACTTTAAATAAAATCATTGAAAAAATTTCGTAGTTTTGACAAATACAATGTCTTAAACAAACATTTACCTTGTCCAGATAAAAAATACAAATTTATACAACGAATATTTAAAAAAAAAATACGGCTTAACTATGATTTCGCGAAAGAATCGAACGATCGATTTACAACACATCTCAGATTTTTTTTTAATTTTAATATTTTGTTTATACATCCAATTTAACACTAAATCTAAAATTTTTTTTTTATCTGACTTAAACTTTAGCTCCTAGAAACTATTTAATTTTGTCTTTTACAAAAAGGCCAAATTCTATTATTTTGGCATACATTTTTTATTAAAATACTGAATGATTTGAAATTTGGCCCATGTATGACCCCTATTAGTACCTACAATTGTGTCACAAAAAAGTTTTAATTTTTTACATACAGGTGGCGCTGCATTTTTTTTTTCTTCGAAAGTAGACGTTTTTTAAAGACAAAAAATTCTCTTAAGCAACAATGCTCAAAAAAACTAAATAGCGTACCAGATAATATAGATATTCCTTTATAATTCGACATATAAAAATTTACTTGCAAATGATGTTGCCGCCCGTAAAGCCAACTTAAAGTTTGGTCTACCACATTAAAAAAAATTGAATTACACTTTCAACTCTATCCTTATTTTTAAACTAAGGAACTCCAGGTGATGGCTTTTATTGGTAACTAAAACGCAACAAAAAAAAAGTTTTATTTTTTTATATACAGGGGGCGCTGCAGCCTTTTTTTCAAAAATATACGTTTATAAAGACCATAAAGTTACTTAAGCAACATTGCTTAAAAAACTAATGACATTATTTATAATGTATCAGATAATATAGATATTCTTTTATTGTTTGACATATAAAAATTTATTTGCAATAATTAATGACTGTTGTAGGGAGTCCCTACTAGGGACGATTAAAATTATAACTAGTGCACGTACCCGCATATTGTTATATAAACGCCTTTTTTCGCTTTTATTGTTGTATGCGGACAAAAGGTAACAAAACCAAAGAAATTTTAATTACAAATGGTAACAAGTATTTCAGTGACTCTATAGTAATAGTAATATGACCATTTGTTTAAATATATTTTTGTATATTTCGAGAGGCAAAGCATTCTTTATTATCGTACTTTAAAATTAAACTAAAGTCAAGCCTATAGGCTGGGAATCAAGTTACCCCAATAGTTGACAGTTACTGTCAAACGGTAACCATAATAACATTTAAAATTTTGCCGTTATTACAAAAGTTGAAATTGGAGAGGGAAAATGTCATGCTTTTAAAGGTACGCAAAGTTAATAAATTTTCTTTAAGTAAATCAAAATTCTAGGAATTGAATTTTCTTCTGAAGTAAACATGAAAGTTCCTTGGACATCATCGAGTCGACAAAAGGAAAATCTAAATAATTTAAAAGCAATTAAATATAGGTGCGACGAATTACTTTGCAGTAGGGTTTTTGAAAATGAAGATGATCTTCTGACCACCTTAAATTTCAAAATCATAAATTTCCTGAAATTAGACAAACTATAGGTGATGTTGCTAGAATGGAATTTTTAAAACAAAAAGATGTTTTAACTGCAACTAGTTCAACAATATCTACCGTCAATATATGCCCAAATGAAGAAGATAAAAATACGTTTTTTCGAGTATATGCAAAAGGGTTCGGAAGGCGCAAAATTAAAAAATCACGTTTTAATGAAAAACAAAAAGATTTTTTTGGCAACCTTTTTGAAGAAGGTGAAAAAACTAAAATTAAATATACGCCTGAATATATAGCAACAGCTTTACAAAATTATGAAGTAAATGGCAAATTTTAGTTTTCTTCAAACGAGTATATGCATTCTAATCAGATACGGGGCTTATTATCAAGATAATTGTCAGATAGAAGGTTAAACAAAAATAGAAAAAGAAAATTAAAAAAATTGCCGGAAGAAATTGAAGAAATTAGCCCAGAAGCGGATGAAGTTTTTTGAAGTTTTATGAGTTTTAAAGTAGTTCCTTTGCGGCCTAAGTAACTTTTAAGTTATAAATAACCCTGGTTAAAATCTCTAGACTGATTCTGAGAATCGCTCTAGAGATTTGAACCAGCCAGTATGATATAAACCAGGGTTATTTATAACTAAAAAGTTAGCGAATTTACCCCCTAGAGCCCAACAAGTTTAAAATTTAATGTAAAGGTAATAATTATTATTATTATTATAATAATTATTAGGATATATCTTTATTATTTAATATATGCAAATCTTGCAGATAAATTGTTATATGTTAAATAATAAAGAAATAGTAATATCAATAATAATAATAAAGAAAAACATAATAAATAAAATAAAGAACAAACCCATTAAATAAATAAAGGAATACGTAACTCTTTATAATAAAGGAATACATAACTATATTATCTGAAATGCTATATAGTTTTTAAAGAAAAAAGGCTGCAGCGCCCCCTGGGTGTGAAAAAATAAAACTTTTTTTGCTGTGTTATTGTTACCAATAAAAGTAATCTCCTGGAATTCCTTAGTTAATAAATAAGAATAAAGTTGTAACTGTAATTCAATTTTTTTTAATGCGGTAAACAAAACTTTAAGTTGGCTTTACGGGCGGCAACATCATTTGCAAGTAAATTTTTATATATCAAATTTTAAAGGAATATGTATATTATCTGGTATACTATTTAGTTTTTTTGAGCATTGTTGCTTAAGAGAGTTTTTGGTCTTCAAAAAACGTCTATTTTTTAAGAAGAAAAAATTGCAGCGCCACCTATATGTAAAAAATTTAATTTTTTTTTTGGTAGAATTGTAGGTACTAATAAGGGTCATTTATGGACCACATCTCAAAACATTCAGTATTTTAATAAAAAAATTATGATAATATAATGAAATTATGGCTTTTTGCGAAATGTAAAATGAAATGGTCTCTGGGAGACAAAGTTTAGGTCAGATAAAAGAAAAATTTTAGATTTAGGGTGGAATTAGATGTATAAACACAATATTAAAATATAAAAAAAATCTGAGATGTGTTATAAAAAAATACCCCAAAATCGTTCGATTCTTTCGCGAAATCATAGTTAAACTATGACCAAAAAAAAAACTACGAAACGTGGTTCCCATGTTTACCACTGCCATCTAATGGAGAGTGGTTAGTATCATCTAAATAACACTGGTTATGCTAGATTGGACTTTTTAGATTGCATTAGAGTCAATTTCCGTTTAATGATTTGATTAGTTTCAAAGATACACCACTATCCGAAATTGTCTTTTTACATTCTTAAATTTAACATTTTTAAATAATCTTCACATTCTAAAGCTTCAACATTCTAAGAGTTTTTTGGCATTCCAAAATATATATTTGAAATTGTAAACATTCTTAAATGATCTTAACATTGCGAAATCGCGTTTAGGCAATCTTAAACAAGTTTTTGCATTCCAATATGGGTTTTTAACATTCTAAAATGTATTTTAACATTTTTGAATGATCTTAACATTCTAAAATGTATTTTGACAATCTTAAATGGGATTTTAAAATTCTAAAATGCATTTTCGACCATCTAAATTCGAACTAAACTCTTGTAATTTTTATGAAATTAACATTCTATGATTTTTTCTGGCATTCTAAAATGAAACCTTTAAAATTCGAAAATGGAATTTAACAATCTTAATTGTATTTTGATGTTTTTAAATGTCTTAACATTCTTAAGGCTTCAACATTTTAATATTTTATTGGAATTTTAAAATATATTTTTGAAACATTCTAAATGTTGGAAATTTGTTTAGTTCATAATTTTGGATTCCTATACTTTTTGCGTTAAGTTTTTTTTTAAATAAAATCATTGAAAAAATTTCGTAGTTTTGACAAATACAATGTCTTCTACAAACATTTACCTTGTCCAGATAAAAAATACAAATTTATACAACGAATGTTTATAAAAAAATACGGCTTAAACTATGTCCAAAAAAAAACTACGAAACGTGGTTCCCATGTTTACCACTGCCATCTAATGGAGAGTGGTTAGTATCATCTAAATAACACTGGATATGCTTGCTTGGACTTTTTAGATTGCATTAGAGTCGATTTCCGTTTAATGATTTGATTAGTTTCAAAGATACACCACTATCCGAAATTAGGCGCCTACTTGAAGAAACTAGGCGACTTTCCTCTATATGCGAAAACCCGATGCTTTTTCAGCGTACAAGGAGCGTTTTTAACCTTTCGCGTTGTTGCAGTAGCCGTACCTGTAAGCAGCCCGTCGTCGGGCGCGGCGTCGTCGGGCGTCGGCGGCGGCAGCTCGCTGTCGACGCTGCAGGGCGTGAGCAGCTCGCTGCAGGCGCTGCGGCCGCAGGGGCCGACCATCACGCCCACCTTGGCCAACCACTACCGCGACGACCTGGTGAACCACGTGCGCGGCTGGCCGGCCGAGATGGTCGAGAAGCAGGCGCAGAAGCTGGCCGAGGAGGCGCACCTGATGGGCAGCGTGTCGTGCGCGAAGGTCTCGGCCGAGCTCAAGTCGGCCAGGTCGATAGTGCGATTGACGGAGATACAGGCCACGTTGCAAGAGCAGAGGTGAGTTACAACATTATTTATTTATTTTTTATTACCACCTCTCAACTAATTCCCATCCAATTCGTCTACGATTCTGAGTAACTTGGAAGCTAATCTGTAACTTATCTTAAATCTTCTAAAAATGCATTAGTACAACAAGTTAATTTAAAAAGAACAATATTTTGTTATTGCATTTTTTAGAAGATAATAGACATTCTTGTGGCTTTAACAGTCTAGGATTTTTTAAGTATTCGAAAATTTCCTTAACATTTCTAATTGTATATTTGACAATCTTATCTTTTATTATTTAACATTTTTGAATGATCTTGACATTCTAAAATGTATTTTGACAATATAACATGTTATTTTGGCATTCTCAATCAAGTTGTTGGCATTCTAAAATGTTAATTTAAAAAAAAACAATATTTTGTTATTGCATTTTTTAGAAGATAATAGACATTCTTGTGGCTTTAACAGTCTAGGATTTTTTAAGTATTCGAAAATTTCCTTAACATTTCTAATTGTATATTTGACAATCTTATCTTTTATTATTTAACATTTTTGAATGATCTTGACATTCTAAAATGTATTTTGACAATCTAACATGTTATTTTGGCATTCTCAATCAAGTTGTTGGCATTCTAAAATGTTAATTTAAAAAAAACAATATTTTGTTATTGCATTTTTTAGAAGATAATAGATATTCTTGTGGCTTTAACAGTCTAGGATTTTTTAAGTATTCTAAAATTTCCTTAACATTTCTAATTGTATATTTGACAATCTTATCTTTTATTATTTAACATTTTTGAATAATCTTGACATTCTAAAATGTAGTATTTTGACAATCTAACATGTTATTTTGGCATTCTCAATCAAGTTGTTGGCATTCTAAAATGAAATTTTCAAATTCTAAAATGCATTTAAACAAGTTAATTAAAAAAAAAAACAATATTTTATTATTGCATTTTTTAGAAGATAATGGACATTCTTGTGGCTTTAACAGTCAAGGATTTTTAAGTATTTGAAAATTTCCTTAACATTTCTAATTGTATATTTGACAAACTTTTATTATTTAACATTTTTGAATGATCTTGACATTCTAAAATGTATTTTGACAATCTAACATGTAATTTTGGCATTCTCAATCAAGTTGTTGGCATTCTAAAATGAAATTTTCAAATTCTAAAATGCATTTAAACGAGTTAATTTAAAAAAGACAATATTTTGTTATTGCATTTTTTAGAAGATAATAGACATTCTTGTGGCTTTAACAGTCTAGGATTTTTTAAGTATTCGAAAATTTCCTTAACATTTCTAATTGTATATTTGACAATCTTATCTTTTATTATTTAACATTTTTGAATGATCTTGACATTCTAAAATGTATTTTGACAATCTAACATGTTATTTTGGCATTCTCAATCAAGTTGTTGGCATTCTAAAATGTTAATTTAAAAAAAACAATATTTTGTTATTGCATTTTTTAGAAGATAATAGATATTCTTGTGGCTTTAACAGTCTAGGATTTTTTAAGTATTCTAAAATTTCCTTAACATTTCTAATTGTATATTTGACAATCTTATCTTTTATTATTTAACATTTTTGAATAATCTTGACATTCTAAAATGTAGTATTTTGACAATCTAACATGTTATTTTGGCATTCTCAATCAAGTTGTTGGCATTCTAAAATGAAATTTTCAAATTCTAAAATGCATTTAAACAAGTTAATTAAAAAAAAACAATATTTTATTATTGCATTTTTTAGAAGATAATGGACATTCTTGTGGCTTTAACAGTCAAGGATTTTTAAGTATTTGAAAATTTCCTTAACATTTCTAATTGTATATTTGACAAACTTTTATTATTTAACATTTTTGAATGATCTTGACATTCTAAAATGTATTTTGACAATCTAACATGTAATTTTGGCATTCTCAATCAAGTTGTTGGCATTCTAAAATGAAATTTTCAAATTCTAAAATGCATTTAAACGAGTTAATTTAAAAAAGACAATATTTTGTTATTGCATTTTTTAGAAGATAATAGACATTCTTGTCTTATCTTTTATTATTTAACATTTTTGAATAATCTTGACATTCTAAAATGTAGTATTTTGACAATCTAACATGTTATTTTGGCATTCTCAATCAAGTTGTTGGCATTCTAAAATGAAATTTTCAAATTCTAAAATGCATTTAAACAAGTTAATTAAAAAAAAAACAATATTTTATTATTGCATTTTTTAGAAGATAATGGACATTCTTGTGGCTTTAACAGTCAAGGATTTTTTAAGTATTCGAAAATTTCCTTAACATTTCTAATTGTATATTTGACAATCTTTTATTATTTAACATTTTTGAATGATCTTGACATTCTAAAATGTATTTTGACAATCTAACATGTTATTTTGGCATTCTCAATCAAGTTGTTGGCATTCTAAAATGAAATTTTCAAATTCTAAAATGCATTCTTTGCCTTGGTATTATTATAAATTTAACATTCTATGATTTTTTTGGCATTCTAAAATTAAACTTCTAGAATATGCTTTAACATTCCAAAATTGGCTTTGACAATTTTAATTGTAATTTTGACTCTTAAATGTCCTAACATTCCAACGTTCTAAGATTTGTTTTGGCATTCTAAAATATATTTTTGAAATTGTTAACATTCTTAAATGGTATTAACATTGCAAAATCGAGTGTTGACAATTTTTAACAAGTTTTTGTATTCCAATTCTTAAATGTATCTGAACATTTTTTGAATGATCTTAACATTCTAAAATGTAATTTGACAATATTAAATGTGATTTTGGCATTCTCAATCAGTTATTGGCATTCTAAAATAGGATTCTAAATTTTAAAATACATTGTAGACCATCTAATTCGGATTTTTATGATTTTTTGGTATTCTAAAACTTCTAGAATGTTAAAACACAACCCACAAAATAACAGAAAAATTATTGATTTGATAACAGGTTTACTATATTGATATTTACACAAGTCTACATTCTTGCGGCTTTAACAGTCTAGGATTTTTTTAATATGTTTTAACATTTTGGTCCGTATTTCTTAAATTTGCTTTTACATGTTTTTCACAATCTTTTAATGTGCTGCAAAATGTCTTTTTACATTCTTAAATGTATTTTAACATTTTTGAATAATCTTCACATTCTAAAGCTTCAACATTCTAAGAGTTTTTTGGCATTCTAAAATATATATTTGAAATTGTAAACATTCTTAAATGATCTTAACATTGCGAAATCGCGTTTTGGCAATCTTAAACAAGTTTTTGCATTCCAATATGGGTTTTTGAAATTCTAAAATGTATTTTAACATTTTTGAATGATCTTAACATTCTAAAATTATTCTAACAATCTTAAATGTGATTTTGGTATTCTAAATTAAATGCATTTTCGATCATCTAAATTCGGACTTTTAAACTCTTTAAGTAAGTCTTGTCATTTTTATGAGTAATAAAACCTCTAAAATGTGCTTTAAAATTCGAAAATGGGCTTTGACAATCTTAATTATAATTTTGATGCTCTTTAATGTCTTAACATTCTTAAGGCTTCAACATTCTAAGATTTTATTGTAATTTTAAAATATATTTTTGAAACATTCTTAACATAGTGAAATCGGGTTATAACAATCTTAAACAAGTTTTTGCGTTCCAATATGTGTTTTTAAAATTCTAAAATGTATTTTAACATTTTTGAATGATTTTAACATTCTCAACCAAGTTTTTCCAAATTGTTATGGTTTTGATATTTTTTCATTCAAAATAAACTTTATAATATAAAAATAAAAATTATTATTTATATTTATTTATTATTGTTATCCTTATGAAAGTTTTCTTGTCTGAAAAGAATTGTACAAAATATCCTACGAAAAAAGTATTTGTAATGTATTTGCCAAGGGCCCTTAAATATCCCTTTTTACATGTCCTAAATCCTTATCCTTCTATTTCAGATTAGATATGCTGTATTATCTAAACGTCATTTTAGAACTAAACTGGGTACATTTTTGTCTTGTAAACAACATTAAATGCGAAAATTTGTTCTTCCTAAAAGAAGGCCTGCTGTATTTTGAAAAAGGCGCCAAATATCCCGATAGGTATTTTTAATAGATCGACCAAATTATATTTTTATACTTTTCGACGTAAAAATCTAATTTATCGAAAGTAATTTTAAGTGTTGTAGGTTTCTAAATGTTTGTGATTTTTTGCAGAATTTTATTTTTACGCCAGCAAATAAAAGAATTGGAAGAATTGAAGTCACAAAATTCGTTTATGTCCGACGACTCTTAGTGGGGTTGAGTGTATCACAAGATAAGTGTTGTATGGCTAACATTTTCAATCACACGAAAATGCGCATTATTTAATTAATTTATCATTTTTTTTGTTCTTGCGCCGGTGTGTATTTATAATTTCCCTTCTCTTCTACGAATCCCTTAGAGCTTTACAGGGCGACAACACGGCATTTTTATTTAATATGTTGAGTCTTCTTTGCTCTACTGTATCCAGTAAGTGTTAACAATGTCTGTTATATGGTGATATGGTTTTTGATAGAAATTAATTTTATACTTTCAAATAATTTATTGATTTATTGTTGTTTTGATTAGGGGGATTCGAAAAAATCGAATATTTTTTTTTACTTCCGACACCGAAAAATTGGTTTTTAGGCACCTCTAGAAAGTATAATATTAATATCATAGTTTTCCATTTTTTCTTTAGTCCCTTATAAAAAAGACCATATTTCATTATTAATCAAATCTTTATACATATTTTTGTAGGAAATTGAATGCTGTACAAAAAGGGATAAATGTGTTTAAGCGATTACTTTAACCATTTAAAAGATATTCAAGATCAAAGTTTGAAGTATTTATAATTTTTTTTAATAATAATTGAAAAATAAGCATTGTCAAATGAGTATTACATATTTTCGTGGGAAATTTAACGCTCTACAAAAAAGGATGTGTTTAATTGATTACTCTAACTGTTGAAAAGATATTCGTATCCGAATATCAATGCGTACTGATATGAATATCTTCTCAACGGTTAGAGTAATCAATTAAAAACATCAGACCTTTTTTATAGAGCGTTAAAATTCCTACCAAAGTATGTCACACTCATTTGACAATAATTATTTTTCATTGTGTCACAAAATTATTTAATTTTTTAATAGTTCTTCAAACTTTGATCTTGAATATCTTTTAAATGGTTAGAGTAATCGCTTAAACACATCAGTCCTTTTTTGTAGAGCATTCAATTTCCTACAAAAATATGTATAAAGATTTGATTAATAATGAAATATGGTATTTTTTATAAGGAACTAAAGAAAAAATTAAACACTGTGATGGGGAGGATCTTCCTATTAATATCAAGAGCTCATTTTGGTGAGCACTTTCTAGAGGTGCCTAAGAACCAATTTTTTAGCGTCGGAAGTAAAAAAAATCACCCTAGTGTTGATACAACAAAATCAAGAATTTAATTATATTTATTTGATTATGAAAATCATATTGGTATTCACAGAACTGTGATGTGAGCATTGGTAGACAGCAGTTAGATTATCTCTTAGGTAGAATTATGTGACTTTGTATTATAATGGTTTTATGTTTTAGATTTAGATAAATTAATATAACATAAAAATAGACATAGTTTTTTTTCTATTGACTGTGTATATTTTCACTCGTTTTTATTTGTATTTATATTAATTAAAAAAAAAACGTTAAAAGAATTGTAATTTATCTACCTAATCACTGTACTTGTTAAGTAAGTAATATGTGTAAATTTCAAATTTAATTTTATGATTGTAATTATTTTAAATGTGAAATATATTTTTTTTCTATACTTTTTGTATTATTTTTTTAGTGTGGCACTTTTTTGGTTGAAAATCTATAACATAAAATTATTATTCCTATTATCTGTGGTATTGGAACTCAAAAGAAATAATTTCATTATTTCTTTTGCGTTTTGAGATCTCGTGACAGCAGATTTAATGGAGAAAATGTGTGTATGGAGGATGTCAATTTTTTTTTCGTTTCGATAGAAATTAAAGTACACGCATTTTGTCGACGTGACAAATTTTGTTTCTATAAGCGACTTTGATGAAGCGAAATTTGTCCCAAATATTTTTCCAATAAACTAGAAGCTACAAAATATCTTGTGATATAAACACTGTTACTGTTTTTTTGCGTTTTAATTAATTGAAGATGAAAGGATCACGCCTATTTTTAATGAACTTAGCCGAATTTTATAACTGCTTTATTTACAATTTTGTAATTTATTATTAGAGTACAAGTCAGTTAATTTTGTCAATGGAACCTGGCTACAAAAAATTAATTGATTTTTCGTAACCATGTTCTTTAGAGATTACTGTTACCTTATACATATATATATATATATATAAATATATATATAAATGTACTATAGGCTAGGGTGGTTCGTTTTGAAGGAATTTATTTTTTTCACCCCCCCAATGAAAAAACTCCCTAAGTATTTTGATTTTGATTTTAAAATTTTCCCATTGAATTGACATAGGAAATAGGATTTTTTTATTTCCTATAGTCTGGCGGTAATTTATATAAGTGCGATTTGTACATAATTCTTAATGAAAAAACTTTAAAATCAAAATAAAAGTATTTAAGAGTAAGATTAAAAATAAATGCTCCTTTGAAACGAATCACCTTAATATAGAGCAAGTGTTTATTTTGAAGGAGGTTAACTGGTTGTTAATTTTGGTTTTAAAGAGAGAATTTGTTAATTGTAATTTCACCGATTTTAAGCCTCTTTAGCACAGATTAAACGGCTGAGGATACTTTGTATAGTTGTCTACATGTAACTGAGTGTATGTCTGTTATATATAATCTTATAAAATGATATGTTCCAAATAAGTAATATTAAAAACTTTTTAATCTACATCATGAAGTTTTTGTTAAACCTTACTTTACTGGTGCCAATGGAACACTACACCTTAGTTAATGCAAAAAGATACCATTTAAGATAAAATAATAAGGATTGAAAGAATTGAACCTTCACCTTGCCAGAGTTTTTGTTTTGAGTGCGTTCCACCAACTTCAAATACCGACAGACAGCTTTATCGACCTATATTGGGTCTCATCAGTGTCGGGCAACATGGTGTAGTGGAACACACCCAAAACAAAACACTACTATACGTACTACTCAAGTAAGGTAACAGAGGCGAGATGTAAGAACATCACGTGATCCACACCTTTTAAGGGGCCGTCCATAAATGATGTCACACTTATTTTTATATTTATTATTTTTATATATTTCACCGAAATTTTACAAAAATTGAAGAAACTTCATCAAAATTTTATGAGCCAAAGGCATTTTTCATCCGTTTTCCGATGCAATTATAGCAAAAGTAAAAGTTTAAATTAATCATGACTTTTAAAAAAATGTTAAAGTCTGATTTAATTTAAAAATAAATTGGTAACTGAATTAAATTATTTAAATTAATTTATACATATAAGTAACAATAATTACTAATAGTGGATTCAAATCCAAGCCGAAATAAACAAAAACGCCCAGACGCTTGATAACTGGTTCTTATTGGTCGATTCGGAATCTGTTGTAAATTATTATTAAAGGTCCCAGGGGAGGCCGCATGTGAAATTTATGCGAAATTTTCAGTAAATTGCGAAACTTTCAATGAAACTTCTAAAAGTTTCACAGGCAATGTTGAAATTTTCGAAATGAAAATTTCATTTGAAATTTTTAAAAATTTCACTTTTCCAACTAAATGAAGGACGGCTGAAGGACTACGGTCAATAGCCTTTGAACTTGGTTTTAGTTCAATAAAGCATTATTATTATGAAATATTTCAAGTTTGAAACTTTCCAAGTTGAAATTTTTATTTGAAAATTTCAACTATCCCAACCCTAAAAGAGATATAATATTGAATTTTTTACAGGTATACTTTCAAAAGGTTTTAAATAAAACGAAAACATCTTAACTAATTACTTTTATTAACCAAAACAATTCTTAACAAAACTTGGCTTTTTCATAACTAAAACTCGATATTTTCTGATTAATGAAATTAATAAACTAAACAACAGGATAAAAGCCTTTATTTGATGTTAAAATGAAATTTTGCCTTAGACGAATTACTGTTGTTTTTAACATATACAGACTAGGCCAAGTTTGCAACTGTTTGTAAGTGATAAAACAATATAAATAAAAAAAATAAAAGGCACAAAAATGCTGAAAATTCCATTGCCTGGTTTAAAACAATATGACTTGTAGAAAAATTACTAATAAAATATAATATAAACGAAATTTTCAGCAAATATTCCATTATGATGGTACTATATACAAGGAAGCAGTCTAACTCCTTTTCAGTTAATATAAAAAATAATCAGTTTAGCTTACTCTTAAATAAAAATTCAGACAATACCACATATAAAAAATATTACAAAAAAATGTGATATTGTTTTTCAATGAATCACAATATTCAATATTTACATGCATTCACACATAGTCCTATTCTCTTTTTCAAGCCAATAACAAATCGCGAAGTTAAAAAAAGTAACAAGTGCAACGAAAGCATAAAAAGAAATTAAGTTCGACGTCATTAAAACAGAGAATAAGACTACCATGATTATTTTTTTCGAGGAACCAAGGAGTGAGCCTACTTTGCGATTTTCGGTGGCCACAGACAAAACATTGTTTTTTAGTTAAGCTGGTACAATCTCTGCCTTAAAAATATAATTAATGTAGTCAGATTTCTCTTACATCCTAATAAACAATATTCAAAGACATTCAAATGAAAATTATTGTTGTAAAAAATGTATCAAATCACTAAGGGGTTAAGGGCAATTGATTGCATACCAAAGGTATGATATTGACAGTTTTGTCTGTGTTATTTTTTTGTTGTAATAATTAACCATTCAATATAGTGTTATAATTAATAATGTATGGGGCCTGACCCATAAGAATATCACAGTAAAATTGGCCAATAAAGGCAGTCCCATATAAATATTATATGTTATTTAATTAATTATTTTCATAATCATTGGCTTGAAAATTTCATATAACATTTTCAATAAAATTCAACCACCATTTTGCGTATGCAGCAGTGCTCTATGAAAATTCCTCACCACTCAACAAACACTTTTCTACATTCTATGGATCAGACCTGCGTAACATGCCTACACTATGATATACAATGTAGGTGGATAATAGTAAGATGATGGGATGCGATTAACTCTAGGCGAGACCGAAAAACCCACATCGAGACAATACCCAAAATTACAAGGCTTCTCTGGAAGGAAACGACGCCAGGTTGTGTGTTAGTTCATGCAAGACCACTGTTAGAGCTCCAACTTCAAAGATAAAGCAAGAAAAAAGTTTAAAGCGCCACCCCACGACTGAATCCTATATAAGAAAACTTCTCAAGGGTAGGTCGTCAGTAGTTTGGCGGCGCTTCAATCGCTGCTGTGCAAATGAGCGCATATGTTGCTCTCTTTTTTCTTACTCTCTGACCTAACCGCAAGTTTGTTCTCGATATGGGTTAGATTTCGTCAGCGTTGCCAATCCATGGGAAAATTTACCTAGTCTGGGAAACAAACGTACGCTTCCAATATTTACTGTAACTTGTCCAGCCAATTTTTTTTAAGGAATTTGGAAAAAATGCATTTTTGTGATACAAAAGTTATTTTATGAATAAAAACGTGTTAAAAACGCCTTTTAGGACGATAAAACAAATTTTTAGTACATACTCAAAAGTTTTTGCTTGATTTCAAAACCCTAGAATATGCGTCACATATTTATGTCTAAAATTATTATTTCTGAAAATTGTGGACAGATTTTTTTTTGATAAATATCATTTTTGGTAAAATTTCGTTAATTTGTCATTTCTCAAAAGTATTGGTTTCTATTGACATCTTTTTCTTTACAATTTATTAATAAAAGTACATTTTAATGACAAATAAATAAAATGACAAATGAACGAAAACTGACCAAAAATTTTCAGAAAAATCTTAATTGCAAATTAACCATAGAAAATAAAAATGATGTGTCGCATATTTTAAAGGTTCCAAATCAAGCAAAAACTTCCAATAAGAATGAAATTTTCTGAGAAATTAAAATATCCCAGAAAGGGGTTGCAATAGAAAAAACTTTTTTATTATGCGTTTTACGTAAAAAAATCATTCTTCATAAAAACTCCTGTTTATTTAAAAAATGTACAGGGTGCTTAGACATAAAAAAAATATGAAATTTATATTTACATAAAAATTTTATTTTATTTTTGTAAACGTTTTATGAACAATTTTTTAAGAAAAAATCGATGACAATTCAAATTAAATTTAAATCAAATTAAAGTCTAAATACGAAATAAAAAAAATTAACTATAAAGCGCATTTTTATAAAAATACTTCAACTTACTTTACATGTTTGAGGGTTTTTCGAGAAAATATTTTTAAAGCCCTTTTTATTAAATAATAAAAAACCGTTAAAAAATGTCTTTTAGGGATTTTTTTTAAGTAAATAAAAATATGCTTTTAAATACCGTATTTTTGTTAGTATACCCTGAAAATTATGTGCAAATCAAACGAACAGTAACGAAGATACAGCGTTTCAAAGTCGGTAAAAATGACCCCTTTTTGATTATTTTGCTGAAAAGTGGTCATTTTTCACGACTTTGAAGCGCTGTGTTTTCGTTACTGTTCGTTTGATTTGCACATTTTTAGGGTACACTAACAAAAATACGGTTTTTCACCGCATATTTTTTATTTACTTCAAAACAAATTTCCCTATAAGTTTTTTTCCAGCGATTTTTATTATTAAATATTTTCCAAATCCAAAATTTTATAAAGAATTGGTAAAGGCGTTTTTTACTTGTTATGTGTTAATTTTGATGCGCAGTATGGACTTTCTCCTGCAAAATTTTTCAAAAAAAATAATAAATAAAGGTGTTTTTATCTTGAAGAATTTTCATGATTTTCTAATTTCTGAGAAGGGTCATTTTTTAAATGAGCCGGTGTTTTCATAAATGAAAACTTTAATTTAAAATTTTATTATAATGATTTTCATAAAAATATTTTTTTTTATTTTATTTAGATTTTAATTTGGATTGTCATCAACTTTTTCCTATACAATTTTTCAAAAAAAAAAATGAATAATTTTCATGTTTTCTTAATTTCTGAGCACCCTGTAGATTTGATCCAGATTGTTTGTTACGGAAATGTCATTTATTAAATAGGCAGGAGTTTTTATGAGAAATAACATTTTTTCGTATAACGCATAATAAAAAAGTTTATCCTATTGGCAACCCCACTTGGGGTATATTTTTGTTTTTGCTTCATTTAATTTCTATTTCACCGTAAAAAAATGTTTTTAACGCGATTCCATTCATAAAATAGCTTTTGTTTGTATGAAGTTCCCAAAATTTTTAAAAATTGGCCAGGGATTGTTTTTTTTATTTGTCATAAATGTTTAACGTTTAAATGTTATTTTTACGAACATTGATGAAGTTACAATATCTATGGTGAAGTTTCGAGAACTATGATGAAGTTCTAAGACAACCGCGAGTGTTTTGAATGTTTTCGTCAAAATTTCCCTCTTTCAAAAAAATCTGTTAGTTTTTTCCTCTAGAGGGAAAACTAGGGACAAATTCTCATAGCCAAAGGCTTGAAGTTGGCAACGCTGGGTTTGGTCTGTAAAAAAGTTTGCATTTGCGTCGAGGCACGTCTGTGAACATTTCCCCGCTCGTCGTCCGCATTCCGATATGGTGTATATTTGTTATATACAATATATATAAATTCTAAATCAATTAATTAACATTCAACAACGTCGTCTTTTTACCTTTATTTATACACACGAAATCCGAAAACTTGGAATCCGGCGCGCCACTGCGAATATTCACAGAAGGCCCGCGCCAAAACACCCCAATTATATTTACGTCTAGCTAACATCTATAGGTCTGAAAAAAATCCCATTTGTTTATGTCACTTTAATATCGGTACAGTACACTTTCCTTAGACAAACAAAAAAAATGTTTTTCCTTAAGCAATAATAGTATTAATCGAGAGTAAATTAAATGAATTAATTAATTGGTTGCCCGGGACGCTCACTCAGACACTACAATGCGTAGTCTCCCTCATCTTTCTCTCTCTCTCTCTGTCTATCGCTCTACGTTATCCGACTCATTCATTCCCTATGTACAGATCCCGTTGAACTATCGGTGTGAGCGCCTCACCGCCTTCTTAATCTTCCTCTGGGCCATACTGCCGTCGCTAGGGGGCGCCCTGAAAGGTTAAACTATAAACAATGCTCCAACAACTTGTTGTCAGTTGTAATGTTGACATTTGACGTGAAAACGAATTTTGAGGGGGAATTCGCACAAAAACAGTTTGGTACTCACGAGAATCCGACCACTTGTTGTCCTTCGGTGAAGTTAAAGGTTGGTTTGGCGTTCGCGTCGAACGCTGGAGGAGCCTGAGCGGAAAAATTGAAGCCTCCGGCAGAAGGAGCGGCCTTAAGCGGAAAGCAAAGAAAAAACGAAATTATCCACACGCACTTAAAGTAGGAGATCGAAAGTATTTTCTTTAATATGTTATTTCATTGTTTCGACCTTTACTTGATGAAACTCCATGTCACTAATGTAGGAAGCTACTGTGTTAGCGAAACAATTGTCAAATTAAATGTTTTTTTTATCTAGTTTTAGTTTCAAAACTTTAAGAATGTTATTATTTGGCCTCTTAACGTGCGAAGCCGCCAGGGGCGCTGCGAGACAAGACACCATGGTAAAATAAGTACTTCTCTTTGTTGACAGTTTTTCCAACCGGATCCAATCAACAAAACAACAGGATTGTAAAACCGTGCAAAATTTGGAAGCAACCGAAATTTTTTGAAAATTTGAAAAGTTTGAAATTTTTTTTCTTAATTTTAAAACACAAAATAGTTGAAATGAAAAGTGCATATTTTTGTTAGAAATTAACAGTTACTGATCTACAAGAAAGTTAAAAAAAAATCGCGCGCGCGTAATACTGATAGGTTTTGTTTAATATAAAGGATATCATGTATGGTCTAGTGTTTAATATGATAATATGATAAGGGGTTTTAAAACTTTTTCCCTAAATAATTCATTAGTATAAATGTTGTAATGTCATTATTTATATGACAAATAAATGTTTTAAATATCTCTTGTCCAAGGGGCTTGGATATTAAAATACTTTTTTAAAAATGAATGTTTTGATATAAAAGTACAAATAGCTTTAAGGTGTAATTTTAAAAGAGGCCCTATTGGTGCTGTTACAGAAATAATAAAACCTTATGTGTTACTCACATATTTAAACATGTGAGTAGTTCATTTAACCGCATAGAAAGTGTTAGTTCTATGTTTCACCATGTTCTCTGGTCTCGCTTCGCCACCTAACATAACAAAAAAGCCCTAATAAACCTTTTTGGGGGTGCTATAAAAACTACAAAGGGAGAAGAAAAAAAAACTCACCGATGCAGCCGCTCCAAAGTTGAACCCTGCAGCCGAGGGGGCGGGCGCCGTGTTGGTCGACGCGGCGCCAAAACTGAATCCCGCCGCCTGGGCGTTGTTGTTGTTCGGGGCGCTGGCGCCGAAATTGAACGAGGCGCCGTTCTTGAGCGCCGCCGACGCCGTCGCCACCGCCGCCCCGAAAATGTTGGAGGCGGGCGGCGCCGCCGTCTCCGGCTTGGGGGCGGCGAAGTTGAAGGCGCCCGCCGTCGGAGCGGCGGGGGCGCCGAAACCGAAGCCGCCGCCGGCAGGTTTGGCGGCGGCGGCGGCCGGTTGGCCGAAGGAAAACATGGCCGACGACTTGGGCGCCTCCGTGTTGGGGGCGGCGGCCGACGATGGGGCGCCGCCGAACGAGAACGGTTTCGTTTCCGATGATGGGGCGGCCGGTGGGGCCCCAAAGCTCGTTGGATTACTAAATTAAAAAAATATATAAATACAAAATATCAGGGTTGGTACAAACTAAAAGTCCTCACTTAATTTTAATTAATTTGATGAAGATTTTTTAATTAATTTTAATTAATTTAATTAAGATTTTTTGTGCACTTTATACTTTATTTTTGGAAAACATGAATGTGAAAAAAACTTGACTTGGCTAAAGACAGAACTATGGTTTTAAAGTGTCGAAAAAAAAACCGGTGTTTTTGGGAGAAATCCAATTACAAAATAATAAATTTATAAAATCATAATTTTATAAATCGAAGTGTCAAATAAAACGAAAGTTATGTTGTTTTGCGACCCGGTAGAATATTCTCAATGAATTAAAATAAAAGGAATAATTATTATAATCTAATATTCAGCGTCAAAAATTCACTTTTTCTCGATATCAGTGTAAGGATAGCATCCGTAAAAATTTGGAATATTTCAGAAAAATAGACTTTTGCATTTTTTTCGTATTACCCTTTGAATAAAATGAAAAGTCAATTTGTCTAAAAAAAATTCAATTTTCCGGAAAAAAATGTTTTTTTCCGCCGGCGCAAGTTTTCCGGAAGTTTTAAAACCCTAGTACGGTTTTAAAGTGTCGAAAAAAAAACCGAAAAAATTGTAAAAAAACATGTTTTTACCGTTTTTTTCCTAGACCTTTTGGGCAAAATTGTTTTTTTTTTGTTGAAAATATACATATTTTAAAAAAGTAGCAATCAATATCTTAAGATTATTTTAATTTTAAAAAAGTATCCTTTATTACAGAAAAAAACTAAATTGAATTAAAATGATTTAAGTAAATAAAAGTAAATGGGGAATAATTAATTAATTAATTTTAGCACGGTTTATCAATTGTTTTTGGAGATATGTTTTTTAAAATTTTCATGATTAAAACGATTTTGCCAATATATCATCGATCATAACTTTGGTTCCAATTGACGAAATTATTAAAATTTAAAATTCCGAAAAAATTATTAATTTTTCTATATACTGTTGGTTGGGTGTTTTTTTGCAAAAAGGAGTCCATTGAAAATATTCAATTACAAAATAATTAATGAAAGTTAAATTACAAAATTATAGTGTTAAATAAAATGAAAGTTATGTAAATACAGCACCCAATATGTTTTTTTTGCGGCCAGGTAGAATATTCTTACTGAATTAAAATAAAATAAATAATTATTATAATCATAATATTATGATTATAATCAGCGTCGGAAATTCACTTTTTTCTCGATATTAGTGTACGGATATTATCCGTAAAAATTGGGATATTTTCAGATAAACTGACTTGCATTTTTTTGCATTAAACTTTGAATAAAATTTTTCTAAAAATTTCACATTTTTTGTTTATTTAAAGGTTTTTTTTGCCGGCTTAAGTTTTCGGTAAAACCATTAAAAACTGTATAAAATATAATGAATAATGTTACCTGTTAAATGCTGGCGTTGAGGATCCAAATCCGTTGGCCACCTTGGCCGGAGAAGCTCCGAACAATGTCGAACTTGGTGCTGGAGCTGCAGCAGCTGCAGCTGCCGGCGCACTGGAAGCTCCGAATTGGAACATCGGCTTCTTGGCTTCGCTTTCGGTGGACTTCTGCGCGACGCTTTCCGCCGGCTTGCCGAAGCTGAACGTCGGCGCCGGACCCGAGGCCGCCAAACCGAAAGTCGGTTTGGCGGCCGAGTCGGTCTTGCCGCCGAAAAGCAGATTCGTGGCGGGGGTTTTGTTCAAATCCCCGTTCGCAGCGGGCGTCGCTTTGAACTCGAACGTCGCGATTGGCGGTTTTGCGGTCGTCGCCTCGGGTTTTTTCGCTTCCGCGCTTGCCGCCGAACCGAAGTTGAACGTTGCTATTTGGGGTTTTTCGGCTTCGCTCGGTTTCGGAGCGGAAATGGGCGCGGGCAAGGACTCCTTGGGTTTCGCGACGACGGTTGCGGTTTTGGGTTTGTCTTGAGCGGGCAATCCGAAGGAAAAACCACCGGTGGGGGGCGCGGCCGATGGGGTTTTGGCGGCGTCTCCGAAAACCGACGCGGCCGGTACGGTTAACGCGGGCGTTTCCACTTTAACCGACGTCGGTATGCCGAAATTGAAGCTCTGGGTGGTGCTTTTGTCGATGCCGAAGTTGAAAGAACTGATCGGTTTCTTTTCGGCCATGCTTTGCAGGCTGGACGAGGCCTTTTTGGGGTTGGGGGTTTCGCAACACTGGCACTTGGTGTTCGACGACTGGTTTTTCACCATGCACACCCCGCACTCCCATTCGTCGCTCTTCAGTTTAAACTTGTCGCCGAAAGCGGATTTCGAGCCCGGTTTGGCCCCTTCGCACGCCACGCACTTGTCGACTTCGTTCTTGTTGCGCACCATGCACGTGTCGCATTCCCAAGTCCCCGCCGATTTTTGACTGAACCGGCCGCCGAAACCGGAATCGAACGAGGCGGTTTTCGCGCCGCCGGACCCGGGTCTGGGCGTCTCGCAGGCCGCGCATTTCGTCAGCTCGCTCTTGTTCCTGATCAGACAGGTGTCGCATTCCCACGTTGATGAAGCCGGCTTGGGCACTTCCATCGGGGATGGTTTGGGTTTGAAGCAGCTCATCGGTTCGGATTTAGCCTTCGGTGTCTCGCATGCGGCGCATTTCGTCTTCGCAGGCTGGTTCCTTATCAGACACGCGGAACATTCCCACGTGCCTTCGGCGGGTTTGAATTTTTCGGCAATCGAACTGGAATTGTTTTTGCCCAGAATGTCCATCACGCTTCCGGTGGTTTTCAGTTCGGTCGCGGTTTTGACGGTGCTGTCTCCGTTGTTCTTCAATTTCGGTACCGGCATCGTCGGCTTGTTATTGGGCATGTTAAAGTTGAACGAGGGAGTAGGTGATTCCGTTTTGGTTTTTTTGGATGCCGGCTCTCTAAACTTGTAATCGTTGATGGCGACGAGGCTCTTAAGATTTGACGAGTTCAAAATCAACGGATTCGAGAAGGTATATTCCGTCGAGTTCGGTTTGCTTTCAGTCTGTGCGGGGGGTTTGTAGAAGTAAGAGGACGAGGTTGACCCTTGACACAGTTTATCTTGAGGTTTTTCTTGTTTTTTCTCCACATATTTAGGTGGTGGTTTCCTAGCAGTAGAAGGAGGGGGTATTTGTAGGTCGATTTTGGGTAGAGTTGTGATTGGCAAAGGAACAGACACTAGAGGTATATCTTGCACGGTTTCGTCCGGCTGCGCCCTCTGCCTGACCGAAGAGACCTTGTTCTTAATTTTTCCGGTGTGACTTTGTTTCTCACTCTCCTTGGTGCTCAGCTTGTAACTGTCCAAGTTCAGCGAGGATTTCGACGAGGTAGCCAACTGCCTTACAGATTCGGTGCTTTCCTGCAAACGAGCTCTGCTCTGCTTAATTTTCAGCAAATCGGACACAGTGGGAACTTGCAACTCCCTATTCGAAGCCACTTTGGACTCCCTGCCGAGCAAGTACGGATTAACGCCGGTGTATTTAGTCAAAATGCCGCTGTCAGCCCTCAGTTTCTTAGAAGCCATCGGGATTTTCTTAGCGTCGTTCACCGGCGAGCTGTACTGCTCCAGGGTGTTCAGTATCCTCTGCGCGGTCTTGCCCAGAGACACGTGGTTCTCTTTAGCCTTGTTCACCGGCTTGATTTGCACGGAGGTCTTTACGACCTGGTGCGGATCTTTGGCCGCGCGGCCCAAACGGCGCCCGTAGGCGGACGCGCCGCCGTACGTGGTGCGCCCGTGGTAGAACGGCGAGTTTATTATGCGCTTGGTGGACAGCGTTTTGTCCACGAAGTTCGGCGAGCCGAACGTCGACGCGTTGAACGACGGCCGCGTCGAGCTGAGCGAGCGGTTCAGTCGCGGGCTCAGGCTGTTTTCGCCAAACAACGACCTGCTCATGTTGGTGTTATCTGGAAGCAAATTTATTGCTTGTTATACTTTGAAAAAGTAAAAATTAGGGATAGAACAATATCACTTTTTTTGCCGATACGATATATCGGCCGATACCGATATTTACGTGCCGATATACCGATATATCGTATCGGCAAACATAATGCCATCTATTTAAACACGACCGAAGCAAAAATCGGGGAAGTCCCGTTTTAATTCCGTTGCAAGGAAACGTTTGTGATTGGTAGTGAGTGACATTTCGGATTTCTGGGAAGCCCCTTATACAGTGTGTATTAAAACGAATAGATACACTTAAATAAAACAAGTGCCAAACCCCGCCCACTGTGGTAGGGATTGAGAATTTATAGGTTTTATTTTTATCGAATTAAATTTTAAGTATTAAGTATATACTGTATTTAGTACCTGCTACATTAGGTATATTTGTTGTGGTGTTAGGATTTGTTTTACTTTTGTAGTAAAAATGTTACCTTTGGAATAAAATTTTTTATTTTGTTTAATAAAGTATTTCATTTATGCACTGAAGAGTGAAAAGCGCAATTTTTTTTTGCCGATACGATACCGATAATCGGAAACAATTGCCGATATGCCGATATACCGATATCAATATCGGTATCGTTCTATCCCTAGTAAAAATTAAAGATAACATTTTAAAAACAAAAGGAGAAAATTTTAAATTTAACTGTTTGTTACATCTATTGTGAAATTCTGAGGTCAATTCACATAGTTGTATGTGGTTATTTAGTTATTAATATAAACATGGAAATATTAAGTAAAATTAACTAATCATTTTACAAATTTAGAGAAAAGGAATGTAAATGTTGACTTATACTTATGTATTGATTTTAAAAACAAAAATATTTATCTTAAATATTTACAATAGAACTAAGTTTACTCATGTTAAGTACTATTATAATGGATCTTGAACCCAATAGCATATTATGTATCAAGAATTATAAGAGCTATTTTAGTAACGAGTTTTAATTAGGCACAAGCGAAGCGAGTATTTAATAGAAACATGTGTCTAGTAGGGTTTTAAAGTTTTGAAGAAAAAAAACGGACAAATTGGGGAATAAACTGTTTTTCACAGGTCTTGGAAAAATTGTCTTTTTTGGGAAAAATTGAATTGTTTCGAAATATACACTTTTGAAATAAGTACCTAGTAATCAACAACTTAATTTTATTTTAATTAAAAAAAATAACCTTTTTAACAAAAAAAACATCAAAAACTGAATTAAGTATAATGTCGGTTGGATATTTTTTGCAAAACGATTGATGATTATAATCAGCGTCGAAAATATCAGTGTACGGATATCATCCGTAAAAATTTGGAAATTTTTAGAAAAATTGACTTTTGCATTTTATTTGTATTACCCTTTAGGTAAATGAAATGAAAAAAATTCTTTAATTCGGCTCAATTTTTCCGGAAATTTAAAAACCCTAGTCGATACATCACCGAATATATTCTTTTTGCGAAAAAAATAGAATCTTGCTGAATACAAATAAAAGGAATAATTATTATGTTCATCTTAATATTATATGAATCAGTGTCGAAAATTTACATTTTTAAAAATTTGTCAATTTTCAGAAAAATTGACTTTTGCATTACGTTTTATAAAATGGACTAAAATTCAAATTTTTATATTTTTTCCGGAAAAACCGTTTTTTTTCTCCGGCTCAATTTTTATACTTTATCTACAACGACTAAAGCCAATTTTATTTGTTAAAAATTTGACCAATTTATAATAAAGACAACTTTAGCCGTGACTAAAAAGCCCTGAAATCGCTGTTGCTAACTTCAGCCCGTGACTAAAACGCCTTTACGTCAATTAAGTAATTTACATTAAGAACAAAATATATTATAACCTCACTTTTTCTCAATTGATCAATAAGTTCATTATCCTTCTATGTATGGGTATCTTTTTTATTTAAAGATCTTCAAAATTGGTTAAAATGGACAAAAGTTGCGTATAATTATAATTACAAGTCTACTAAAATGGCATTTAAAAATTGGTTAAAAAACCAGCGGTTTTTAAATAATTTCAAAAAAACTGAAAACCTGTCAAAACCAAATATCATTATAACTTAATTTTTCGTTGGAATTTTTTCAAAAAGTTTTACATATAAACATACACATTTATCTACATTTTTATCCAATTTGTGATTTTTTTCGTCTACTAAATTTTGAGATACCAAAAACGTTTGTTTTTCCCATGACCGCAATATTTGAATTTTACATAGTTCAAAATCAGGGAATCCAATGATGCAACAAACTACATAAGTTATGGTGGCCATTATAAAACAAAAGATGGTGTTGGTAACTCAAAACATAATAGCAAAGAAATTGGATAAAATTGTAGATTATTGTGTATGTTTACATGTAAAACTTAATTTGTTTCAAAATTTCCAAGAATAACAAAGATATAAGAATTTTTGATTTTGTTTTAAAAAAAAAAATACAATTTATAAATTTCATGTTAATAAGCTTGTAATTACGCAACTTTTGTCTAATTTAACCGACCTTAAAGGTGTTTAAATTAAAAAAATACTCATTATAACCGCTCCGCCAAGGAACGGGAATAATAAACTCATTACTCCCGTTGTTTTCGGTATTCACTGTGATTTGGACCAATTAGGTTGTTGCAATTCCAAAAACATCATAGACACCTCTGGTATAGTTATTAAATAACCTGTAACCTCACTTTTTAATTTTTCCTGCATTAAGGGTTTGACAAGAAGAAAACAATAAGCCAAGTGAAAATTTTACAAAATGTTCAAAATATTTCATATTTACAAAATAAAACCCACTGAGAAAACCATTTTTTTAATAAAAAAAAATGCTTGTGTAAAGCTCAAATTAAAAATATTATTGTTGAAATGCAAGCATAAGATTTTGTTCATCATAAAAAAGGGTACTTACTTTTGTTAAATAAAGATCTGGAGTTGGTAGGGCTATTTTCCAATGGTGAAGTTTGTTTGGAGCTTTCCCGGCTCTCAAAAACTTGCTCCTTGCTGCTGATTCGCGCAACAGACGAATAACCACTTGTGGATTCCTCACTGTCGGAGTCCTTGTGACCGTTCAGCAACTCACTGGAGTTGAAAGCGTTTCTGACGCCCGAGGTTAACGTGGACGACGTCAAATGTTTTCTGGACCTAATTCCAGACGGACCAGCCACCGGTTGCAGGAAACTGTTCAAGCTGTCCTTTGTTATGGCGGTACTGTTTCCTAGCGGCGTGCTTGGCAGGGTCTCACCGAAATGATTGTTAAATACACAACTTTCATTGTCACTACTGGGCAGTTTTGCACGTTTCAGAGGAGGTTGCATCTGGAAAAGTTCATCATCTTGATCTTCATCTCTCCTTCTGACGCCTTTATCTTCATTTTTGCGAAACCACTTTGATAGGGGTGTGTTGTTTATTATGCCGGACACGTGTGACTTGAATTTTCCCACAAATGACTAGAAAGAAACGTCTATAAGTATCCATCTCTGGAATTAAATTAGTTATTTTTTGTTGAGATTCTCATTCATTCTTATTATCTTAACGTCAGTTTTAAGTCAGCTTGGTTTAAATTCTATGAAAAAATAGGGTTACATGAGCATAAATTAAAAAAACCCTTTTATTATTATTTCAGATTTTCTACATATGTGGTTAGTTTTACCCATATTGTTGAACATCTAAACGATCAAATCTTACTAATTTAGTTCCCGCGATATATTTGGCTTTGACTATAAAGAGTCTTGTGTTATGAAAATTTGCTTGCAACATCAAACGTCAAGGTTATTTAAATTTAGGTTATTTCACCTATACTGGGATATTTTGCAATCAAAAAAACTTATCGAATGAATAGGTAAAAGGCCCATCGTTTAAAAATTAATCGACTTGTACTAGTAATGCTATTTATAGAGATGAGAACGCGCGAACTCATCAAGACAACGCATATAAGTAATCCTACCTTTTCGTTATCCGACTTATTTAAGGAAGAAGGACTGTGGCAATCACTGTCATTATTGTCCTTATCCATCATTGCACTTTGGTTAATATTAATATAACATTTATTTTTTCGTTAAACCACACATTTCTGTGACAACTTTCACCACACGAGGATTAAAAATGGCGAACTAAAAGAGGTTTGTTCACAATCCACCAAGATGGTGGTAGTGTGGTTTAAAAATAGGCGGGAACGCTATTCAAACCGGCATTTTCTCTACAATAATTGCTTTAATCCAAATTTATCTAGTTTTCTTTAAAAATTTTCTATTTATTTATACTGATTTATATTAATTTACTTATATTCTCAATTAAAAATAAAAAATGTTTGGGTACGCAACCAACATTACAATTATGTGTACATGAAATAGTGATTGCCTATATTAATACTGCGCAAAACATTTACGCCAGTTATTAATTAGTTAAAACACCTACCTACAATCTAAAAAAATTAAATAAATTATATTATGATAACAAGCGTAAAGATGAATCAGTTAATAATCAGTTATAAGTACATATTTACTTTATATAGGTATATACCTTTTTTTATAAAAACTGAACAAAACAAACTCACGTTTTATTACAAAGTAAAAACAATGTTTAGAAGCGTAAATATAAACAAATTGTTAAAATGAATGAACCTTAGAACATTCAAGGTTACTGAAATTCATTTACCTACCTACGGTGAAAATTTAAAATAGCATATTTGGTAAGCTTTAAAAAGTACCTACTTATAGTGCTTAATTTCTTAAGAGGTTATTAAAGTTAATTTACTTACTGTAGATGACGAAAAATAATCCATACAATTATCTACATCACACGAACAATAAATGGAATTTGACAAATTTGTCAAAAATGGCATTTCTTTTAAATCAAAGAAATTAGAAAATTCTGTGCCTCACAAAAAATCTGCGGTTTTCAAGATTAAATCTTACTGTGTTTCATTATTTTTACTGATTGAAATTTAGAAACTTGACATTTTACCGATTTTGGATTTTAAAACAACTGTTTTGACTTGAAGTGTTGGTAGGTACTTACCTACGTGATCATTAAAAACCTCAACAGGTAAAAAAAAGGTAATAAAATAATTGGATAGCGCTTATCTAAAAGGAACCAACCGCCAAATCACAATTTTCGAGTTACAGGCACCAAACGCCTATAAATACTTTATATTAGATTGTTCAAAAATATTTAAACGCCAAAGCTAATTGTAACAACATTTTTTCCTGAGGTTACCAAGTTGCTGGTTTAAAACTGCTGTTTTTATATTTCTCTGAACGGATCCAAGGCGCACAAGGCTATTTTGACAAATATCGTGACGCTTGGTTCCCTTTTGACATTAAAATATTTGTGTTATTATTTTTTGTTTATGGCTTGTTTCGAAACGAATTTTTGATAAAAATATGAGTAAAAGAAGTGCTACGAGTCCAGATGCTTGTTGCAGTGCCAAAAATAAGGCTAAAGATGCAGATAAAGAGCTAAACAAAATAAATATAGCAATAAATGATAATGGCAACTTTGAAACCAATTTAATGGAAATTGGCCCAATTGACACTTTGCCTAAAAAAAATGTGAGTTATTTATTAAAATGTTTATTGGACCTGCCTACATATTTATTTTCAGATAAATAAACAAGACTTTGCACATTTTTCCGACTTCGAGGACTCTGGAAGTGAATACGACCCGATTTCTAAAAGTTCAGGTAGTTCTGGTGTAGATTCCACTCTGAAGAAAATCGAGGAGGAAAATTTAGAGCATACACAAAGAAACTTAGCATTACTCCAAGAAAGGTCAAATAGAAAGGGAAGGCCTAAAAAGGGAAGAAAAACAAGCTATCCCGGATAGACTTTTAAAAACAGAAAGCAATTAAGAGACTCAAACAAGAAACACTATAGCATTAAAGGAAAAAAGGTAGAACCTAAGGAATTTATAGACTTTTTGTGCAATTGCACATTAAAATGTAACGAGAAGGTAACACAAGAAGTCAGAAAAAATGTGTTTGAACAGTTTTGGGGTTTAGGGAACTACAATGCCCAAACTGCTTATATAGCGGCCACAGCAAAAGTTTGATGGCACTAGTTCCTAACGATGTAAAAGACTTTTATAGAAACTTAAATGCAGCTGATTTTGAGGACGATGTAGATGGTTTTGGTGAAAATATTGATTTTTTGCCAGAAACAGAATCTGATGTATAATTTTTTGTTGTCGTTAATTACCTATTAAAAAGTTTTACTTTTATTTTCTAATAATTAGTCGAACAATGTTTGTTTATTTTTAGTTGAAAACAATGGCTTGTATTTTTTGTTTATCACGAAACTTTCTGAAGTTATTATAAAAATATTACAGCTTTTGTCTTATTTTTATTTTATGCCCAAGTCTAATTAGTTAACATAAATCAAACGTTTATGTACAAAATAAGTCAAACGATCCATGTGTTATTTTATTATTTTGTCTAAAAAGTGTTTAAAGAGATCCATGTCTAAAATTTCCTTTTTATCAAAAAGGAACTAAGCGCCATTTTTACCTGTATTACCAAATAGCAACACTAAATTTTGAAAAATTCATTAGGTTTATTTAAGTTAATCATTTTACCGTAATAAAACGCCAAAACTGGACTTATGCAATTACAAATGAATTTTATATACTTTAAAAACTTTAAACCCAGTTTACTCAATTTTAAAAGTTGGCGGTTGGTTCCTTTTAGATAAGCGCTATCCAATTATACCTAATTATTATTTATTTTGGCCAAAGGTATTTATTTTGGCCAAAGAAAAAGTTTTAAAACAAGAAAAAAAACCTACACTTACTTAAATAGTTTAAAATGTCAATTAAATTTAAATAATCGTGTAAATTTCATTATAATTCTTTAACGTTTTCTTACAAATGTTTTTTTTGTTTTCAATTTCCTACCTACCTAAATTGTTATAAAACGTTTATAATAATGAAAGAAATGAGAATGGCAATTTTATAATAATTTTCCGAGACGTTTAAATAAAATATATTTTGCACGTTTTGCATGTGCCAGGTGGTTGCTCATGTAAAAACTCGGTCACCAGGAGAAGATGCCCAAATAGACGAAAACAAACGTCGCAAAACTGGAACGAATAGCATACCTATAGGTATATAGGTATATACATTAATTTAAAATTTGGTAACCATTTCACAAATTTGTGTTTCTTAAGAAATACACTTTTTTAAAATTTATAATAATTTTCATATTGTAACACTAGGAAAGACTTCATATTTGTACGCAGTTCAGATCTTCGAAATCAAGTCCTAAAATTTCCAAAAAATTTGAATTTTACAATTTTTTTTATTTTCAATTAAGTACCTAGTTGTTTTTACTTGTTAACTAATTCTTACCTATTAATAGTATATTATATACCTACTAGGCATTTCTTACTCCTATTGCATACTTTTTAATGGGAGAAAAAAATAAATAATGGAAAAATTAAACAGTGATTATAGTATTTTATGTATCAAGTTTGATAAACGCCATTTTATACACGAGCGAGCTTGCGAGCGAGTGCTTAAATTAATGAGTGTATAGAAAAGTTTATAAACGAGGTGCATACTATACTTTTTCTACGACAAATACTTATTATTATCTTAAAATGAATTAAATCAAAAATTTGTATAGAGCGCCATCTATGAAACAATAGGGGAATCTGTGTGTCACCGTCAAATGTCACATTTTTTTATTTTATAAACACAATTATAAAGGTTATAAATCAAAATGTATTTCTTGAAAATTGACAATTTTTCACAGTGAAAGTAAAGAAAATGTTTTATGAGGACTTTACAGTAGAGTCCGTGCCCGAATTTAAGTTAAAGTTTACTGCCGGCGAAATTAAAAGGTGAGGCCAATTATAATTTTTTTGGAATTGCAGCTGTCCGATTGGTGCATTATTAGCAATATATTTTATTCAATTACACAGTTCGTTCAATTACATTTTTCGTAATGTAATACTAGTCTAAAATATGAGTGTATAAAACGTAAACAAGATAAATCGGAACAATCGCATGTAATTGCCAGTACCTACATTGCTATAAAAACTCTTATCCGCTGAAAAATCATTATTAACGATCGAGAAACTATTCGACTATTATTTACCCAATTAATAGAAAGTATGGAGAGAAATAAAACGTTTAACAGTAGTATGTTTTGGAGCAGTTACAATGTAATTTTAGATGGAACAATAATAAGAACCTGCGGTGTTTCCCATAATATCAAAAATGATGATAAATTAACATCGCGTTTAGAATATCAACTTTAACGACAATATCGGAACGTACAAAGCTTTAAAGAAAGTGTATGAGAACAAATTCATTTGCACCACAATAATACAGTACCTAATAATGAGATGTTTGTGAATTGTTTTCCAAAAAGAAGTAAATACTTTCATAGAATTTCACATCTATCTCTAAATTATTTAAAAATATCGAGTGAATTTATTGAATAAAAATATCAAAGGATAAATTTATAATTCGAATTAACAATATTAAAAATTAAAAATGTTATAGGAGAAAATTTTAAATGAATTAATTATATTATTAAAATAACAAAATAAAACAGATATTTTTAATTCCCACTGACCTTAAAAAACGCACCATAGGCGGCGGTGTCAATATATTTGTGTACAATCGAACTACTTGCAACTGTTGAGCTTCAGATATTGTTGAAGGCAGTCCTGGAATTAATTTATGAATAAGTACTTAAAGTATACATACTAGGGATGCCAATTTTTTTGTTCCCGATTTTTACAAAAAATCTAGTAAAAAATACAGTTAGGTATTATATATATATAATACCTAACTGTATTTTTTACTAGATTTTTTGTAAAAATATATGTACAATGTACAATGTACATTGTACATATATACAAGTTTCTGTAATTTATATTTTTATTTACAGAAATTTGCACTTTTGACAGTAGTTAAAGTTTTTTTACAAGAATCGATTTTTTTTTAATTTTCCAAAATTATTTAAAATATTTAACTTTTCTCTGTAAAAGCTTTACATACATTTCCCTATATACAGGGTGATTAGAAGTTTGTGAAGAACGGAAAAATATATCGATTTGAAATTTGTAAATTTTTTTAAATTATTTTTAATGCGTTATCACTTCCGGTTAAACTGCAAGTGATATCAACTTTGAAACCCTATAAATATTATTACATTTTTAAATTCTACGTAAAATTCTAGGAATACTATAATTTAATTATTTTTATTATTTTTAACAGTTTTTGACATATTTAATTTTTTTTTAATTTTATGGTATACCTGTTAACTAAGGAGCACTCTATTGAAAGCCATTAATAGTATTATAAAATTTTATACAGGGTGTCTGGTATTTACGTTGACTTTTTTGTCATTTTAAATACCAATAACCTTCTTAATAATTATTTAAAACGAACTACCATGCAATTTTTACATCATTCGACACCAATAATGTTTTCTATTGACCTAAAATAAAAATTTACAGAGATACTAAAAAATTAAAAAAATGTTGGAAATTAAAAAAAAATCAAATTGTAGTACCTACCTATTTCTAGAATTTTATGTAGAATTTAAAAATGCAATAATATTTACACGGTTAACCATGGAATTCACTGCAACTTAAATTTAAAATTATAATGGGTATAACAAAAGGTATCACCTAAGGTACCTTTTTAATTAAATTTTCAGTGTCTTATTGGAATAAAAACCTACGATTTGTCAAAGTAATGAGATTATTTTTATTTACAGAATAAACTTTTTTTACTGTTAAGAAAATTCTCATTTACTATAATAAAGCAGCAATGCTGAGCTTTTATAAAATGATCATCCAACAAAGTACCTAATAGTTGTCTTTCGGAACATAAAAATATAATTGCATTCCGATGAATTGTTTTTAATTACTTATAATTATTAATAATAAATACCGCTATTTTTCAATTAATATAAAGATCACGTCCAGCCTGATTTATTTATTATGACGTATGGGTTTTAATTATAAAAAATCATATTATTATTTAGTAAAGTACCCATTAAAAACTGTAGGTATTATTAAGTATCTTTGTTATTATTATATTAGTGTATTACACACGAAATGTCACAATGTTTCACATGTGAATGTTAAACAATTAAAAAACTTACTTCCCGGACGTCAAAAAACATTACAAGTAAGGCTAACCGCCGTAAAAATATAACGTAAGTTCCTTTGATTTATCAGCTGAAAAAATGCATGAATTAAGGAAAAAAATATTTCAAAAGTAGAGCATATGAGTTTTAACTTTTTTCTACACGTTTTGCATACTGCGTATACGCACGTGTAAGTATATGCCGGTTTAAATAAAAAGTGCGAATAATTGATAAGAACCTTATTTATTATCAAAGTTATTTAAACATTCTTCTATAGGTATTTGAAAACATTAGTTGTAGTTTAAGTATATTGTTCAAACATGCGTTTGATTATAGTCATTTGTGCTACAATAAGTTCAAGCCATTGTGCAAATATTTTGGGCGTTTTTGTTTCTGCAGCATATAGTCATCATGCATCACTGTACCCAATGTATGAAAAGTTAGCCACAAAAGGCCACAACGTAACATTGTTAACCGCATTCCCAAAAAATCTGACGATAAAAAATTTACACGAAATCGACATTTCTTTTGTCAAAGAAACTTACTATAATTCAGTAAAAAAATATTTCTTCGAACCGTATTCAAAAATGAATGTTTTTGAAATTGCCTATGGCAGTATAAACATTGTATATGATACAAGTAAACGAATTATCGAAGAAAAATTTGTAAGAGATGTGTTTAGAAATGATTATGACGTCATGATTATTGAAAATAAAACTCCTTTAACGTACTTTGGAGGATTGGTAAATAAAGCGCCAATTATAGGTAAGATATGTTTTCTATTGGTACGCTACGTTTCCATGGAGCGGTGTGGAACTTACTGGAAGGTTCGGGAAGGTGCTTGCGTGAAGTAGGTCACGTACGCCCTGGATATATAAGGCACAGCGGAGCATCGAGGATAATACCCTGCATTATGTCTCGTATAATAATAAAAGTGTTTGTAGGTGTATCTTCAATGTCTGGTTGGCCCACAGTCCATGATGCTTTGGGAAACCCTATCCACCCAGTTCTATCTCCCAACTTTCTTCTAACAATAGGAGACAACCCGACATTCATAGAGAGGCTTTCCAGTGTTACATACAATATTGTATGTCGATTTTTAATTTATTACTACGATCTACCAAGATCCAACAAGATAGCTCGAAAATACTTTGGAAGTAATGTTGCCTCCCTGGATGAAGTGGAAAGAAACATGAGTTTGGGGTTGTTTACGAAAAATTTCGTTACCAATGGAGTAACACCAGTGGTCCCTAGTGCTGTGGAAGTGAGCTTTATGAATATTAAACCTAAACAAGATTTACCAGAAGTAATACGTATTAAGTACTTAACCATACTTACGTACATTTTTATATTATTATTTAGGACATTCAAGAATTTATGGATAAATCTAAGAAAGGAATAGTTTTCCTAAGCTTGGGATCATTTATCACAAACTTTAATTTAACTGAACAAAAAGTGATTTTAAATTCTGTATTGGAATTACCGTACGATGTACTATGGAAATCTGATACTTCTGAGCAGCTCCCAAGTAATATAATGGTAAAAAATTGGTTTCCACAACAGGATCTATTAGGTAAAATATTTATAAAACTACATTTACACTTTACTAATTTGTAGACATTTTCTTAAGGACATCCCAAGTTAAAAGTGTTTGTTACCCAAGGAGGGCTACACTCCATAGAAGAAGCTTTATACAATGCTGTTCCCATGGTACTTCTTCCTGTTATTGCGGACCAAGGCCAAAACTCCAAAAGAGTTGTATCAAAAGGTTTGGGAAAGATGTTGGATATAATGACCGTTTCAAAGGACATTCTTGTGAAAACTGTTATTGAAGTTGCAGAAGATAACAAGTATGTTAAACATATTCAAATCTCAAACACCATATAAAGTACTTTTTTATATTTAAGATACAAAGAAGCAGCTCTTAATATTAGTAAAATTCTTAAAGATGAGCCCATGTTTGGAGTGGATAAAGCAGTTTGGTGGGTTGAATATGTTATTAGGCACAAAGGGGCACGTCATTTAAGAAGTGGTTTTGTCGATATGCCGTTTTATCAATACTATTTGTTAGATGTTTTAAGCTTTATAACTGTGTTAATAATATTATGTGTAGTACTTGTCCTCCAAATAATAAAATTTTGTAAAATAAAATTAAAAATGTTTAAATTGAAACAACAATAAAATTTCTTACAAATAATGATATTGTATAACTTTTATCAAATTGTAGTTCACGAAAAAAATTTCAAATTCATGAAAAAAATGTCAAACAATTCTTGGGTAATTGGAAAAACAGTTATACACTTATGTTACAAGCCTACATTTAAAAACTAAAATAAAAACATTTCAAAATATTAATTAATTTCATTTAACCAAATTCCTAAACATAAACGATTTACTTAGTGAGTAAAGACAGAATTTTTGGACACTTCGTCGAAGTAAAGAAAATGGCAAAATGAGGTTTTTCTCATGAAATCTTAATAGTTAAATTGAATGCCAAGGTATTTTTTTTAAGTATTATATTTTTACTATATAATATATTATATTTTTACTAAAAGTATGAGTATAAGAGACGTATAACCAGCCCCATTGCCTCATCACTCCCGGACCCCGTACAGGCTTATGTTTACTTACGCCGATTTTTGTTCGCCCCCAGCAACTTCACGGCTTCACCCGTGTTTGCTGGGTGCGAATGTCCGTACTGTCCCCTATTTGGGGCTCGAGAGCGACATGCGAATAGTTTTAATAGCCATTCTCGGGTTCGCCGAGCCGATGCTATACGCCCAGTAGGGTATAGAGGAGGAGGGACGGGAGGGATAGACGTTTGTTGGTTTTTGGGGAACAATTACGCCGACTTAAAACTAAGTAGGACGCGGAAACCCCCTAGATCAGTCGATTAGTATTACTCCAAACATTTGGGATTACTATTTGGAGTTAGGGAGTTGTTATTTCGCTGCAGGGGTGTAGTTTCCTAGTCGAGATCTTCGTCTTGTTCGTTATTGTCATTGTCCGTGTCCTGGTCAGATAGTTCCTGCACTTGGTAAAGTGTGTCAGTTGTTTTTTTTTATTTTATTTTTATTGTTGCTTAGTTGCTCCCAACTGGTCTTGTTAATTTGTGAGAAGTGCCATGAAATGTGAAGCATGGTCTCCCGACTTTTTTGTCTGTGAGGTCTAGTTTAAGGGTGGCTTGTAGTATGTTGTTGCGTTGCCTAGGAGTGACGTGGGCCCAGTATTTTAATTGTGCTACTTTTACCCTTTTGCCCATTAGCAGGTCGCGGGGTCGTTAGAAGTGTAATGATCTTCCGTTCAAGTTTGCGTAATTTTTGTCATAAGCACGTTTTGTGGTAGAGTTTTTTCTTAAATTCCAAAATTAAGTATTGCATTTATTTATTAGTTAAACAAATGACAAGCGCAATTATTCTGTTATCTAATGTTTACAAATCCAGTAGAGTTTGGTTATTATGCTTTTTTACTATGTTAGGGTTATAATGATTAATGTGTTAGTTTATTCTGTGTGTCCAGTGTTTAATATTGGTCTCGTTTGGGTTTGCCTTACGCATTTGTTGTTGACAGATTTATTGTCCTACGCAATGTGCCTTTCTTAGGGTTTTGGTGCCTTCTCAGTGCTGGAACCTGACTGACTTACGGCAAAAAGGTAAAAATAAGACGAAAACCCAAATAAATATTTGTCCTAATTACTTATGTTTCCAAGATACAGGGTGATAAAGTGTTACTTATCATATCAGTTTTTTTAATATAACCTCTACTATGGTAGTCTTGGAAAGGTGATATTTTGCGAACAGTCACTTTTTGCCCTGACCGTCACACTAAAAAAAATCTAGACTATTCAATTAAAAAAATTATAAATTATAGTCCTTTAATGCGATATAACAATTGTTTTGGTAGTAAGTGACTGTTCGCAAAATATCACCTTTCCAAGTCTACCACAGTAGAAGTTATATTAAAAAAACTGATATGATAAGTAACACTTTATCACCCTGTATCTTTTAAACATACGTAATTAGAAAAAATATTTATTTAGATTTTCTTCTTATTTTGACCTGCTTAATCTGCTCCTAAATTTATGCTACTAAGTTTAGGGACACCTTGTATATTAAGGCAGTATTTAAAATAGTAAGTTTTAATTATTTTTGTAAAATATTTTTTAACGAACTTTCTATAATATATTCTAAACTCGCGTTTAAATATTCATAAATTATCCCAAAAGATTATAAATGTATGTAATAAAGGTAGTATATTTATTTAAACGTAAAACTTGTATCATGAAGTTGTGTATTATTTTATTTTTGGTGAATTTTTCGGCAGCCGCTGACATTCTGGCTTTTATGGTGATACCTGGTCTTAGCCATCATAGAGGACTATCTCCTATTTTCGAAGAATTGGCCGTAGAAGGTCACAATGTAACAGTTGTAACAGCATTTCCAAGAGAAAAGCCGTTGAAAAACTTCAACGAAATTGATATTTCAAATTTTACGACCATGCATTTTGATAGTATAAGAAAATACATTCCAAAACCATACCCGGAAATGTTTCAGATTGAAATCATACTTGGTTTGTTTCATACTATTAATGATGTGTTGGATAAAATTTTGGAGGTGGAGAGTGTTAGAAATGCCATCAGAAGTAAATATGACGTCATATTGATCGAGAATATTACGCCTTTGACGTACGTAGCAGGGATAATGAACAGGGCGCCCATAATAAGTAAGGGAGACATCAAAGCGTAATCTTAAGTTGATGAATTATTTTTCAGGTGTATGTCCGGCACCCGGTTGGCTTGGCGGCCATGATGCCCTAGGTAACCCAACACATCCGGTACTTACGCCGAACTTTTTACTAGGAATTGAAGACAACCTAACCTTTTTCGACCGATTAAGAAGTACCACATTCAACATTCTCTGGAGAATGTTGTATACATATTACGACTTGCCAAGATGCGACAAAATAGCTAGAAAACACTTTGGCGAAAATATACCTTCATTGGCCGAAGTCCAGAAAAATACAAGCTTGGCTCTCTTCACTCATAACTTAGTTGCAAACTCAATCAAACCCACTGTCCCTGCTGTAGTGGACATAAACTTAATACACATCAAGGCAAAAAAACCTCTACCAAATGATATCAAAGAATTTATGGATAAATCCAAAAGAGGCGTTGTTTATTTTAGTTTGGGTACCTATGAGTTAACCTACAATACGACCAAACACAGAATGAGTATTATAAGGGAAGCTTTGATGAGTTTGCCGTATGATGTGCTATGGAAATATCACATTGATGAAGACATGCCTTGCAATATTATGGTTAAAAGGTGGTTTCCTCAACATGATGTACTTGGTATAGTATATTTTAGTTTAGATATATTTATAATAATTTTCTCATTCCTCAGGCCACCCAAAACTTAAAGTTTTCGTGACCCAAAGAGGAGCAAACTCTATAGAAGAAGCCATTTATGAAACCGTTCCGATGGTTATCCTTCCCGTACAAGGAGATCAAGGGCAAAATGCCAAAAAAATGGTATCCATGGGTATGGCGGAAATGCTGGATATTTTTACAATGACAAAAAAAGATTTAACCAAAACCATCACACATGTTGCCGAAAGTCAAAAGTATCATACCATTTCGTATTTTATATTTATATTAAAATCATTATTTAAGGTATAAGGATAGTGCAATAAAACAAAGCAGAATTCTTAAAGATCAACCAATGAAAGGAGTTAAAAAGGCTGTTTGGTGGGTTGAGTATGTTTTAAGACACAATGGAGCTCCTCATTTAAGAAGTGGTTTTGTTGATATGCCATTTTATCAATATTATTTGTTGGATGTTATGGGATTTTTCTTACTTTGTTTTTTTCTTATTATGGTTGTTTTTTATAAAATATTAACTTATGTTTTAAGTTTAAAAAAAGTAAAATCACATTAATATGTCAGTCAATATTTATTTCTATGATCATTTAATTTTAAATTTAAAAATGTTAAAATTATTTATTATTTGTATTTTATAATATATTTAGTTTTGTTAAAAGTTTAAAAATAATTTACATTCCAGACAAACACGCTTTTATTTACATAAAAGTTCATAAATAAAAACATTACATTACAGTACATATGCAAGTACAATTTTTAGTAACAATTTTTTAAAACTGGTATCGTGCAAATACTTTATTGTTATCTATAGAAATACAAGGTGTCAACAAATAAGTTGTGATCCTTTATGCTCAACACATCAAAGTCCCACCTTGATAGAAATATATGTGGGACTTAATGTGTGGACAAAAAATCACACAAAAAACCGTCTAATGGAAATTTTTTCTATATCTTTGGGAAAATAGTTGTTTGAATATTTTTTTCTACTCCCATATATTGTAATATAAAAAAGTACTTTTTCTACTCCCACCTTTAAAACGCCCTTTATCGTACATGTTTCCATGACACTAAGTGACCTTTTAAATACACATTGACAAGTTGTGGTTTTATGGCGCTTTAGTCACGAGCTGAAGTTAGCAACAGGTTTTTAGTCACGGGCTATAATATAATATTATTATATTATATATTATATATTATATATTATATATTATATATTATATATTATATATTATATATTATATATTATATATTATATATTATATATTATATATTATATATTATATATTATATATTATATATTATATATTATATATTATATATTATATATTATATATTATATATTATATATTATATATTATATATTATATTTTTACTATATTAAGGCAGTATTTAAAATAGTAAGTTTTAATTATTTTTGTAAAATATATATGTAAACAAACATTAAAAATACAATTTTCTATAATATATTCTAAGCACGCGTTTAAATATTCATAAATTATCCCAAAAGATTATAAATGTCTGTATACGGATATATTAAAGGTAGTATAATTATTGAAACGTAAAACTTGTATCATGAAGTTGTGTATTATTTTATTTTTGGTGAATTTTTCGGCAGCCGCTGACATTTTGGCTTTTATGGTGATACCTGGTCTTAGCCATCATAGAGGGCTATCTCCTATATTCGAAGAATTGGCTGTAGAAGGTCACAATGTAACAGTTGTAACTGCATTTCCAAGAGAAAAGCCGTTGAAAAACTTCAACGAAATTGATATTTCAAATTTTACCACCATGCATTTTGATAGTATAAGAAAATACTTTCCAAAACCATTCCCGGAAATGTATCAGATTGAAATCATACTTGGTTTGTTTCATAATATTAATGATGTGTTGGATAAAATTTTGGAGGTGGAGAGTGTTAGAAATGCCATCAGAAGTAAATATGACGTCATATTGGTCGAAAATATTACGCCTTTAACGTATGTAGCAGGGATAATGAACAGAGCGCCCATAATAAGTAAGGGAGCCATCAAAGTGTAACCTTAAGTTGATGAATTATTTTTCAGTTTTAAGTCCAGCACCTGGTTGGCTTGGCGGCCATGATGCCCTAGGTAATCCAACACATCCGGTACTTACACCCAATTTTGTATTAGGAATTGAAGGCAACCCATCCTTTTTTGACCGATTAAGAAGTACCACATTCAACATTCTCTGGAGAACATTGTATACATATTACGACTTGCCAAGATGCGACAAAATAGCTAGAAAACACTTTGGCGAAAATATACCTTCATTGGCCGAAGTCCAGAAAAATACAAGCTTGGCTCTCTTCACTCATAACTTTGTTGCAAACTCAATCAAACCCACTGTCCCTGCTGTAGTGGACATAAACTTAATACACATCAAGGCAAAAAAACCTCTACCAAATGATATTCAAGAATTTATGGATAAATCCAAAAGAGGCGTTGTTTATTTTAGTTTGGGTACCTATGAGTTAACCTACAACACGACCGAACACAGAATGAGTATTATAAGGGAAGCTTTGATGAGTTTGCCGTATGATGTGCTATGGAAATATCACATTGATGAAGACATGCCTTGCAATATTATGGTTAAAAGGTGGTTTCCTCAACATGATGTACTTGGTATAGTATATTTTAGTTTAGATATATTTATAATAATTTTAAAGTTATCTCATTCGTCAGGCCACCCAAAACTTAAAGTTTTCGTGACCCAAGGAGGAGCAAACTCTATAGAACAAGCCATTTATGAAACCGTTCCGATGGTTATGCTTCCCGTACAGGGAGATCAAGGACAAAATGCCAAAAAAATGGTATCCATGGGTATGGCGGAAATGCTTGATATTTTTACAATGACAAAAAAAGATTTAACCAAAACCATTACACAAGTTGCCGAAAGTCAAAAGTATTATACCATTTCGTATTTTAAATTTAAATTAAAATCATTATTTAAGGTATAAGGATAGTGCAATAAAACAAAGCAAAATTCTTAAAGATCAACCAATGAAAGGAGTTAAAAAGGCTGTTTGGTGGGTTGAGTATGTCATAAGACACAAAGGGGCTCCTCATTTAAGAAGTGGATTTTTGGACATGCCATTTTATCAATATTATTTATTAGATGTTATGGGATTTTTCTTACTTTGTTTTTTTCTTATTATGGTTGTTTTTTATAAAATGTTAACTTATGTTTTAAGCTTAAAAAAAATAATGTGCACCAAAAAAATAAAATCACAATAATATGTCAATATTTATTTTTTAGGTCCATAATAAAACATTATGTTTTTTTAATGATCATTTAATTTTATATTTTAAAAATATATGTTTGAATTGTTAAAATTATTTATTATTTTTATTTTATAATACATATATTTAGTTTTGTTAAAAGTTTAAAAGTTATTTACATTCCAGACAAACACGTTTTACAGAAAGGTTTATAAATAAAAACATTACATATGCAAGTACAATTTTTAGTAACAATTTTTTAAAACTGGAATATGTTATCTATAGATATACAAGGTGTTGTACTATGCTCAAACATATTAAATATATTATATTATATAATTTTGTGTCAATCAATAAGACGAATTGGCTTGACATAGACGGAAAATTAACCTTTATTATTTATATCAATATCACGTGGTGAGACTTGAATGTGTGGACACAAACATAAGAAATTATAATGCATATTTTTTCTTTATCTGTGTGAAAATATTTTTTTAAATATTTTTCCTTTACACCTTTTGTGACAAGGTATACGGTATGCGTGTTTTTAAAATATAAATATTGATTAATATTACCATGTTTTTTGTATGAACAGTATTATGACCCATATTATACGTGCACTTTTTTTACATATCAAGCATATTATGCAAATACATATTTATTTATTTTTACTTTTATTACTTTTAATGCAGTAAAACACTGGTGTTTAATGTTTAACATGAGGTTAGTTTTGCTACTGTTTTTATTCAAATTTTCATCATCCTCCAATATTTTGGGAGTTTTTGTGGTACCATCAAAAAGTCACCATAGAGCACTTTACCCAATATTTGAAAAATTGGCAGAACAAGGCCACAATATTACTGTTATTACAGCATTTCCAAAATTTAACAAATCCCTAAATAATTTTCACGAGGTTGATATTTCTTTCACCAGAGAAATTTACTTAAGTCTTATGAAGAAGTATTATACGCGTCCCTATGCTGATACTTCATCTATTGATATCATGTCGATTGCATTGCGGATATTTACTGAAATATTCGAAGAGGTTATAGCTTTAAAGCATGTAAGGGATCTTATCGACAATAAATTTGATGTTTTGATGGTTGAGACTGTTATACCCTTAGCGTTCTTTGTAGGTATTAAAAACAAAGCTCCTATTATAGGTAGGTTAGTTTTAAACACAACATTTTCTATATTAATGTTTTTTTCATTTCAGGAATAAGTTCCCTACCTGGGATTTTATACACACACGACTCTTTGGGTAACCCGTCACACCCAGTGCTCTCACCCAATTTTATATTACAAATGACAGAAGATTCACCAACTTTTTACGAGAGGTTAACTAGTGTTATGTTTAACACTGCTTTGCGGTTTTACTATAAACTATATATAACGCATAGAAGTGACATAATTGCCAGGAAGTTTTTTGGAGATGATGTACCATCTTTGAGTGACATTGAAAAAAATATGAGTTTGGCCTTTGTTACAAGGAATTGGGTAACCAATGAAATAAGTCCAAATGTGCCCAATATAGTGGATATAAGTCTTATTCAAATTAAGCCCAAAAAAGCGTTACCAAAAGTAAGCCAGTAAGGTTTTTTCTTAGGGTAATATTTTAACAATCTGTTTAAAGGATATACAAGACTTTTTGGATAAATCAAAACGTGGTGTGGTTTATTTTAGTATGGGGACAAATGAGCCCACTTACGAAATGTGCAAACACAAAATAGAAATGATAAAAGACGCCCTTTTAAGTTTGCCTTACGATGTTCTATGGAAATCTGATATTAACATCACCATGAGCAATAATATAATGGTGAAAAATTGGTTCCCCCAAAACGATATTTTAGGTTTATAATAACCAAGAAATAATACCCGTTTAATCACAGTTTAACTTATTTTAGCACATCCAAATTTGAGGGTTTTCATTAGCCAAGGCGGTTCGCATTCTTTAGAGGAAGCGGTACTAAATGCAGTGCCTTTGGTGTTACTCCCGGTTTATGCAGATCAAGGTCAAAATTCCAGACGCATTTCCTCCAAAGGAATGGCAGAAAAACTGGATATTTTCACAGTTACCAAAGAAGAATTAGCTAAAACAATCATTAAAGTTGCTGAAACAAAAAGGTGTGCATATAGTTTTCTTGGAAAATGTAAATTCATTAAATATTTTTAAGGTACAGGATTAATGCTCTGAAACTAAGCAAAATAATCAAGGATCAACCGATGAAAGGAGTTGAAAAAGCCGTTTGGTGGGTTGAGTATGTAATGAGGCACAAAGGGGCACGTCATTTAAGAAGTGGTTTTGTTGATATGCCATTTTATCAATATTATTTGTTGGATGTTATGGGTTTTATTGGGTTATTAGTTGTGGTTATTATATTTGCATTTTATAAAACACTTTGCTGCTTTAAAAATTTATGTAGGCTCGATGAAAAATGTAAGCTACAATGATTTGTTTATGTGTATTTTGTATGGTTAATAATATTAATACGTTTTTTATAATCATATTAAAGACTTTAATTTTATCGAGGCTGTTTTCAGTAATAATGATTAATTATAGTAAAGGTTTTGTTGCAAATTTGCTTATCATGTGGTTAATTAGTTTTTGCAGATGATGGCCCCTTCCACTCTTGGTTAAACTCATTTGTTCTTTACATAAGGTGATTCATATTGGCCTGTGGTGAGTCCGCCAGGTATGCTGTCACTTATCACTTAGTTGCTTCCGTGTCCGTATGGTCTTTATTCGCTGTATTTACTTGTTGAGGATTGCTTTTTAACTATTTATTCAGTCCAAAGTAAAAATCCCTACATTGCCGAAAAATGCGTCATTATCATTTAAAGAATATATAGTATTTTCAGAATAACTATTTTGACAAAGCGTCTGCAGTTTTAATTATAACAAATTATCAGTTAAATTTGCAAGGCCACTCCATCCTCGATTGGCATATTTCCTGATTATGTAAAATATTAAATGACCATCATAAATTATTTTTACATCATAAAGAAATTATTTAGTTTCATTAAGAAATAGTGTTACATTACAAAATCGCACTAAAAAATTTAAAAACTAAAATACTACGGTTTATTTTTTTTATCTGCAGATAGTCCATGGACTCGTGTTTTTTTGTTAGGTTGGTGACTTATGCCAGTTTGACTTAGTATTTTTAGTATTTAAAAATTGTGGTCAAATTGACAATAATATTTATTATTCATAATTTACTTGTCAGTTATAAATATAAAGATAATTATGCCAAAAATAATAGCAACGAATTCGAATGTAAAAGCCCTTTTGAGGGCAAAACTTCATTTTGATGAAATTATGCCAAATGCCACGATGGAAGAAAAAGTACATCGCCTTATGGACATTTTTGGAGTAAAAAAGTAACGCATTTGGTTTTATAAATATTACATTATACATTATTCACCATTGGACAACATTTACGTTCACAAAAAATTTTAATATATGATTTTACTCATCCAAGCACCACGAAAGCCAAATTAATTGCATTTTTAACTACGAATTTCGACAACTCAACTTGACAACTGCACAATGTAACCTACAATAATTTATACATAACCACAATTAGATTTATAACTAGCTTAGTTGCTTTTAATCAATGCGACCAACTTGACAACTGTATTTACCAACCAAAACCCTAAATTTACAACTTTGCCGCAGATAAAAAAAATGAACTAGAATGTTTAAAAATCATATATTTCTACCGTGGACGTCGCCCAAATCTAAAATATGTTTTATGGGTTACTTAAGAATTTTATCTTAATCTGGAAGGGTCAAAAAGCCGAAAATAAATCTTTATGCCCGTGTTAAATTTCTCTTAAAAGCTACTAATTTTTATCGTCCCACATTCTCAGACGTATAACAGGTAAGTCTGAGCTTCTAAATGTGTTTTGTGTGATGTAAGTATTATCGAAAATACCTACGATTTAGAATTTTGAAAAGGGAAACATAAACTCTAGATAGGTATATCCTAAAATTTTATTTTGTTGGCTTAGCGATTTATTTTATTTTAACAAAATTATTTTTTTTATAAATGTTTAATAAAATATGGTTAAAATAACAAAAACACAATTATCAATGTTGATATAAAAAAATATTTTTTATTTCCCCTTCAATAAAAACATGTCGATATAACTCCTATAGACACCTGCTAAAGGGTAATAAATAATTCTTGGAAAACGTTTTTTTAAGGAATATTAAAGATGAGCACGTACAATTTTTAAATCCTCAAGATCTTCCACGTAGACTAGAATTCTGTCGCTGGTTAAGAACAAAATGGCATGAAGAGCCCAAATAATATAAGGCTAAAATCTTAATAAAAATGCTAACCCGAAAAAATAGATTCTATCTTACCCATTTCAATTATTATAATTATTACAAAACTATAGTTATATCTAACGGTGTGAATTCTTTGTTTTATATAATTTTTAACAAAAGCTTGTTAGTAATTAGTACATTCATGTGATCGATTTTTTTTAAATATGTCTGTAATTAAAAAAAATAATTTACAATAAATTGTTTTTTAGTCCACACCCTGTTAAAAAATTGGATAGGAATGTAAATAAGGCCTGGCTTACTGAATAAAAACTACATTATAATAATAATAATAGACCGAGGCGATAGCCGAGGCAGTAGATTGTGTACGAGGCAATTAATAAGCTTTGGCCACCGGGTTTTTTAATTAGAATTTTTTTTGAGATTCATTTTTAGGTTAGGTTCAACTGACATTATGACATTTTAGTTTTATAATAATATATGACAATGAAATATAGTGGACCCCTAATCAGATCGTTGGAAATGTTGGAAAGTGTGAACCAAGCTGTCAACAGTTTCATGCATAATTTAATTATAAATGAAATTTATAACCTATAGGAACTGCTTTAACAGGTACTGATTAAAATAAATAGAGTGTTACCTGTCAAATGCTATTCCAGTCTTTTTTTGTCACTATAACTTTTACATCCAAAAGCACAACAAACCACCATTATATTTTAATATTAAAACCGACGTTTCCATACAACACGATTGTTATACCTTTTATACGCTTTTAATTTGACATTGTTAAACTTGGCTTGACATTTTAAAACAAAACTCGATTTTATTCTTCAAGGCCCTTCCACAATTTAAAACATATCAAATATTACTTTTTTCCAAATCAAGTTTAAAAAAAGTCGCTAGGGGCCAAGTCTGGACAATACGGTGGATATGGACGAAGAAGACTTCATATAAAAATTGTTTGACCTGTATGGTATTTTTCCATAAAAAACTATGTTTAATAAGAACACGAAATTATTATTTATTGACATTCCAAAATGAGTTTTTGTCTTAGTGATTTAATAGCAGAATTTAAAATACAGTTAAAAATCAAGCATAACTATTATTACCACATAATTTTATTAGTAATATAAGGTTATACGTCTACAATGAATATTAAACAACACAACAATAATTATCCTAATTAGAAGCATTCTTTTCCTGCAATGGTAAGCATACACCTACATTTACATACATATGTTTTATTTAATGCCCCTAGACACAACGGTACTAAATATTTCGTCTATTAATACTCATTACAATGCGCAAGGATTTGTACAGAGAAGAGCTGATTGCAACAGAAAAAAGATCTTAATTAATTTCCAACTGTCAGCTGGTATCCAGGAACACTTACCTTTATCACCATTGGTGTTATTATTTTTATCATTTGGAAGGCATAATGCGTCTTTGATATGTGACCAGATAGCCAACGAGGTGTTATTGTTACGATTTTTTTCAGTTGGAACTGTTGCTGGTCAGGTAATTAGTTAATGGTGTCAGATAAGTTTCATTGTATCAGAAAACAAATTATTTTAACGGTACATCCTTGCTTGTTATTAAAAAAGAAAATATTACGTTTGTGCGTCACTTTTTAAAGCTTTAATGATTCACTTTAAAACATGTTTCCATTTCGACAAACTGACACTGACATTTTGAAATCCACACAACATTGGATTGTGCCCAACACTAATTTTAGTTTTGGTTTAAAAGTGATCTTTTGAAACATTTATATATGCCTAGACAAGCAATAAGCTTATTGCCAATAGTTATTGGAATGTATACATATATATATATATGGGTGATTCTACAAAAGTTGGACAATTTGATGTCATCAGTCAATAGAGTAGGTATTTTAATATTTTTTGTAAATATTTTAACACAAAACATCCAGGTTTTTTTAACTTGTCCACCCAATTTTAATGTATTTTTTCAAAAGCACGTTTGTAGAAAAACATAATAAATATTCAAAACATCAGTACCTTGGCGTGTCCCAACTCCTGAATCAAATATTTGAGGGATTTTATTTTAAAATATATTCAATTTATTTAAAATTTTTCAATTTCACTACAAACTATAAAACATTAAATAATGTATTTTTCATATTTTATCATATATGATTATAGCAATTTTTAAATAAATGATAATCTTTGTACTCACTTTTACCCGTCAGCTCTGTGTTAAAATGTTAAAATTCAAAATTCCTGCGAAATATTAAAGTTTAAACGTCAAGTCCTCATTTTAACTCAAGTTTTGGTAAAAAGTTACCTACAGAGCACGACAGTCATCTTGAAAACAATGCAAGCGGCGAAGTTGTGGAGAATGCACGTATAGTTCCAGTCAAAATTTCAGTACTTTGGTGAGTAGTTATTTTCTTACGTATATATATTTCATTGTAATTTATATAAGGCTATATGTGATTTGTTGATAAGTAGCATCCACTAATAAAAAATATCAGTAAAATACTTAATTTGTATCCCATTCATCAGTACCGTGTCGTCAGTTCCATGTTCGATGTTTCGGTTATCTTTTTTTCGTAAACTTCAATCTAAATTCTGCTTGCGCAGAACTTGTTTATTTAATGTCATTATAAACTCATATAAATTTGGTGTGGGTCCCATATCTAATAATTGAGATATCGGTATACCCAAAATCCACCAGCCGCCACTGATGTGTGGTATTATATGATTTTAAGATATTTAATGTATAATATGCTCAAAGTTGCAATAAGTCTTATATTTTCCAATAAATTATGTATTTAATAAGTACCCTGGTATACTCGTCACTTCCCTTGTATTTAAAATTAGAAAACGCAGATATTTCAGAAACTGTTTGAAAAAGTGACTGGCCCGATCTGGAACAGTATATTTATTAAATTAAAAAGACTGAAAAACTTGTCTCCCAGTAATTTAAAAACATTTTTTACGCACCTGTTATGTACCAACACTGTAATAAATAGTTAATATATTTTAAATAAATTTAAAAAAAAAATTACTGGGCACGTATTTATATTTTTGTAAAAGTTTTATGCCTATAAATTCTCGTAAATAATGCCTAATTATGCAGGTAGGTAGGCAATAAAAATAGTTACAACTTTTAGAAAATCCCATGTCCTATTTAAATTTATGTTATGGAATTTAAGCTTATGTACAAAAGATGCATATTTCTTAATGAAAAATATTAATTAAACAAATTTGCATCTATCACTCAAACGTGTTTTTTGGAAAAAAACTTTCACGTATGTGACTCTCCTTAAATTATATTTCTTACTATAAACGTTTCAGCAATTAAAAAAATCCTTTAAAATGCATACATGTATGAATATGATATTTAAGCTAAAAAACTTTCTCCGGTGGACCCAATGATTCATACAAAATTCACTAAAGAAATATAATAAAAACATATCCTGGTTTTGTTTGGTTTGGGATTTACAGTTTTTTAACTTTACCAATAACAATTTAATTTTATTTATTTATCCAGGATTTTTCTCTAAAATAATTTTCATCTTCATAAAAATTTTCTTCGCTGCTTTTTAGGTGCCTTTTAGAGCTTCTGGTATTCACATTAGCAGAAATGTTTCCAAATGAGAATGCATTCATGGAGGTCCCGATTTAGCAAGTAATACCATACCATACAATAATATTCAAAATGTTAAATTACATACAAATCTGACCCTAGTAATAATATTTGCGTTGTAGAAATGTGAAACCACTATAAAATATACCCAATAAAAAAAATTAAATATAGTTTATATGAAAAACACTAAATTAATTAGTTGATGCCGATAGAAATATTAAAAATCATTATAAAACAATTTAGAGAAAACTGAAGAAAGTGCATTCCTTTTTCCCAAATAAATTGCAGTGCGTGCGTCTGTCAAACGGGTTGGGGAGAATGTAGGAAAGGCTTCGCTTAGATAATTTTAATCGTAACCCGTGTGTCTACATGTTCGTTTTTTACAGGTAATTAACCCGTAATTTATTTATTACAAGCCAATGAAATTTATTTAATGAAGCGAGCGCACGGGTTCGTTGTCTTATCGGCTGTTGGCTTCTCCGAAAAAAAAAAAAATATTTGTTAATTTTAACCAAATATTAGCCAGATTTTGTTAAACCAGGTCCACAAATGGGTTGTTTTCAGTAACTTTTAAGATACCATGTCCCTGGGGTATTAAAACTAAAACCTTTATATTGGCCATATTTTTTTTTACATTTTACATATTTTTCAATATATAAAAGTTCAATATCCAATGAATTTATTTTTTAATTTTGGTTTTAAAACTCCTGTTTCACATGACCGTCGTATGTCCCTCGAGCAAAATCCAATATTTGCGATCTTCTAAAAATTTAATTCAACTTTTAAGTAGCCAAAGAAAATGATATTGAACAAATGTTGTGTTTTTTGTGTTATAAAATTGTCTTAAATAGCTATTATTGTTAATGTTTAGGCCAAAAATAAGAACTGAACGTTGTCCCGACGTTTTCTTCACATGACCGTAGAAGGACTTTTGAAAATTGCGACAGTTAATTCTGCAGTTCAGTTAGCGATATATTTACAGTTCCTGACGTGTATTTTGATATAGAAAAGGTAAGTTAAGTACTTCGTATTCTTTTTATTAACATGACCGTATATAGTGATAAAATAGCAAAATAAATAGTTATAAATTGCTCGCTATGTTTTTTTTGTTGTCGGTTGTTTACCGGTGGAAACTGTAACCTAAAATTTACAACATGAGGATACTTTTAATTTTGAGAAAACAAAAATGTGTAAAAAATCACATGAAAAAAAAAGTTGCGACGGTCATGTTAAAAATTTGTTTATTTTTTATTTAAAACCCTTCTAAGTTTTATTTTTATGCACATAAAGCAGTTTCTTTTTTTTGTTTGCAAAGAAATCTTTCTTAGATTCGGTGAAAAGTTGACTGGACTATTCTAAAAATTTGAAGCACCGTCCCACCCCCGCCGACGCACCGTCGGACTACGACAACCTCCTCGTTCTTCGTCAAGTCGCTGTGGCCTGGTTTCCGGAGCCACTCAACTGTTCTTCCAAGGCACGCTCAGTGTTGCTAGCGACTTGACAGGTGCAACAACGAACGGCCGTAGCAGTCGCAGTGCGCCGTGCCGCGATACCGTTGTTTTTATTTTCGCAACTCGATTGAGCAGACTACGATTATTTGACAGTTGTGATGGGTGTGTGGTTGTGTGGGCCCAGTAGGGCCGCGGTTTCGCTCTTGTGTGGACTTTTAATGCTGGCCGGCGAAACGAAGGGTAAGTGCGAAGATTTCAAGATCTAACCTTATTTTCTAGAAGCTCGCACCGCTGGTTACAGTTAGCCTGCTCGGATTGCGGCCGAATTAATATTGTTGTTATGTCTAGTTTGGGAGGAACGTGCGCGTTTTTTTACAGTTTTATTCAATTTATTTATTTATTTATTGCCAAATATTAGAGCTTTTTAAATTCAACAAAATTAAATTAACCAAATCAGTATTTTTTGCCTGTATTAAAATAAATATATCTACAGTATGTCTACGGGTAAGGTTACAAAAAGAAAACAAATATATTTTACATTTCCCAGAAAATGTCATTCTTGATAAAAGTATACATCATGGTAAAATTACAAATTCGATTTTTCCTGAAAATTTTGTACTGATATTTTTTTAATAAAAATCATTTTTGGTTAGTTTTCGTATATTTGTTGGAAAGAAAATGACAAATGAACAAAAACTGACCAAAAATGATTCTTATCTAAAATTTTCATAAAAATCAAAATCGCATAGAAATTTTAAAAGGGTTTGTAATCCATTTAAATCTATTTTTTTAATATTTTGAACAAAATGCCACTTAGACAAGCCAAATATTTTTAAAATTTTAAAGTAAAACAAACAGTATTTGCTAATTTTGAAAAAAATATTTTAGTCATGTACTCTCTAAAAATAAATTACTTAGTCAAAAATTACTAATTTAATAGTTATTAGTGGCTGCTTTTTCACTTGTACCATGGTTAACCATGGGATACCATGTTATCCCAAAATTTAACAGCCAATTCTTTTGTAAAATTATCCCCTGAATCCGAAAATGTCATCAAAAGTTAAAAAAGTAAAACAGTTTTTGAGATATAGTCAATTTTCCATTTAATATGGAATTAACTATATCTCAAAAACTACTCCACTTTTTGACGTTATTTTAAGATTTAGGGGACAATTTAACATAAGAATTGGCTGTTAAATTTTGCGATACCATGGTTAAGTAAAAAAGCAGCCACTAATAAATAATAAATTAGTCATTTTTGACTAATTAATTTTTAAAGAGTAACAAATAACAAATTTTAACAAAATAATAATAATAATAATAATAATTTGAAAACTATTTAGGTGTAGGACATGGTATAGTTATTTTACTCAGAATTTTATACAGAATTTAAAATTGAAAAATATATGGGGTGTTCTATTTCAAATAACAAAGTTGATACCACTTTCGGTCAAACCGGAAGTGGCATTTTGTTCAAAATATTTTAGAAAAATAGACTTCACGAATGTGAAACACCCTGTATATATATACATATAAATATAGTAATGGATAAAAAAATATTTTGAATAAAAAACGTTTGTTTTAAATTGTAATGTCTCTTATAACAAAAAAATTAAAAAAACGTTGTTTACGATATAAAACGCAGAATAAATTAAACAAAATAAACTAAAAACAGCAAAAATAACTTTTTTATTTTTACTGAAGATGACCTTTTTATTCGTAAACCCTTTTACCTCATTTCCATATTAAGGGGTTTGTAGAGAAAAAAGGTGATCCGCCATCTTGGAGCGGCGGCCATATTGATCAAATTACAAAATTAGTATGCTAGATTGTATTGTCAGCAGCACCAAAAGTGTGTGCAAAATTTCAGCTCAATCGTTTGGGTAGAAGTAGGTTAGAATCGCACCACTCAAAAGGATTTTAAAAAAATGTGAAAAAAAATTAAATGGCGTTCTCATAAAAAACATTTTTTATTTTAAAAATGACAAAAAGAAATTTTTTGCAAAGATTTCAATTGTATGTCAACACAAAAAAGCTAAGCTAGCAAGTAATGATATTGTTACTATATATAGTAACAATATCATTACTTGCTAGCTTAGCTTTTTTGTGTTGACATACAATTGAAATCTTTGCAAAAAATTAAGTATACTTACAAATAATAATAATTAAGTATACTTACAAATAATAAATTGTAAAAAAAAATATATTTTTCAAAGGAAATCCTGGGTTGAGTTTTTACCAGTTTCCCGATAAACAGTGGAAATCCGAATGAAGAAATAAATTGCATACAGTCCCTGTAAATTGTACCTATTAGATACAAAAAATACAAATTTTACGTAAAAATTGTAAACATCAGTAAAAATCATAAAACAAATAAGTCGTCCAAATTCAAACAGCATTTATCATTATTAAAAGCGTTGATTAAGAGAGTCTCCACTCAACAGTAAAATACCAAGAACAGGTATTATTTTATGTATTATATATAATATTATGTTGCCATGAATTCGTATTTGGCAAACTGCTCATCAATGTGGATAAAGGTTTATGTTTTTAAATTGATTGATTTTTTTAGGAATCTTAAAGTGTACCTAATCAACCATACTGTTACTGATCAACAGATGTTAGTCGCACTTGAAACCCTTAACAAATCACAACTGTTATTTAAACAATCTAAACAAAGAATATTAGATTTATTGTTACTAACAAAAAATATGTTTCTCGCTGTATCTGTATACTTTCAGAAGATTGAATGTGTTCAATCTATACACATATACATATTTAATTAAACGAAAATATAATGTGTTCAATGAACCGTTAAACATATCAAATTTTGATGACCCACTTGCTCAAAAAACCTGTACATGCTAATAAGACGTATCGCCTTCGTTTGACCAAATTTAATTATATTTACACGAATTGGTTCATTTTGTATGCTAAGTTGCATTTTGATAAGTGATAGGTTATGTTTTATATTTGATATTCAAGAATCAATAAATAGATTCTGTTTCGATGGTTTGTAATTGGGATAATAATTATTTAAATTTTGGTACAAATTAAAAAATTAAATTAAAATGTTGCAAATTTGTTTTTATTCAATTCAATTCAATTTTACAGTAAGTATTTCTAGTAAAACATCAGTTACAGTTAATCTTATTTTTTGAAATTGCGGAAATATAACTACGACCGATTTCTCTACGTGAATTATCTAAATCAACAACAAATTTGATTTGTTTTATAGCGGTAGAATAAAAAAGAAGTATTTTCATTTAAGTGAAACTAATAGGCATGCATATAAAATAGTGCCGGTATAATGCAAACACAAGGAAGCACGATATAGGAAAAATGAAAAATATAATAAAGAATTTAAGTCTAATTGTAAAATAAAAAATAAAAATTATACGAATGCACTGCTTGAATAAACAATGTTAATAATGAATGGTTTGGTTTGAAATTGAATGAAATTATAATTACACGAAAAAAAAAAGGTTTTCTAAACTTGATTTAAGTATAATTTGCTTAGGCTACGAAAACATTAAATTTCTTTTAAATATTAACCTATCCTTAAATTAAAAAGATTTTATTTCTTAGCTTAAAATCAAGTACAGTTGAAACAAGATGATTGAAATAATATTGTCAAGGCTAAAACTAATATTAAACTAAATATTAATCTTTCTTTAAACACGCAGATCTTATTTTTGCCTGTTAAATGTTAAGAAAGACTTTAAATGAAATAATCTTATTCTTAATTCGATTGGACCAAATTTTGAAAAATTTCCTCTATTCTGTTCTTAAAGATATAAAACTATACTGGATATAAACATAATTATATTTATTCTAAGATTAGTAAATATTGGTACGACTGGCCTATTCTTAAAAATATCCCCCACTCACGAAAGAGTCCGACATTTTGGAAGATTATTTCTTGTGTTGGTTAATATTTGGTTGGAAATTATGAAAGAGCTGCTAAATTAGTGGAATTTGATAGAATTAACCACCAAATGTATGTGTGGGTAATAATTATTACATAATTATATTTATGTGTGTAGTATTATTTATTGAATTTTAGATGTTGGAGTGATATTAGGTTGGCCGAAGAATCACATAAAAAACAATGATGTATATTTTACCTCTAGATTATAGGTACGAATAAAAATTTGTCTGAAGGTTTAAAAAAATCATTGCAGTATATATTTATATACATAGGTAGATAGGTATTTGAAACATTGTAAAAAAATATGTAATAAAGACAATTTTATAGACCAATATCATTTTTTTCAGGTTAAGTTAAGCAATAATTGGTTCAAAATTTGTCTATTCTTTTTTTAACTTTTGATCGACTTTAAATGTTAGGATATAAGACCATGTTTATTTTAAAAGGTAAAGAGTGGATTATCCTATCTATTTTTCTCCATCAGTCTTAGAAAAAAAGAGATAGCATAATCCACTCTTTACCTTTTGAAAGAAACATGGTCATTATATCCTAAGCTTTATGTAAAGTCGAGCAAAAGTTAAAAAAAGAATAGACAATATTTGAAACAATTATTGCTTAACTTACATAAAGATAGGTACCTTATATTTAACACAAAAGTAAATATTGTATCGCCAAGAATTATAACATTTGTAACCAAAAATACTTATTCTTAAATTAAGCAAAGCAACAGTTTTAAATAATTTACACTCGAATTTACACTGCAACACAAACTGCCATACACCACATCTTCACTCAGTAATGAATAAAAATCCCTGACGAGCCGCCACTGATAATATTATGGTAATAAGCATCATTGCGCGTATTTTTAAGTTGATTAGGCAAAACACGTAGTAAGTTAAAACTGATAAACGCTATATTTCATATCGCATTATTCCATCATGTCAGATTTATGCATCGAGATTAACGAGATTAAAATCAGATGCAAGTTTAATGTGTAGAAAGTAGTCTTGTTTCTCATGGAAATCATGCACGGAAAAAAGCTATTCTATATTAAAGATTAATCATCTCAGTCCAAGTATATGTTCATCTCACCATTCCGCAAGTATAGATACCTACTTACTTTTCATTTAAGGATTAATTTATTCTTATTTGTAATTTAAAGGATATAGAGAGTTGAATGCAATAACTAACCTATACTTATTTGGATATAATTTCAATGTTAGGTGCAAGGGTAAACTTATTCTTATTTCAAGAAAAACTATCATATTATTTTAAACGCAATCACTCTAAAATAAAATGTACACTATGC